CGAATTAAGGAAAAATGTTGATAAAAATATTTCTCTTATCTGCTGATATACGCGATGAGTTATCAAATACGAAGAAAGAGATTGGGCGATATTTTTTCTTCCTTTTTGGCCTAAAATTTTTTATTTTTACAGTAAACCAGTGAAATAATTCCTTTAATTTTAATCGAATATTTGTTGCCTAAATACAACTCCTTGGATTTTCTTTTAAGAGACATTTAAAAGATAAATCTATTAGCGGTGGTGAGCGCTGATCGCTGGAGGTAAACTCAGCCCCTGGCAAATAAAAGTAACGTAGCCCTCTGGCACTGAATCGCTGAGAGTAAACGCAGCCCTCTGGCAGGTAAACATAACGTAGCCCTCCGGCACTGAATCGCTGAGAGTAAACGCAGCCCTCTGGCACTGAGCCACTCGAAGAAAACGTGCTTTAGTACTAATGTAGAACAGTTTTAATGAATTTCGAACAGATGGCGAAACCTTGAAAAATAAAATTCGACTCGGCTTGCGACGAAAAATTTTATTCGATAGCGCGAAACTAGCGAGGGCAAATAATTCGTTCTGCTTCTTATTCATTAATTTTTGGAATAATTTATAAGTTTTCTTTGAAGGAAAAATGCATCGGATGATTGTCTCGAATGCGTTCACTGAAATTTACTCTATTTCAATTCCGTCGAAACGTGGCTGCTGTAACATTTCGCTGCAAAAATCATTATTTTCCGTCGATAGGGCATTTTTTATTTTTGCATTTTTTCCTAATGGAATAGTGAAATTGGGCGGCGATCTCTTCGTGGAACAAAATCGATGGAGGTTGGCTTTGGACTTATCGCTGACTTATTGAGCACTGAGCAGTGTTTTGCATCTGCAGTCGCTGGTGTCGTCTAATTCGCCGCAAGCGCATCCATCGTTCTTCCTTTGGCTCGCCGTTTAATTTATTCAGTTCTCTCGTCCGCTTCCGCAATGCTCCGTCATCCTATCTTTTGGCTGAGCAACTGAGATTCATTCATAACATTTAAATTATTAATATCCTTAATTTCGATTTGAAGTGGAATATAACTTAGCGCAGTTGCTCAATTTGAAAACACTCTTTTTGCTCGCAGTTTCGAGCTTAGGGTAACCCGTCGTTGCAAAAACTGAAAAGTTTCTGGCTCTGCGGAAGTGTTATGAAAGCGATGTTGATAGGAAGAAGTGAGTGTGGTTGGCTGCCAGCAAATCTGGTTGCGTTTACTCCACTGCTGCCTATAAGTAAGATTAGACAGTCCTCGGATCACTTGCGATTAGAACACAAGTGTGGACCACTTGGATTTTTTCGATAACAAGCGCTGCTTGCAGAGGCCGAAACACGACCCTTACAATGGTAATGCAGACAGTAATTCGGTCACGCTAGTCTCCCCTCAGCTGGTTGCATGAATCACAACTTTTATTCAATAGGTTTTTTTCGAGAAATTTTTGCAAGAAATCATTTATTATTCAAATTCTTATCGCCTTTTCTCATGAATTTTAATCAGCCTTGAATTTTATAAAATTTTTAATTTTCGATTGGTTACTATTAAAGATTGGTTATTATTATGTAGTCGATATATATTGAATTTACACTCTAAATAATAATAAAGCACATGCTAAATTGATTATTGAAAATGCTTGAAATACTTCAGTGATTGTTGTGAAAGTGCTCGCCGATTTCTCACTGATTTTAGCACAAATATTCTTCGCTTTCATTAAAATGGGTAGTTTTGCTGAACAAATCCTTTAAAAATAAACTCAAAAGTCTAAAAGGAACTTTTAAGCGAATCAGTTGTTTTTTACGAAAAAATATATTAATATCAAGAAAAAATAACTTCTGAAACTATAAACGAAACTGCAGTTTTTTGCAGTTTTTAAAAATCTGTGATGGTCACTAGTGAGAAGGCGAATATTCAGCATTAGCGGCAAGAGTGCCGAGTGATATGTTGCTTCGAGCAAGTTTAAACCACCATAGGCTTGGTTCCTGTCCATTGACGAGAGGTGCCATTAAAAAGGAAGTGCTGGTGCTACTGGGAATTCATCCCACTCTTTGGAGAAGACGCCTCACTATCGGTGTTGAGATTTAGAAGAAGGCGAATAATATTTACCATTGTTTGAAAAATAAGGTTTTAATCGGTCTTAAAATAGAATAAGGCGAAGAATATTTATCGGTCTTAAAATAAAGTATTTGTTTACTTTCGCTTAGCGCGATTCATCTTCTAAAATTTTTATTTTATTCAACCAAACAACCAGATTGAACCAACTCTAAAGACCCCTAATAGTAGCAAAGCAGCCGAAATACTTTCTGAGAGTGAACTGGCTCAATGATATAATTTCTGAGCGCCGATGGGCTTCCAGGTCTCTATTCGGCAAGAGTAATCCACCTTCCAAAAAGCGGGGAGACTGGTGAATCCCCTATGTTTGTCTTGCTTCCACCGTCGTGTGAGTCCTAACAAAGTTTGTCTGGTCCGACAAGCCAACGGGACGAGCCTAATAGAAATGGTGAGCGCAGTTCTAAAAGAGTTAAAATAAAAATTGATTGTGCACTGAACGTTTCCATAAAACGTTCCTTCCTTAGAAACTACGAGAATCCCATGCAGTCGTTAACGATTTATCGACAATTCTCAACTTTCGAATTGCTTTCGAATTTATTCTACTTTTACGTGATCTGTGTGATTTCGTAAGAGGAAAGGAAATCTGCAATCCCTTTCAGTGTGAAGGAAAAAATAACTAATTCGTTAATTCGCTAAATTCGTTATTATTGCTATAGTCGTCATCGCATACATTTTTTCGTATTTTCTTTGCTAAAAAAGAGAAAATGTAAACCAACGCTGACGAAAATCGACGCACTTTGTAACCAACCAGCACAGTCGTTGGCGTTTCTTATTTTTTACGGCAGTTTTCTTCGCGATCGTCGTCCGGCAAAGCAGAAATTTTTCTAAATTTCGCATCATTCGCATGCCATTATTTATTTATTTTATTATTTTTCCTATTTAATATCAAAAAATTCCATGAAAACTGTGCGGAATGGACCTATATAAAGCCTCTCGAGCGGGCGCCAGCAACTTATACTTGTTCGCGAGTAGTTCTCTGTGCTTTTCTCCCAACGAGTAACGAGTGTGCTGCTGGCCGAATCAGAAATGCGAATAAATGCTCGAAGAAGAAAGAAAAGGAATCGAATTGCAGTTTTCAGCTTATCGATGCGATTTTCCTGACGATAATTTCATTTTCTTGCGTGCGTGGGGGTTTATTCTTCCTTCAAAAATCATTCGTTTATTCATTGTGTTCACTCAGTTCGAAAAGTGAGGCAACGATAATAAAAAACTAGCAATGATATACATTTTAAAAATAAAATAAAAATAGATAGCGTTCTTTTGATTTCTTCGAAAGTTATTGGATTTTTTCGTTTGAAATTGAAGATTTTGTCGTTTTTAGGAAATTTGCGTATTTAAATTTGTTAAAACTTTGAATATGTAAAAAAACGTTAATAAGGAATATCGATTCCTTTCATTCACAACCATTCTAAATAGGTAGGTAAATTAAATGGAACGGTGAGCAGCAGCCATTTCTGCTCAAGTTCACTGCGTTGGCAATTGCCAGGAGGTTGCCACTCGGTGGTAGAAGTAGCTCGCAGGTGGCTTTCTAACAGCTCGTGCCTGTTGGAGGTAGGGAAGGAATCCTTCCTCTCGGCATTGCCTCAGGCATTGTCCACTCGGCTACCCTGCCTCTTAAATATTTTGAATGCATAACTCTTACGCAAAACAGTTAAAAATAAATTAGATGTAAAAAATACGGGGAATCTGCGTTCGAATTGTAATTTTCCAACTGACATGGGAAAAACCAAATCGTGAAACAACAACAAAAAGTTTAGCATTACTGTATTTGTATTATGCGATATAATTTCAAATTTTTAACACTTTTATTTTAGAAATTCGCTACAATAATTAAATATTTTGATTTATTTAGATTCAAATAATCGCTTTTTTAAATTTTAAAGTTAAAATATGACAAATTACAACGAAAATATATGTGACAAGTATGAAATAAGTTGGCAGACTTGTTTTTAAAAATTTTAAACTTCGTTGGAATGAAAAATAAGTTGCAAAAAGGGTCGAGTTTCTTCGTACATTTTATTTCTACAAGAATCTATGAATTCGCAATGGAATCGAAAATGGAGTCGAACATCGGGTAAATTCTAAACTGGCGTTCACGCAGAAAATCTTTCTGAGTTATATTTTCAACTTAAAATTGAAGATTTTCTCGGCCTTTCTAGGAAAGAAAGGTTTTTGAGCAGCAAACTGTGTGCATGAAAGGCTCATAAAATTTGTTCAAAAGAGATTTTTTCATAAAAAATTATTTATAATTCTTTTTAAACTTCGATTTTAAATAAACGAAATATTTTCATTAATTTCTTTGAAAAAAGCGTTTGTTTTAGTTTAAACTCTTTAAATTTTACTTGTCCTTCAATCATTTTACCTTTCTCCTTTCATATTTTTCCTTTTTGATTTCTGTCTTAAATATTCTTTTAAAAAAGCAGATTATTCTTATGGAATATTCTCTCTTTTGTGCATCACAGCGCATCATTCAGCTCGTTTAAAACATTTGTCGATAGTTTCGTCTTCTGGAAGCTTCTTTTTTCTCCACGAAATCCTCTTAAATGATTTCACATTAAATTAATCTCTATGGAAAATTTCTATTTACTCTTACTTGAAGTTTTTTCAAATTTTTTTCTGAATATTCGCATAGTTTCCTTTGTTAAGTTTCTATTTTCTTGATTTCTTAATGCAAAACGTTTCATCAAATTTTTGAATATTCTCCTAAAAGTTTTTTTCGTTATTTCATTTTTCTACGATGATTTACGATCGAAATTCGCAGTACTGTATTTCTTTTTTGTAAATTTTTATTATTATTTGTTTAAATAGAACACTTAGCGGTTGGAAAAATCGTTTACGATAAGAAAAATCATTGAAAATCACCTATTCATCTTCAGTTCAGGAGCTCGAATGGAACAAGCGAAAGAAAAAGCTGGAGAAGTGGCGCAAACTTTAGGAATAGGCGGCGAGAAGTTAAGGCTCGAAACTGAAATTAAGTAAGTGCAAGTTCGTTATTCACTGAAATTACACCTCGAATTAATTTCAGAGTACCATCATCTGTCTCGTTAAACAGCATTTTCTTAAAATATATATATTATTTCTAATCTTTCATAATTTTATCTTATCATTTTTCCTCAGAGCAGAGAATAGCATATACCTTCCTTCGCTTCATTTGCCATATTGCCCATTTCTGGTTTAGTTCGCCTAAATCAGGTCGGGACAGATCCCTTCATCGGAAGATAGAGCATTTCTGTTTGATTTCTGTTTGATGTGTTTGCGATAAATTAAAATTTTTTCAAAATCTCCGAGTGCGTTATTTTTATATTTTTTTGCCAACTTTTGGCATTTTTGCGCAAATAGACGAAAATTTTAAGTACGAAAATTTTACAGTAATAGACGAAAATTTTTTTAAAAATTTTTCAAATGCTTGCTAAAGTGCATTATGGTTTTCGTGAAAGTTTGTATATATTATCAATTCGGAAGTACTTTTTTTTAATATAACAAATCCAATGGTTCGACAAACAAAAAAATAATTTTCTATAAACAAATGTTTCTTAAATTACAGCAAAAAAATTATTCTTCTAAATTATTCAATGGACAATTGCCCCTTAAATTGGAGCATTCATGGTGGAAGTTGAAGCAAATCAGTAGTCATTTAACTGTTAGATTTGCATAGTTTGTCTGTTAGCTTCAGTTATCTGTTATCGTTTCGCTAGGAGTGATCTACTTTTGGCATCCATTTTTCACGAAATTTGTCAAGTTTTGGCTTTTTTTGTGATTTCTTTTCTCAATTACTTCACATTAGCCAAAGAAGCATATTTGATTCTGCACACGTATTATTGCACTATGAATCGTAAAAAACACCTTTAAGAGGAAAATTCGGAAACTTTCCATCAGCTTTTTTTCCGAAATGGTATATTAGTAGAAAATTGGACGGACATTCGCCATTTGTAGGCATAAAGTGCTCTTTTGGTGCATTTTAGTTAAATTTAAATATTTATTGCTGAATTGTTTTTTAAATTTTAAAATTTCGTTTAAATATTTAAAATAAATATTTAAATATTTAAAAAATATTTAAGCGATGTTGATCATTAATAATCATTAATAATCAAGTACAATATTAATGAGCAGTTTGATCGAATGCTGCGGTTATCATTTCATGTCCAGTCTCTGTCCATGATAGGAGTAAATCTGAGGTGATTTCCGGCTGTGGTTCCAACCTATTTCTAAAAGCGACTCCGGCAAAATTATCTCATCTTAATAACTGCCAATGGAGCCACTTCAGCCAGAAATAATAAGTAGTGACCACTTACATAAATGTCGTAAATCTTTTCTCTCCTAACACCTCTGTGATGGTATATTTAATGCAAATGGTATTTGAGTGGATGCATTTATATAAGATTTTATCCATTTGGCGAACTCATATCTTAGACATGAGTGGTCAAAGGTATATAAAGGTAGATATAATTCTTAATATCCTCCCTCCTCTCTCATTGGGTATGTCTCACAGTCATGTAACAAGATCGAGCGAATTGCAATTGTGTAGGTGCAGATATTTGTGGAGTTTTAATGGTGATTTCATGATGGCTGCATAAGGCTTTCGCCAGCGGTAAGTCGCTTGACCTTTCGTTATTAGAGTGCATCCAAGATATTTAAAGTTATTTAAAGTTTCGCTCAGCATTCGCTCAGCCTGGGATGAATTGATGAAAATAGCCATTTTTTAGTTTTATTTAAGAGGGAGGGAGAGAAAAGGTTTTATCATAAAACAGCGAATATTATTGCCCACACTGTTTATATTTTTATGATTCGGAAAAAAATTTCTGCACAGACTATTTTATTGCTTCTCTGCATAGAGAATTACTGGGATGTTTAATTTCAAATGTGTTAAGTCGTCAGTTTTTATGGAACTCACAAAAATCACCCATCCATGTTAAAACTGATTATTTAACCATTTATTAGCATCGAAACTTTTTGAAGCTATGAAGAGTTGAATAAATCATCTTCAGCAAATTTTAATGTGCATTTTTGTCACATTTTCTGCTGCAAAGTCTTTAATCTTATAAGTTATACTAACGATTTTATCAATGTTTCTCTACGCGAATAAATTCTTCTATATAAGTAAAATGCTTCGTTTAAACTTGTCTTCCTCCTTCGCGCTATCTCCTCGGCCCTTCTTAATCTGCAGTCCACCTCCTCCTTCTCCTCCTCTCCTCTCCTCTTTAAGTATTCTTATAAAAATGGTTATTCGAAGTATGAAGGAGAATGTACTTGTAGAATGAACCCTGCTGGTCTCTTTAGCTTCGCTCTTTTAGCGAGTACTGTGCTACTCTCTCTATTACTTTTCTACTTTTGCACTGTCATTGCCCATCGTTACGACCGACTTCAGTGTAGCAATTTGCTTACAAGTATGCACATATTTATGTATAATTTAAGTAAAGGATTTGCGTATAATCAATATGTATGTTCATATTGCAACCTACATGCATTGATTCTGAGCTGAAATGTTTTCAATAAATCTTATAAACATCGTCACAAAGAGCGTTTAACGCAACAAATTTTCTATGAAAGTCAAACCACCTCTTATCATTAATCACTTAAAATATCAAATTAGTCGTTTATCAGAAGTCTTGCTCATATCAAATCAGTTCTTCTTGTTCTCGACACTGAGAGGTTTCTGCTTTTAAACTCCAAATGTCTCTTTAACGGAGGAATCTGCGAGTGAAAGCAGAATCGGTCAGTGCTGCTAAAAGAGAGAAGAAAAGGAAGAAAGCGTGTTGCATTAAATTAATGAAATACCAATAAAATTGGTTATTATTTTTAAAAAGGCAGTTCATTTTTTTCGACCCTTTCTACGTTCATCAAATCATAATTGTCATAATAATAATTTATTTTCTTTAAAAATAAAAATTTTTTACGTTTTAGCGACAAGTATTATGACACATCAATCGACAGCTCGATTGCATTCGAAACGAATGCGAAGAACTTGTCGTCAGTATTTTTCGACCGCGCACAGGAGGATCTCACCAATTACAAGAAACGAATAGATGAAAATGCTGAGCGACAACGCGAGCACGCCGATATCATGGCTGATCTTCAGCGCAAAGTGCCAACTTGTTTCGTCCCAGCTTTTCCGTAAAATTCACTAATAATAGCTGGAAAAGGTTTTCAGGTGGAAGAGTATCGCCGTCGTTTCACAACGATGGAATCGCGAATAACGGAACGTAAAATTTATACCGAATCATACGGTATAGATTTGCCAGATATAAAAATGAAGGACGAACTATGGAGTGGAAAATTTCGTATGATCGATGATATGTCTGAGGAGGAATTATCTATGCAACTGTCGAATGAAAGAAGACGGTTCGCTTTTCCTTATTTAGTTACAAATTTTTTTCTCGCAAATCCTAATAATTTTGCAAATTTCTGTAGCCTTCCTTTCATTTATTAGCGTGTGGCATAATATGGTGGAGTCGCTATGAGCAGCGCAAACCCTTTGCAGGTCCTTCGGCAAGAGTGGTTCTGAGCGACCTGCCGCAAAAAGTTCAATCCAGCTTATGCTGGGGCACAACCAACAATAAGCACATCTCTTTGATTATCTGATGAAAGCCAATAGAGCCAGCCGAACCAATAATAAAAGTCTTATTGCGAATGTCAGCGTGAAACGGAATTTTTCAGAAATGAAGAGTTGTTCGCACAGCTTGAAGAAGAACGCCTGAATAACAATCAACTTCTGAATGAAATTCAACGACTTCGAAAGCATTTTGAAATAAGTATACGCGACAAAGAAAGAATATTTATCAACCGAGAAAGGGTTGGTTTGAAAGAATATTGAAAGAAAGAGAAAGCGCATATTTTATAAAATTTTTTATTATATTTTATATTTATAGAAAAGTTTTTGGTTGAAAATATTTATTATTTGCCGTATCCGAAGTGTAAATCCATTTGATTTATAGTAAATATCTAAATTTAACAAAAATATTGAAATTCAAAACCAAAACCAAACTGAGATTTTAAAAAAAATTTGGTTCGAGGGGCGTTTAAACCAAATTATAATTATAATTCAGAACTTTTTAATATCAACAAGGTGAAAAAATTTGCTATATGATTACTTTTAAATTATACTACCTTTCAATTATAATTTTAATATCATATCATAAGTGATAAGGTAGCCGGTTGCCTGTTACTCAATGTGTCCAAGTGTCAAGCACCAGGATTCGTACTCTTCCTCAAATAGAAACAAACTTGCCATCAAAATTTATTTTTAATTAATGTTGGTAATCGTTTATATTTCAAGTCTGAAATCTGAAATCGAGAATAATGATGGATGGCCTGGTTTAATTCATATTCAATGATTTAATTTTAATTTCACTAATTTATTCGTTTTATTATAAAAATGATCGATGTTAATAGCGCGTTATCAAACCATATCACAGCTCAACATCACTAAATTTAATTGATCTAGAAATCGTTATGACCTTTTCTATCGCTTTTCTACTCATTTATGTCTCAAGTAGCATTCAGCAAAAAATTTCCCGCCGTAACAGTAGCCAGTTTGACTGATCAGAAGATGTCATGATCACTAATTTAATTGCCATAATAGTAAATTGTAAATAAATCATAATATGAATCGGTTAAAAAGTTCTGATCTTTTCCCATTAAATTTTTAGAATATTGCGCAACACTTAAGCGAGGAACAACGAAAAATCATGGATTTATGGACTGAACTTAAACGGGTTCGAAAGCAATGTACGGAATATAAAGAACAAACCGAACGCGATTTAGAGAATCAAAAGAATGAGTTCATCAAGACGATACATAATGTGACTGATACGATGCTAAAAATGCAAGTCTCTGAAAGTCAAAAGGTATTTTTTTGAGTGCGGAAAGTATATCCACGTTGGATTATCAAAAACATTTCGGGATCTTTTAGAGGGAGCGCCCACTTTTGTCTGATGCGACTGGCAATTTAGAAATCAGCAAAGATTCTATAATTTATGAAGCAATCAGTAAGTTTCAAGAAACTGGTGATATATCCGAAATGCCACGAATAATTCGTGAACTACATTTGGGAAAAGGTGATGATGTTAACCTCCAGTCGGAGATTCTAAAAAAGTATGAATTACCTTCATTATTATTGAAATTGGCACATTCGTTTTCGGTCTCATATTTAGCCTTCATTATCGAAGGAGATAATTTACGCAGAAAAAATTTAACGAGCATTTGTTTGAGAACATTGCAAATTACTTTAAGTAATAAAATATTATGAACGAAGGAAAATTGCAGATATGAAGAAAGTGTTCAGCGCATCGGTGAGCTCGAAGCAAAGGACGAAGACAGTCACTCAAAACTTTTAATCCTCGAAAGTGAACTTAAAGCTACAAAAGAACGCCTTAACGACAGTCAGGTAAAAAAATTGATATAAATTTTTTTGTATCTAAAGAAACTGCAGATGTTTTGATTACACGAATAATTCTATAATTTTGGCGAAAATAGTTGATGACTTCAAAATTTCTCAAGAATTTTATAATTTTATAAAATATTAGATAATTTTAAGATTAAAGAAAAATTTCAGAATGCACTACGGCGGCTTTATGATTTAGCTCGGGAATTCGAACATAGTCCGGACTCGCAGAAGAGAACTCGATCATTTTCTCCAGGTAGAGGCTCTTAAAGTAAAGACTCATAAAATTACTGCTCGATCGGAAATAATCTTTTAAAAAACATCTGTATTCAGTTCAGAGCATAAAAAAGCATCATGTTTCAATTTTTTGAGCTTTAAGAATCGTTGAACTCGTAGAAAATTGCAGCCAAAGGTTACGTACCTTCGTCGGAGGTTGTAAGAACAGTGCGATATGTCTTGAATGCGCGAGTCAACGATAGTTTGGTGCTACAGCGCAAACTCAATAATGCCGAAGCTCAGGTACAAATATGGCAAATCTGATATCGCCTGAAAATTGCTAGATAGAAATTCGATTATTTTGTTTTGTTCATTATAGATTAATGAGCTGATCACACATTATAAATCGGCTGATGAATCTTGCAGAAGATTGGAAAAACAGTTGGTAGAAGCTAAACGCGAGATTTCTGACAGGTGATTTCAATTAATGTCAATTTTTTTATTATTAATAATCTCTTTGGATAACTTTGAATAATATTAATCATTAAATAAGAAATAGCAGTTGAAGGAAACCAATTTGTCCTAGAAACCTTTTTTCATTGTAAAAAAAAGATTAAATATAATTCAGATGTGATCAGATTGCGGAATTAAACCGAAAATTGCGAAACGCTGATGATTTTATTAAAACTTTTGAAGACGAAAAAGCGAATGCGGCGGCCATTCGTCGAAAACTAGAAGATGAGATTAGGCGATTGAACGAGTAAATTTCATATTATTTTAAAGCGTAGGCTAGGATGACATTTATAATACTTCGATTCTCGATTATAGGCACTTCAAGAAAACATTGGCTGAAATCGAGGCAAAAGCAGCTGAGGAGGCAGAAGAACGTTTACGTACAATGGAAGACGATTATAAAGCTCGGTAGGTAGTGAAACTAAGATGAATTAAATTGTTAAGATGTAGCAAAATCTGTTCAATTTTAACTTTATCTTTTATAGAAGTTCTTCTGTCTTTCTTATATTCTTTTTATATTTCAGTATCGCTGAGTTGACGCGACGTATCGATACACTTATGCAGGAACACAAACATTTGAAGGATGAGGCCAATGAACTAAGCATCAGAAACAGAAATATGGATGTTGAGTATAAAACTTTATTACAGAAAATAGATGACAAAGGTATTCTTTTCTTTTTATTTCTTTTTGACTCGTTCCACTAAAAAGCCATGAATTACTATTTTTCGATCCTATAATACAATTCCTCCCTATCTTATGGAATATACTTTTTTTTAACATTAACATTAGCATTTCGACTCGCTCCACTGGCCAATAACCTTTGACTGGGCAATTACTTGGCTGCATAATTACAGATGTACTCCAAGTATTACCTTTTAGTGAGTGGTTTACTCCTGTCAAATGACCCAAACCATGATGTTTGGTATTATAAACTTGGTATAATTCTTATAAACAACTATATATAGATATATACAATTGGTCATATTATCTCTCTTTTCCCCATCATTCTTAGTTATGCAAATGAATTAAGGCTATTTAGGCTAATTAATGCAAGTTTTGCAAAGCCTGCTAATATTCAAATATATTCAAAAAATAGGAAATTTTATTTTCTTAATGAGATTTTTTTAATGATTTTAGACAAAGAGATCAGGAAGCTAGAAGATTCGAAATCAATGTTATTAAAAGAATTCGATAGTCAACGAGCACGACTCGATGCCGTCACCAATGAGATTGGCAGTCTTCGATCAAATTATGAAAATGCCAACAAAAGTTCAGAAGCTCATATAATAACTCTGAATGAATTGAAACAACAACGCGATGATATCGGGTAATGATCCCGTTATTATGCCCTTTCTTCAACCATGCAATATTTACAGATCTTTTTTTACTGTAAATATTATATATTCGCAAATATATTAAATTGCATAACATAACATTAATATATATGAGAACTGAGCAATCTCTTCAACGAAATAAATTCAAAGGATTTCTCTCGAAGCTGAAGTTGAAATTTTTAATAAGTGTTCTTTAAAAAACGGGTTTTTCAGAAAGCAGAAAGACAACGTTGCTCGAGAATTATCCGATCTTAAGCGCAATGTTGACGATGTTAGCAAAGAACGTGATGATGCTCGCAAAGCGTATCAACGTAGGTTTTATGTTTTGACCATGGTTAATGGGAATAAAATAGTAAAGTATGGCAAATTTACCGTGAGCAATCATCTAATAAGCTGTGCCTGTGCCTGTAATCTAGCTGGTATACAGATATAAGATAGGTTGGCATCGTCTCCTTGATAAAAATGAATGTGATATGTTTCGATTTCACCAAGAAAGAAAGAAATTATATTGTTAATGGCTTGCAGGACAACTAGCTGATGTTGATAGATTGAAGGCACATATCAGTGATCTTGAAAACCAGGTAATAGACATCTCTCGCCAAAATGACGAACTGGATACACAATTAAAAGCAAATAAAGCTAAAGTGACAAGCTTGGAGACTTATTTGCAAGCGGCCAATAAAGAGAAAGAAAAGTCAAACGCGATCAACCAGAAGCTTATTAAGGAAAAGAGTGAAATTATGATGTGAGTTAAATATTTTATATTATGCTAAATCGAGTTGATATCGCCAATATTTATAGCAATAAATTATTATAAATTATAAATTATTTGTTGCAGAACAATTCAGAAAAATGAAACCGACACAAGCTCGCTTAAAGATCAAGCCAAAAAATTGGAACAGGAGATAGAAAAATTGAGAAACGAAATTTTGTTAGCGGATGAAAGGGAAAAAAATGCAAATGAGGCTTATAAACAACAGCTAATGCTAGCGCGAAATCTTCAAAATGAACTGAACGAGCTCCGAGCCGAACTTGAAGATCTTCAAAAGATCAAGCTTCAAAGTCCAGAAGTTACGGAAGTTAAACCTCTATCAGTTGGTACGTTGATATTTATTCAAATTGAAAGTTCAACTTATGTACATTTTTCGCTTTATTTTAGAGCCTGAAAAACCTGGTGACAAGATTTCTATTCATCATGACACAACTATATACGACATAACACATACCCATGTAAAAGAAGTCGAAAACAAGTGGAAGATTATTGTTGAGCGCCTCGAAAATGAAAAAGTTTATTTATCATAAAAATGAAATTTCCTGTTAAAATGGAATTTAAAGTTTAAAAAATTTAAAGAAAACGAGAGAGGCAACATTATAAAATATTCCACAAAATAATTTGCAGTTAGTTTTATTTAAACAATTTATTTAAGGACGATCTAGCTAGACAAATCCAAGGATTGCAAGAAGAAATCACTGTAAGGCAAGATGCTCTTGATCGACAGGATAAAGAAATTGAAGATCTACATAAAAAGTTGGATGAACAATTTGATAAAGTGAAATTAGAGATGGTCACAATACAAGATAAGTATAAAACTGATTTCGATACTGATAGAGACAAATATAATCAAGTGAGTTGGTTTTATGTCGTTTTTTTCACCATTTCCCGTTTCGCTGATTTTAATGGCATGCAGGATGAAAACCATTTGTGGATAAGATTACAATCACAGTTGATCCCTAACACCACCCATTTTATTTTATTACTTGATGACAGATGATTTATTTCTAAAATTCAAAGGGCGGAAATGGAAATTGCATTGAATTTAATCTTGTTGAAACAATAATGAATTATTGTTAGGGAAACTTTGGATGATCTGTAATAAACCCACCATTTTTTATTTTTTACGATCTTATTTATCCTATAAAATTTGATCTTAAAGCATCTTTGTCATTTAGACCATCGAATCAATGAACATACAAATCGACGAGTTGCGAAATAAATTGAATGTTGCTGAGACTCAGCTGAACGACACGAAAAATCGAGATGCTCAATTGGATAGAGATATTAATGATTGGAAAGAGCGATACAACAAAACGAACGAAGAACTTGGGAGAATACGGGACCAACTGAATGGTGTACAGGATAATGCCGATAAGGTTTACCCTACAGTTTAGCGAAATAGTTTCAACATTCAGTTCCATTTTTTTTAAAGAGCATTCACTATTATTTGCTAGACTCGCTCCGCTGACCTACTTATTTAACCAGACAAAATGCAAAGGAATCTCTTTGCCGATGGAATTAGATGTGAGTCGCCAACTTCACCGAGATTTTCGGACAGATTTATTCCAGTTGGAAGTAGAATTGCAATATCGGTGTTTTATCAATGGCTTACTGAGGCATTCTATTCTCCTTTGCTTTCTCCTTAGGCTGCATTATCGACATCGACCGAAGAGTGGTGCATTGGCGGATCCAAACCCAAACCTCGATTCTCAGTGGCAGTTATTTTGCTACCGATGCACCACAGCTGGATCTATTAGAATGGCGCTGAAATACAATTTTTTGAACTAAATTTTTTTAATTTTGTTTATTTTTATTTTGTTTTATAGGAGATTCAACGACTTCAAAATGATTTATATTCTACTCGCAATACCTTAAAAACTATGGAATCAGATAATGATTCTCTGAAGACACAACTTACAAGTTCCGAAGAAAACTGTAAATCATTAAATAAGACAATTGCAGATCAAGCAACGAAACTTCGTGATTGTAAGCTTTGATTTAGCTATTCGTGTTTATATTTTACAGATTAAAAATAGGTAGATGATAAAATTCACTGGAAGATATAATTTTGCTGTTTGTGCACAATTCTATTTTGTTCTAAAACAATATATTTTAGCTAATTCGCAAATGAGACATCTCACTGAAGAAATTGATGATTTGAAGAAATTACGCGATAATTATGAAGCAGAATTGGATAATGCTACGAGCCGTTTACGATCATTAGAAACTGAATATGGACAAATTCAGCTCGATAGGAATAATACTCGAGGGCAACTTGAAATTGCATTGAAAGATAATGATTTACTCAAGGTAATATTTTAATATTTTATACTTACTCTTCTAATTTTTTTAATATTTTTTTCTTTCTAGATACTATTTCTAAGAGTGATTAACTTTGAAAGAGGATCATATCTTTTTTCAATCGTTAGATTGCTAGGCCATTAAATCTTCCCAATCTTACGAACTGGTTATTATCCACCACACGATTATGAAACAAGAAAATAGCTATAAGAAATTTCACTTAGAATAAAGAGGAACTGAAAGAGAATGGCAATTTTTGGATGCACTTGTAATTTTGCTGTATGAAATATCTCTTTTGTCTTCAACTGCTATCAACAACTACCATTTTTGTTTATCGAAATTTCAGAATTCAATCTCGGTTCATGAAGTCGAAATTGATCGACTGACAAAAAAACTTCAGCAAGCTTCTGCTGAATTGAGCGATCGCATCAAGGATCTCGATCAGTTCAAATTCGAAGTAGCTATTCATTTATGCGTTATTTAATCGTTATTAGTTTCGTCTCTATATGTACTTTCAATTGCAGTTGAATAATGTTAAATGTGCTTTTTAAGGAACTATAGTTATTTCAAATATTCACTGTAGATTTCCTTTTTTAAAAGAGAAAAAGCTACAAAAAATAACTAACATGCTTGGTGCAAGTAATATTTTTGTTTAGGCTAGCTCTGCTGGTTGTTATGGCTATGGTTAGAAAAACTTTCGCCAAGTAGAATTGGTAATAAAAATACAAATAAATATATTCGGATTTTCAATGACAAGTACACTCCTCCTAGGCCAAGAAACGAATGAAAACGAACTAGGCAGATCGACCATACCATTCTACCATTCTTATCCCACTGATGTTTGTCGGAAAATAATGAAAAAATGCTATATTGGATCCTAAGTTGAATATAAGCAAATTCTTAATCAATGACAAAAGATATTCGTATGATATTCGTAAAAGATAAAGATATGATATGATATAAGATTATTTCAAAAATTTGTTTGGAGAAAATTTTTAAACTATCTATATTTTTTATAATTTTCTTTCAAAAATCTTGTATCTTTCAGCGAGAGCGAGTTCAAATTGCATTGCGAGAAAAAGCCAAATTGGTTGAAAATCTAAATAATGAATTACAAAACATGGATGCAAAAATAAATCGGCTGAGGATTGATTTCAGTGATACATCCGATAAAGTCAGCATTGCATATTTTTTAAAATTTTGCAATCCGGAATTTCTGGTTTAAAGAATTCTAATCTTTGAAAGACGAATTGCTCATCAAATTTTCTTCCTGAAGTTTTATTTCTAGTTCTTCTTCAGTGAAGATATGTATATATTCAATGTATTCGAATATATTAAAGTAAACTTACTGTTCTCAATAAGTAAAATTCAGTTAGCGGTTAGCGATGCTGAACGCGATTCGCTTCGTGTTGAGTTGGACCGACTTCATCAACAACTTCAATTTAGCAAAGAGCAATTGGCTCGCAAAACAAATGAATATCAGACAGTTATAGACGAACTTGCGAATGCACATCGTTTATCTGAAGATGGGCGCGTTAACGCAGTTCACGATCTAGAATATAGCAAATTGGAACTTGGCGATTTACAAGTTGGTTTTTCTAATCAGTTCTATTCTTTCATTTCTTTAGAACCCTGGCTTCATCATTCATAATTATTCGATAGTCTTTATATTAATGGCAAGTTTAGAACAATTTGTAAAATCTGTTCATTTATAGTCTCGCTTGGACAAAGCTGATCAATTATTGGTGTCCATGCAGCAAAATTATTTGAGGTCAGAAAATGAGCGAGAACGACTAGCTGATGCACTTCGTCGCTTTCAGTCTATTGTAAATCGTTCAATTATGATTCGGAAGTTCCAAGAAGTGATCGACAGCGATAAAGAAAAATCTGATGCTGTATGCTGCAAATTTATATAACTTTTCACTGAAAATTTGAATGTTTTATGAAAGCTTAATGATAAATTTGTTAATTTTGAATCGAAATTCAAAATGTTCTTTGCAGGCAAAAGAGATTGTTCAACCAGTAAAATCAGCTGAAGGCCAGTTTTCATTTTAATTAATTCCTTGATAAGTAAGTGGGGAGAAAGAACTTTGGGATTAAACGAAATAGCCTAATTGAATGAACAGAGTCGAAGGGATAGTGAAGTGTTGAATAGTGTTGTTTCGGTTGTGAATATTTGAAGTATACATATTATGATTAGTTTCAAGTGTATTTCAGGAAAAGAGGAACAATTCGATATAGCGGGACTTGACACGAATTTCCAGGCGTTGATTAATCGAATCGAAAAACTTGAACTGGAACGAGTAAGTGTGAGAGCAATTTTAAAACAATTCGAAAGAAAATTGCGAAAATTATGAATTGTTATTGGATTGCATAACTTCGATATAAACACTTATACATTTACACATTTATTTCTACACTTATACTTCTCCTTAATCTATTAAGCGTTATTTTCAGATCATTGCAAAAAAATTTAATTCTGCAAGATTTTCATTAAAAATCACTTTTTATTCAAAAAGTCCAAAAATTTCTCACTTGACTTCGTGAAGGATAATAACTTTACAGAATGATTATCGTGAAGCTTTGGAAAGAATGAAACGAAGAACTGGCGATGTAAAATTAAGTAAACGTGAAACAATTATCCGGAAAATTGACACACGTGAGGAAGACGCTGGAGGTAATGCGCTTATCGTACATTTAAACTTCAATTAATAATATTCCTTTTCTTTGATTTTTATTGAAAATTTCTGATGAATTCTGATTTCATGTTATCATGCTGATCAGACGAGCATCAATTTTCGTGATTTTTGTGTTGTGTTGTCTACAATCTTAGACGGGGAAAATATCTCTGCGCTATAATGCATATTTCATTTGTAGACAAAAAAGCATTCGATTTACGTCTGGAGTCTGCTAAACAATTGCTTCGATCTCAAGAAGAAATCTTAAAGCAACGTGAAGAAGAAAAACGAGATCTCAAGTCAAAACTCGTCAGCCTCGAGATGCAAATACGAACAAAGGAAGGTCAAATTCGTCATCTGAATGTAACATTCTCTATTTGTTTTTTATACATAATAATTTTATACATAATAATTGTCATTTATACATAAAAAACTTTGTTTAGATAATTTTAACAAGTTAATAACAATAATTAAAGGACAGTAAAAATTAAATATTGGCTTGTCAAAACAGAGAAACAATAATGCTAGCATAAATTGTGTACTTGTACTTGCGTAACAAGGATCAATGATAAAAAAATTAAAGATGAAATAGTTTTTTTCTAAATGATTTTGTAGGTTTTTCTCATATTATTAAAATCAAATAAGTAAATTTTCGTTCAAATAGGATCTTGTAAAAAGCTTGAGAAGTGATTTAAACAATGCAAATGGTGAACTACGTATATTGCGCGATCGGGAAGAACAATGGGATGCTTGCAAATTCCATCTTGAAAGCAAATTAAAAGATCATGAAGCTGAATCAAAGAAAATAACTACATTAACGGCAAGCTTCGATGCTGATCGACTGGTAAGCCCTAAAATTATACATACATTTAAGAGTTCCTTTATTAACCACTATAAAAGAAATATATTGATGACAAGTAGAAAGGGAAAAAGAAGTTAGAGGGTAACACTATGGCTTTTATAATTGTTATAATTGTAATTATTCTTTTTTATAGTTGTTCTTCATTTTTATAGAACTGTTCTAAAAAATATATTTTACTGCTAAATTTATTGTTCTGTAGCTATTTTAAACATAAAATATATATTTTCCTATTTTAGACGTTGAATGAGAAGGTGAATAAATTAACGATGGAGTTACGACAGAGTGAGAATAAATATGCTGAGCTGGAGAGTGATGCCGACCGATTGCGAAAAGACTTGGAGAGGTCTACTAAAGTTGAAAATGAATTAAGGGTTAAAGTTGATCAATTAAACCGTGTTACGAATGATCATCAAATCTTACGCGATCAAGTTAGAACTTTTCTTTCTGTTTGCTATTCTATTCTTGTATCATCCTATTTATAGATTAATAAATCTTCCCTTATCCCATTTATAGATTAATAAAATTTCCCTTATTTCATTAGTGTAAAAAAATCGACTCTAAAGCTAAATTTTCATCAGATAGGCAGTGTGAGAATAAGCAAATCATTTAACCATTGTATCTCTGAACATTTCCTCTTTTTCTCTCCGTAGTACTCTATTCCTGATTTAACTCCACTGTTTATTAGAACAAATCTTTTCAATAGGGATCACAAAGATAAAAGTCCAGAGGTCCTCAATAACATTTCTATTTTCTCCAAGGGATATATTGGAAAGGCTATTAAACGATAATATTTCAGTCGAAACGAAATTCCATCTTATTATCTTGTTATTCTTTATGCTTTATGCTTTATCATAGATCACAGTCTTAATTGCTAGTTTTCAGTTGCTTAATGCGGAAAATGAACTTTCAAATCTAAATGGTCGAAAGCAACAGCTAGAAAACGAACTTCTCCTGGCTCGATCGGAAGTACGTGAAAGCAAGCAACGCAATAATGATGCTGTACATCGTATCTCAGAACTTCAGCGACAGCTCGAAGACATGCTTAATGATAAAAAACGTCTGAATGATCGTATTCAAGGTTTAGAGAAGGTATTGAGTTTTATTTTTTGTGGTTAGAATTGTATTGCTTTTTGATACAAGTTAAAATTTTCAGACAGTCGCATCATATAGAACCACAGAAACCGACTTGCGACAGCAAATTTCTGCTGCTGCAAATGAACGAAGTTCATTACAAAACGAACTGTCCGACTTTCAACGACGTCTACTGCGACTCGAAAATGATAAGCGGATTTTGAGCGATAAAAATGAAGATCTTGAAAAAATTCGAGTCACACTTATGCAACGATTAGCATTGGTATTTCCTCACTTATTTTCCTATTTTAAATCATAAATAATATACTATTAGAAATAATAAAAAAATATTTGCATCTATTATCTTCAGCGTTGAAACTTTTCGAAAAGCATTAGTTGACGTAGATGAAGCGAAATTAATAGGAAAAAACTCAAAAATCTGCCTTAAGATTAAATTCAATATAAAAACTGAAAAATTTATATAAAATGTGGGCCATAAAAATGAAAAGAATATAAAATTTTTGATTTTTTGCATCAATTTTCTAGTTTTTAAATTAGTTATAAGCTCAAAACAAGAATATGCGTCTATAATTTTAAATTTTCATAACTTTATTTAGCTTGAAAGTGATAAACGAGCCATTGAAGCGATGATGACTGATATGGCATTACAGCGGGAAGCAATTGAACAATCCTTGAATTCCTTGGAGCGTGAAAATAAGGTAAATTTATTCTTTCAACCAAAATTAAATCGAAGTAAATCAATTAATGTAATCGAGAAAATTAAAGTAAGAAATTTGAACTTTAGTTAAAAGAAATTTAGCTTGAACATTGATTTAAATAATCGTAATTTATCAGGAATTACATCGAAACTGCGCTCAATTACAACAACAAATTGCTCAATTAGAATTAGAGAATGGAAATAGATTAATGTCTTTGGCTGATAAGCAAAAAGAAGAACAAGATAGAATAGTTAAAACGGTGGCGTTGGAAAAAGCTCAGGTGAAAAACTTTGCAAGTTTTAAAAAATTTGATAAAGTCAGATTTTGACAGCTTCATTTTATAAATTTGAATTTAGATGGAGCGCTTAATTGAAAATCGCGAACGTGGTCTTAAATCTAGAATAAAACAACTTGAAGCGCAACTTAGTGCGCTACGAGATCAACTCTTTAGTGAACGAAGGAGACGTCGAGATTTCTCTGATAGAGTTTATATTTCGGATTTGAGTAAAACCACTTCTGTTCTGCCAGCGGGAAGTATTTACAGCGGCTTAACTTTTCCTCTTAATGATACTTTTGAGTAATGTTTAATTCATACTATATATTTTTGTTATCATCATATAATATCATCATATAACATTTTTTCATTAAATTAACCCGTAAAAAAACCCATGCTATGGAGTAAAACTATTTTTACAGAGAGAATAAATCGGAAAAATGCAGGATTTGAGCAAGGCTTCAACGAAATAACTAATTTGACCAATTTTAGTTGAAACACATACACCACTCAGTAACATAGCATACCTGGTTATATAGGATAGGATAATTTTTTGAAGTGACAAAATTAGTTGTGTAAATTTTTCCCAGCCGAGCTATCCCGTAATCTTGTCGGACCAGACAATTTTTGTCAGGAAGTCATTTGGCAAAGTACAAATGAGTCGCTAACACTTGGTTTTTGAAACTCTTCTTTCTTACTAATAATCAGGTATGCTATGCTATGAGAACAACAACCCATTGAACAATTATTAAATAAGCTAAACTTCAGACAAGCTATTAATACTTTTCCAGTACTTTCTTTAAGCAGTTATTCATCTTTTGGATCTTACGGTTCACCTTGGGTCGATTTTTCTACGAATAATGAATATACCAAAACTGGAAGTACAGTGATTACTTTAAAGGAAAGTTAGTCTTTTAGTCTTATTTTAATCGAATCGTTGTAAAAGTTCTGATAACATATAGAAAAAACATTGATTATTATAGGTACAACTCGCCGTAGTCGCAGTCCGGGTGGCACAGGTTCTCCATTTGCTCATGATGAAGGGATGCATAGTTACGAAATAACAAGAAAAGAAGAAAGTGATGGAAAATCTACGCATATTAGCGAGGAAGCGATTGTACTGCAACCATCTCAAGAACTTCATGAGAGCGGTTCGTTCGATGGCGCTCAATTTAATCGAATGACTTCTACCAAAAGTAGCAATACTAAACAGGTTACGAATATGTGGAACTGACAAGTCGGCGTTGTGGTCACACTTGTGCGCTTATTTATTGCTTGTCTCACCTAGCATAGCGATTTTTTCTTTCAGCACTGCGAAATATCTGGAAACCTCTCCTACTCCCGCGTTTAATGAATTCAACATTCCACATTAAATGCATGTCATTCTATCAAACAATCGTACAACCTCAACTATATTTTATCATATTTCCGTTTTTGATTACCAGGCACAGTATGCATGTTAGAATTGTCTATTTTTTTGGTGTTAGTGCCATAAATGCATTCGGTTGCATGTTTTAAATGCTTATAAATTTTTAATTATTATCCATTAAGTTGGCCTTATGCAGATTTTTTTGCACAGTCCATTATTTTTATCTTAATATTATTATAATTAATTAAAATGTTTTACAACTTTACTCAAATTAGGCGCATTTAATTAATAATTAATAACAAAAACTAAAGTTTTTTTCTGTCGGATGATTATTTTAGTATTATTCGTAAAGTAATTAAGTAAAAATCTTCCGACAAGCTGATTGACCTCTTCTGCTGAAATCAGTTCCAATATTCTAACAGAATTAGCGGACATATTTTACCGTATTTTGCCAATTATCAACATTTTTTGATAATCAATTACTACCTTTAATGAATCAAAAGTTAGATATTTAGTAACTGCACAAATGTATTTTGTGCTAAATAAGCTAATTGACTGGGGTCAGTGAATAGCTGTGAAGTAAAATAATTGTTTTTGAAATTTTAGAATATTACGCCGCTCAAAAATAATATAAATCGGAAGAAAAACGTGACCAGGATAATTGAAAACTTATTGGTGAGTTGCGTCGAACCAAAATATTTCGCTCTAACAAAGTTGCTTTCTTTTTTTTACCATCCATCCTTTATTTTTTTAGCTTATTTCAGTTATTAAGGCTTAGTGTTAACAATTTTGTAAAATCGCTTAACGAAAATAGCTCTTTTCTTAATTTTTTTATTTTAACAACGATGCGAAGTCCGTTTTTTAAGAATTTTCTTTTTTCTCAAACGTATACTGTAATTCAAAGCCACTGAATAGGAAAAGTATAGTTAATAAATTTGTTTTCCACGAAGGGATTTCCTATTTTTCTGCATGAAGCTTAGTGAAAAACCTTAGGAAAGGTTGTCTATTGTCAGTTTTCAGTTTTTTTCACTTTTCAGTTTTTCTTATTTTGAATTTGAATGAAGTTTAGCATTTCAATAGTTCTAATCATTTCGAGTTTCCCTCCTGAAATTTATTGTACATGTTTTATGACCACTCATTTGATGTAAATATTGGTGAGGGAATACAATAACCGTCACCAGAAAAATCAGATGCACCGTCCCTAAGCGAAGAATTTTGGTTCGACGATAAAATATCAGTAGAAGGAGGGAAACACCTTTCATTTAATTAATTGGCGCATAGCAAAAAATTAATAGAACAAATAGATTTACGATTAATACGACCGTAATAACATTTTTGGCTCGCAAAATAACAAAATTTAAGTTTTTGTAGATTTTGAATTATTTAAATTAACTATTTTAAATTAAGAAAAAATAAAACTTTTTTTTTTAAATTTTCAGAAAAAACGAAAAAAACTGTGATTGTCGTTCATTTAAGAGGCCGTGAAGTAATAAACAATCGATGAGGCTGAATTGATATTTCTTTTATTCTTTTATTATAAATCTTTATTTTGCACTAAAGATTACTGGAAAAATTTTACTGAAAATAAGCCAAAAAATAACTAATCGAAAGCCCGCTGATAAGCCTGATAAATTAAATCAAGTATGATAAATGCTTAAGGAAAGTGTTTTGCATTTGCTTTATGCCATTAACCGCTCTACTGCCAAACATTGACAGTTTAGATATTTTAGAGAAAATAGAATTTCGAAATGAAACCTCAACATATGTCATCGTGCATATTGCAGCATATTTTTTGTAGTATTTTTTATTAATATAATTCTTTTTTATTATTGTTTGATGATTATTTCTTATTTCAAGTTTTTCTTAAAACAAAGTGGATTTTTTAAAATTTTCTAGAATTTTTGGCTTTCGAACAATTTATTTTATACCTATATTCCCTTATTAATAATTCTAAAATTTTCTTTTCTCATTGTCAGAAGTTCATAATTTTTCTTAAAAATTTCTTATTTCTTCACATTTGTCTTTACTTTCATTGATTGTCTTGCATTAAATATTTTCGTTTCGATTCCAATGGACCTTTTAAACCGAACAAATAATAAAGAATGAGTCCAATTTGTCTGTTCTAATTGATCAGCGCTTTAAAATTTCAGGTGGTTTTTCAAAAATTTTATGAAATAGAGCAAAAGTGTATCAGCTAATACAGAAAAACCTCATCAATAGTCACCATTTCAGGCTAACAAATTTAGGAAATCGTTACCAGAAAGGAAAGTGAAATATCCTTTCAAATTCTGAAATTCCAGAATAGTATGAAAAGTAAACAAACATCAGCGTTTTATTTCTGCTAGAAATCTAATTATTAACCAGAGGGAGTTGGAGAGTTGGAAATGTCACTGGTTGTAGCTAATGGAATCATCTTCACTAGTAATAACCGTCGGAAGAAAAAGAAGCAGCTCGAGGTGATTTATCATCCATCATCTTGATAATTTTGATAATATGCACATTATCATAAAAATAAATACTTCATAGATAACCCCCTATGCTAGTTTGTTTTTGAAACCTAACAAAGTCGTGATAATCGATTATCGCCATAGAATTTCATTATTTGTTAACCTCTTTCAAACAGTGAAAGATTTAAAAGAAATGCAAATACCATAAAAAGTAATATTTGTAGAAGAATTTTATTGCAGTGCAATTGCAGATGTATGCGTTATAAACGGTCCCATTCGAGAACGAAGCGTTCATTTAATATTTTCTCGCTTTCATGAAAATTTTATTTAAATTTTTATTCTTCCTACGTTAGCGTTGGCTCCTATCGCAGAATTAAACGGCAACAGGCAATCCCGATTAGAAATGGTGCGAAGTGAAGAAGAAGATCCACGCATACTTTTAAGTGATCACCCGAAGAGAGGATCTTATCTTAGAAGTCAAAAGGGCCTTGCTCCGCTAGCTTGTCACTCGCATTAGACAAATATGCCAAGGAGGTTAGTCGTTAGTCACCTGGATTTTTAGATGGATTTACTCTAGCGGCGAGTAGAACCTCAGCATTCTCGCTCCGAAATGGGCAACATCTCACTGAGCCAAGAAATAGTAATTTGGTATATGGTATATAATGGTAATGGTAATTTTACTGAAGGAAAAAGAAGAAATAAAAATGATGAAGGAAAGAGCAAAATGATCTATTGTCTTGCCTACCTAAATACTTAATTTTGTCGAATATCTTTTAATTAAAAAAATTTCTATATTGTCATTCTTCTTCTAGTAATTCGCACCATGATTAGCCTGGCTACAAGGATAAGTCATCTTCAAGCAGTCCAATTCGTTGCCATGCCTTTACACTGTCTAGCCCATATGTCGCTGGAACATCCATATGTTCAAAGTTTCCTGAAACCTGTATCCAGGTCTTGTTTGTTCCTACTCGCTTTCATAACAGGTTTGGCAAGTAGAGAGATATGCGTTACCCTCAATTATCATTATGAGAACATGGTCAACAAATGCTTCTTATTGCCAGCGCAGCTAATATTTAAGCGAAAGTGGATGAATTATGTGACATTTATTGAGAATTTGACATAAATGGTCAAGATGGATAATCAATTTCTTAATTTCTTCCACTGTGGCCATTTTTTGCAGCTATATGAAAGGGTGCTGCATACTGCCGTTATATAACTTCGTTTTGATGGTGATTTTATGGAGATTCCATAGAAATTTCTCCAGACTGAAGAGCATATTTCTAGCCGCGTTTATCCAGGCCGCAACTTCATTCGATCACTTGGTATAAGATTGGATCTAAAATATTAAAATCTTCCAGTTTTCCCTCGGATTAAATGATAAAAATTGGTATGTCGGAGCATTTGGTATGGTGAAAATATTTTCGTCTTCTAATCCGATTTTTGCTGCATTTATCGATAAAATGTCATTTCTTGCATTTCTTCTATCCAAAAGGAGCAAGCCATCATCCGATTGATTTAAGATTTACTATATAATACTCTAGAATGACCCCTATATATACTACCTTGAATGTGGGGCAAACGGTGTCCATAATTGAATCAATCGCATAATTAAATTATAGCGTATTCCAGTCTCCATTGGTTATATCCACTTTACTTTTCGGGAGAGAAATGTTGTTAGTAGTTCAACTCCCGCAGAGAACTTACCTTTCCCATTGTCATCACCTAAAGGAAGAGCATGTACATGCACACTGATGACCGAGATATTGTAGGACTTCCTTTTGAACTCGGCCAAACAATCGTTAACTGGCAATCATTCAATTAGACTCGAGTTTCGAGTTCTTTCAGACATTATGACTTCACACTATTTCATTCTCAGTTATCCCAAGCAATGATACAGCCAATATTTCTGTAATAATAACTGCACCCTAACTGAGGACAGGAAGATAGAAAAACGAATTTCCGATAAGGTGTTGTCCACGCTATTTTTGGACAAAGTATGGGCAGTAATTGCCTTATATCCAATTTCCATAAGAGTTCTACAGTTCCATTCTGCTTCTGCTTAAGACTTTTCCGCATGTACAACATAACAATTGTTCCTTTCCTTTAACAGCCTCTAGCAGTTATCCTTGATCGAGACTCTCCTCAAACTTAAGAATCGCTTCAGATCCAGCTCGCAAATTTATCGCAAGCAAGGCCATCATGTGCGTTGGAGTATGCGAGCGAAGTCTCAATATAGAAATTTTCACTATAGAATCATTTAATGATATAAGTAGAGGTGGATCTCGAGCATGCACTCAGATTTTAATGTTCTGACAGCTTTATCTCAGTTAAAATAGATAAGCAAATTTCTAACGATGTATTACTGCTATGGTTATTTTTACTTTTACTACACGGAATAATAATGAATAAATGTTGCCATTGCTTCGGAAGAAAGAAACAGTGAGAGATAAATTATTGTTTGATCCGGTACAGTGACCACGTGATGAGTTGATCTAAGGGTGTGCTGCACAGGTTCGGTTTCTACGGTGGGTATAACTAAACATGTTAGAGATTCATCGTGCCTCTGTCCTCAAGCAATTCTTGTTTCACTATTATTTAGTGGAACTATATAGTTAAAAAGGATATGGTATTTGCTATTATATGAAGGAGTCTAAAATAAAACCAGCAATTTAGCAATTTTCTTAAAGAAGTAAAATAAGCTGCGATAAATATGAAATCTTCTGCAAGGATGACAAGATTTTAGCGGTTATATGTTTTTGATTATTATTATTAATTTTTATTGTTTTATTAAACAAATTCTTATTAAATTATTATATCAAACAAATTAGATTATTTTTGTTCTACTCGAAACTCACAAGTAAAGCTGATGATCGTTTCCCGTTTTCCAGCATTACTTTTAATAGGTTATTTGTGACTGCTAATGGATATTAGCTTAAATATCATTTCCGAGCTGTTTTGAATGTTTTTTCTGTTAATTCTGAATCTAAATTGAAAAGAGACAAGGAAAGGCGAACCGAGAGAAACTGCGCAACTATACAACTGTTTATAAGCCTTTCCTCTCGTGAACCGGTTGTTATTAAGAAAAAATAAAACCAATCAGTAAATAAATTTGGTGCGAAATTAAAATCTTTACATATTCTTGGAATGATTATAAAATTCATTACAATACAAATACATTAGGAATCGCTCGTCGAAAACTTTCTAATAGTAAACGATATAAACGATATTCATTTAAGTGATTTTCCCTTTAATCGCTCGAAAAATGGATGGTTGGCAAGGATATGATACGATTCTTTGCGGTCTACAAGTGTATGTCTTTAGCGTAATGCGTAGAATAGAGAAACTGTCTCATGGAATACCGTTTGGTGCATAACATGATGACATTTTGCTCATGAAACATGAGATTAAGCAATTTTGATTTTTATGCTCATCATTTTGGAATAATCTCATAATTTCTTCAGATGTCCATATGAAACAGCATTTTACTACTATTATTGTTGTAGTGGATTATTTGGATTGGGAGGTTGTTGTTATTCCTTGAAGGCTTGGGTCATGTAAGTCGCTTTAATTAGTCAAAATGATTTTTTTATGAACAATATTTTGAACACTTCCGCACAGACTAATTGATTTTGTGAAGCAAAAAAATGAATTTTAAACCAATTAAAATAATTAAAATGTTTACAATAAATATGTACGGAATTGGATTCCATAGGTTCCATTCCATTCCATCATTCCATTATGAAGTTAAAAAAGCATCCGAATTATTTTCAAATTATTTAATTATTTTTTAAATTTTCATTTGATTTCGAAAGATTTCGAAAATAAAGAAAATAATCAAATTTTATACGAGCCCTTTTAAAAAATCATTTCCCAATTTCCCAGATTCCATTTCTTATCGACCGATGCCAGTATGAAAAAAATATTAAAAATGTGAAATTCCTGGCTTAAATTATTAAAATAAAGAATTTTTCGCAAGTAAAATTAAGGTCTAAGGTAATTAATAAGGCCTAAAAAGAATAATTCTCTTGATATTTGAAACAAGTTGGTCAAACCCTTTTGACTAACTTACTGTAGGTTCGGTTTATCCCTATATGGAAGCAAAGCCGTTATAGAAGAAAGGCCGGATGATAGAATTACAACCTTGAATGATTCTCTCTGGATTTCCAGTGAATCCAGCTAGATTAGAAGCAGAGAATGAATTTAGTTGAAATTATAGTGAAGAACAAAATATAAATAGAGTGAAAAAATTTGAGATTTCAGAGTGTTGATTATCATTCTAGTCATATTATTCCTTGCTTGTGCTGCTGGATGCATTGGAATTTTGCTTTACCGACAATCATCTCGTCGAAATGAACACGGATGATTAACACAAATATTATCTAAATGGATGATTAATGTATCAATTGGCAATTTGTAGATTTTTTTTCCCTTACGATTTGTTTCTTGCTATCTTTTATTATATTATAAGACTAATATTTTTTAACTCGATAAGAATGGAATGGTTCACTTTTATATGCATCGATATGAATGGATTTTAAAGAATATGAACGAATTCTTCCATAATATATTATTTGTATGCTATTTGCATAAAAAATGAGTATCTGAGAGAATGAGTGCAATTTTTCAGCAGATTTCCAAACTGATCTATAGCATCTGAAAATGTTTGAGGACCATTGCCTCATAACACAGCTTCTATTATTGGATCTTCTTCCCGGCGAACTAGCTCTGCTTCTACCGCCGAGGGACTCCCTGACATATTTATCTAACAAGCCAGCTAAACGAGTCTAACCACTAATGCTCTTGAAAAGAAATGGATCTTCTTTAGATTAATTTATAGATTTCTATAACAGACGTTATTCAATAAATATAATCTACATTTTTTAAAATATAATCTGCTTAACACCATAAAGCTTTTAAGCCTTATCAGTATTGATTCATCGTTATTTTATAATTTTAACGCATATATTGATTATAATGTTTGCAAAAAATTCCGTAAAGATATGACTAAATTTTTTATGCGACCAAAACTTCTATGGGCCTGATTTTTCAACCATTTCAATTTTTTTCAAAAAGGCTTCAAAATTTTTATGTAGTGTTTCTCATATAAAATGCATCAAGACAATTTACCGAAACTTTCTTTCTATTAAGGTGGCGAATTTTTTTACCACTTCGAAGACTTATTTTTAATCGTATTTTGCTCATTTCGAATTTGAATTTCGATTTTTGCCCTATTCTTAGGATTTTTTAAGATTTGTTGTCGTTCAATTCTAAATTAATAATATTATATCATCCACTGTACTTATCAGTAAACATATTTTTCTCCAAAAAGCCTTTATCAATTGTCTCCAAGTTAATTTTAAAACTTCTATCAAATAATATTTCTCAAAGCTGAAGAAATAAAATGCACTTTGGAAATTCCGAAATAAAAAAAAAAAACGATGAAGAAATTGTGCAATCTTGAGCCAGGATAAAAAATTCAAAGGCTAGAGGCTAAATGTGCCGCCAGTAAATTCCTCGAAAACTTTTTCTATCTCTCATTATATGATTTGTGAAATTGCAATTTGTGATTTTGCTTTGCAATAGATGTGAAAAGCTTGGTTCTACTTATGAAATTTTCTGTTTGATGAAAAAATATATTTTTTAAAATGTACTAAATGGAAAAATTTTTTTCTACACAATTGGTTGTTTATGGGCTTTTCTAGTTTAAACCATAAAAATTTTTGCAATAAAACAATATCATAATTGTCATAACTTATTGTAGAGTTTGCAGATCACGAAAATTTTGCAAATAAAATTGTGTTGATTTTTTATAAAATAGCAAAAAGATTCATTTATTTAAATCTATATATTTAAAATTAAATATAGATAAAATCAATCATTTATAAAATTTAAAATTAGAAGATTAATAAGTGCGTGGTCAATCGTCATTGTTGCTAATATAGGCACTTGGTTATTGCTCTAGAATTCAACGAATAAATTGACAAATTGAACGAATAAATAAATTGCGATACTAATTTTGCTCATTATTCCCAACTGCTTGCTATGCACTTCTATGATATAACTCTCAACAAGCTCATAGAATCACTATGAATTGTCGTAAATGCGTTTAGGCAAGGATGTGTGTACACAAAATAATTTTTTATGAAATTCATTATTAATATCTTATTATTTATAATATTTTTTAAAATCATACTATCCAAAACATTATTTAAATATGGTTGGATTTCTTTTAAAATTTCTGATTAAAATCTATTCAAAATTCAAGTTTGTACTTTAAATTAAATATTAAAATAGGGCTATTTAAATAATCGATATAAATAGAATTATATTATATTATAGTTAATAGGTGGCCAAAAATAAGGTCCAACGAGGATCCAGTCTCAAGATGCACTCAAAAAAGATTAAAGAGACGTATAGGCCAGCGACATGTGGACTTAGACAGTGGAAAAAGGAGTGATTTCTTTCAATCTCAAGCATAAGCATCGCATTTTGCAGATATCTTACGCAATGAACTGATGCTAACTAGCAAGCTATTTGAAGAAATAAGCTTAATCCCTACCCAATAACAGGAATGAACCTAATATTAAATTCTTTCGGAGAGGAAAAGTCACCTTAGTTATATGGTGAATGATTAGATGAAGAAAAATTAGCAGCAAATAGAAAATATAATTTTTATTTGCGAAAAAAATACTTATAAATTTATAAACTTATAAATTTCAGATATTTTCATAATCATATTATTATTAGATTCCAATTCATTCTTTTGATTCTTTTTCCTTTCGATATTCATTGATCACTTCTGCGAAAGCATTACCGACTTCTTTCCAAGCATCCTTCATTTCTTGTGTGACTGTAGTTTTGGTTGCAAGGAATTCCGTGAAAATTGGCCAGAAATCCTAAAATATATATATATATGTAGATGCACGAATTTGTATTCCACCACTGAGAAAGGTAATCAACCTATCAATCTTTAACAACATTTTCTATTTTCTAATTTTTCATCGAGCAAGTTTAATTAAGCGAGAATGGTAAACATTAATTATGCAAAGCAGAAAAAATTTTTAAATTCTTAATAAATATCCACCTTCCACAATGTGGGATCCAAGATGATATTGCGACGGAGATGACGATCAAGTAAGTCATGAGCTAACGCTTTAAAAGTTGGCTCATTATCGATGGTAGATGCAATAAGATGAATTGCTAAGAGAATATTTTTGCCTTGGACCTTGAAAAACGGGTCGTTTTGAACATCTTCAGGAGCATAATTTTCTCGTCCAGCGAAATATGATCGAAGATGTGGAAATTTTTTGAACATACTTCAATTAAATTTGGATTACTCCTTCGACTTTTAGTAGAAATTTACTTTATTAAATCATTTATTTAATCTTGATCAAGTAGAATACTACTTCGACCGAGTCAAATATATATATATGTTTTACTGAGAATATACCTAACAAAAAACTAGCATATTTCCTGCAAATTATAGCTGAATTTCGCGATTATTTGAATACTACAACCATTACTACCCAATCCTATGCTTAATTTTTCCTTTTTTCTTTTGCTGTTTTTTAAATCGTCAAAGATTAAAAAACAATAAGGCTCAAAATTTGGGAATCTTGTCGCCTAATCAGACCATAAATTATGCCCGAATAGTGCTATATCCTGCAAAAAAATCAGCCAGTATTACGCATGAAAATTTCTGAGAATTTGCTGCATTATCCTTGAAAATCTTGTTCCTTGCAAAAAACTTACAATTTATAAAAGTCAACACCATTTTGAAGTTCCTGCGCTTCTTTGCCAGTATTTACATTCTTGATTGACTCCAAACATATATTTCTTAGATTTGGATCTGGCTTATTTAAATTTATATAATCATTACATAATTTTTCGATGAAGCAAAAAATTTTTCGTTTAAATTTCCAGGCTTAATAATTGCCAGAAAATTTTAGTAAAAAGCCAAAATTTAGAAGAATTATATGGTTTCTCAAAATAATAGAACTCCTTAAAGTCGAATTTGGTAAAAGTGGCTAAATAGCTCGCAGTAAAATTTTTTTTCGAAGGAAAACTTACTCAAATCTGCATTTGCTGCGAGGATAAAAAGTGTCACGAAGTACAGCAGCATTCTAAAAGATATGCAGTTGGAAAATCCGGGAATCTAGGAAGAAATCTAAAAAATCTAGAGAGCTAAAAAAAGAGATATTTAGCTAAATAACTGATTCATTAAATCAATTAGAAGTCAAAATTACTGGACAATTTTATCTATTCTGTTCAATCTTTAGTAATGCGGAGAAAATAAAGTAGAATGGCTCAATGGGTTCTTTAATTCGGAGCGCGTTTCCAAGTAAACCTCTGGTGAAAGTGGCAAATCACCTAATCTCTATCATCAAGAGACTCCCTGGCGTAATTGTCTAGTGCGACAAGCTAGAAGAGCGAGTCTAACCAGTAAGATGAGTACTCTTAAAAAAAAAACCAATAAGAATTAGAATCACTAGAATCGATCTTTGGGCAGAAGAAGACTTGCTATTAAAAGTGAAATCACGGCAGTGTTGAAGATCCAATGGTAATTCTGTACCACTTTCTTTCCCGTTGTTTTTTTAACTTGAAAAATCTTGGTGACAATTGGTACTAGCCAAATTATAATTGCTACTCGAAGAAGATCATAGCAAACGACTATGGGGGCTTGGAAATTTTTCTACAATTTTTTAATGAGTAAAAATTGATTTTAAAGCTGGATTTGTACTCTTAATTCATGCCTATATATACATGTGCCAAGAGAGGAAAAAATCTTGATGAAGCATTCGAAGCTATTCAGTAAAAAACGCACCAGTTGTTTGATAGAGATTTACACCGTTGAAATGATTAAATATCTGAATTTTTTTGTAAATTTTTGTTTCAATTTTTTAATTAATCTTTTATGTGAACAGTTGTGTAAAAATTTTTGAAATTTTGATTCAAAATTAAAGCCTCACTTCATTTTTTTGTGGATTCATTCTTTGTCTTCATCTATCAGAACTCACCATTTTTGGTTTGACTGGCCTAAGCGACAGCCAAAGTGCACTCCTTTCAGCTAAGTAACAATTAAGAGATAAAATTCAAATTCAATATTGGTGCATACTGCATAATCTTAGTCGAAGAAAAATGCTATTGGGCCATTATGCCCCACGATGGATGCGGAAGAATTTGAATTTTTAATATTTTAATAATTACTATTTAAAATACTATAATTTTTAAATTTAGTCAAAATTATGGCCGAAATTCTCTTTATTTAGTTCATCATTTAGAGAAGAAAGCAATTTTAAAAGCTGGTAAAGGTGGACAATATTGCAGTGTTTTTGCTAAAAATAGGTTTCACATATTCTTATAACAAATTATAAAGAGAATATTTTATAAAGCACCCGTTCATAAATTGTTCATCGCAAGTAAATTTCTATTATCTATTTTAATTAGTAATGTAATTAATTAATGTATTTTAATGTTGGCAAAATAAATTGTCACTCATTATTTCTAGTTAAATCTGTTGCCTCTTAGAAATTTTAGAAATGTCGGAGAGTCACTTGCCGGCAGAAACTGAATTTTTATTAATTTTTATACACTGCTCTTTATTGTTTCTCATGGCACATTATTATCTTTTTATCATTGTTTTACTATTAAATGCTGCATTTTTTTATTTCTAATTTTTTCATTACAGTTATTTTAATTATTGAGATTAAAGTCATAGAAAGAAAGATAAGGTCTTATCCTTTTTATTTATGAAGTTTTTAATTTTTAAGAATTTTCCATGGTACAATTATCGTCTTAAAGAAGAACATATACACACCTCTTCGAATGAACCTTATAATAGTTATAACGACGGTCCTTTATATCTTGCAAAACCATTCTATTAACTTCATAGAAATAATCGTGCATTCGTTGATTGGAGATGGTAAATTTAAGAGATACTTCTTAATTCAAAAAAAATTCATTGGAAACAAAGGAGCTCATCTCGTCTTTATAAGCTGTAAGAAAGTTGCTTAGAAAAAGTGAAAATTTATAGGAACTCTTCTTTATTTAAAATCTGTAAAAAATATTAATTTGGTTTTTGTGCAAAAAAAGCACACCACAGCTGTTGGAGGAATTTAAGTTTAAATTTATCATAGATTATCATAGATCACGGTATGAAAAAAAATTGAGAAAGTTTTATGGAAAAAAGACAACAAATAAAAGAAATAAGATCAAGGACCATCCTCATTGTAATAGAATGATTAGAAGAGTGATATGGTTGTTATTCATGTTCTGTTGTATTACACATAAGACTACAACTCCATTCTGATAAGATTAGAGAAAATTACCAAAATTGCTTCCTGTAAATGAAATAAGATTTCCCAATTTCCTTTTTTCTTCAGAGATGGGGGAGTTTTGAACAAATATTCTGGAAGAGAATATTATATCGAAAGCAAAAAGTAGCACAAAAAAATTTTAGAAAGAAATTATAAGTAAAAATGATAAGAGACAAATTTAATCTATATCATGCTGAGTTCGTTCTGAGTGGTGATATCGCTTTCGATCACTAAAATCTGGATTTTCTTCATTCAGCATTGCTGTGGAGGTTTCTGTCAGTGGATTTCTTTTATCACCAAAAGTGACCACAATATTTGATAATGATGGTGGGGCAAGGGATTCGACGCTTGAAAAGGCAGTCTTGAACATATGTGGCAATGAGAACTGACTAATTCCTAAAAAAATTTATTTATTTAAATCATAATCGAAGTTTAAATGGTGACTTTGATGTTTTCAGTCTCACTTTTATTCATTTCGACTAGTTTTTAAGATATGTCGGCAACATTTTTTATTTAACATGGATTCATTCTTGAAGTTCGAAGATCTCACATTAGTTAATAAATAAATTAGTTAATAAATGGCCTATTCCGCCACGTTAGTGGTTGATTAATGGTTGATTATTAATAATTTTTTCAATAATTTTCCATTTTCAAGAAATAAAAAATTAGACAGTTTGCTTTAAAGTTTTTTTGAAAGAGAGCATATTTAATAAAAATTAATTTAAAATATGCTAAAATTTTGACAAATTTGTTGCAGCGGCCAAAGGTCAAAAGGAAATCAACGACTGAAAAAACCTGAAGAATGAGCTCTAAAAGATGATAACTACCCTAATAGCTTTAAAACCTGGTTATTTCTAGTATTTCGAATTTAAAACGCAGTGAAGGATTTATTATAAGAAAAATATAGATATGCAAAATATGAAATATGCAAAATTACCAGGAAAAACAGAAGGACAAACTTTTCCAATGTATATGTATAATGCTGCCACGGCTACAAAATGGAATAAAGCATACCAAACATTGATGAAGAGCAGTATTAAAAGATTTATGAGAGCCTGAAATTCTCGCAAAAGAAGATAAACACATTTGCATTCCACACAATAATCACGATTTTAGCATTATTATAGAATAATTGTGTTAGATTATTTGAACTGACACATTTTAATGACCTTTCTCTATAGTATAAATATGAAGAAAGATGGATAAAATTTGGCTTACGCCTGCGAACGATATGTAACGATTGCTAAGCATCGAGTACCACGATGTCGGTTGGTCAATGATAGACGAATGCGAATAATCTGCAAATGCCTTCAATTGTCAAATTAACCTTTCGTCTTGGGTAATATTGGATGTTTTCTTTTTCTTTCAACAGAAACTCATATGAAAAGAAAATATTTTAAATGTGTGCTGCTGCACAGCTTGAACGATTTAAAAGAAAGATAAGTAAATAGATGGAATATAATAAGGAATACAATAAAAATAATAACAATAAAAAATAATAGAATAATGGTAATAATAAAATAAAATAATGGAAATGGAAAAACTGGAGAATTTCTGAGTTGCTTGAATTTTCAATTGTAATTACCTCCGAATTCCTGCGCTCTCCCTGGGAAAAGCCCGCCCAAGTCTGCGGCACCAGTTTCGACCACTTCTTTTATTTCACCCATACTGCCATAACTTTGCTTGTTGTCTTTTAGCTTATTGCTTCAAAAAATCTCATTTTTACTTCGACTAAATGCAATTGAAACTATGCACTTCCACTACATTTTTTATTGCTTTTCCTTACAGTGAAGAAATGCTTTAGCCTCACAGAGTTAAAAAACCAGTTATCTATAGCTATAATGTTGTAATTTGTCTTCATTTTTAATAAAAATATATAACTGTTTTATGCTTAAGCATGTCTTAATCCGAAATAATAATATTAAGTGCAAAATTCGTATGATTAAATTCGTAGCGAAATTCCAACTCGATGCTATTAACAGATTGTAGATCGTAACTCATCGCTAACGATGCATAAGAATAGTTGACAAATGCATATGTTATCATAAATGGCATTGTTGATAAAATTGCGAGCTTATTTAGGTCACCGATAAGTACAAAAACTATAGCAATACACATCATAACAATGCCTGCTCGTACTGGGTTCTTATTTGGGCCTTGCTGAAAATTAAAGGCTAGCATTAGACGCGCAAATCTATTGCAAAAATCTTTCCATTAAAATCTTTCTGTATCGAATAAGTAAGTGATAAAAATTCGATTTGATACCCCAACAGAAAGTGGATTTAAAATTGGTATGATTCCTTCTGAAGCGATACTTTGAATTACACGTGGTGTTCCAAGCATGGAACCGATAGTTGAACTGAGTGAAGAAACATACAAGCCGGTTAGAAAAAGGAAGCCTGTTAATGAGACTTTCTCGGATATCATCGAATCACAAAGAAGATAATCACGATCCACCATCGACCCGAGAACAATTATGAATAAAAAGCAGACTGCCGAACTGAATATTAAAAATATTAAAACCATTATTGTCATTTATTATTTTATTATAATTAGAACTAGTTTTGCGTTAAATAAAAATTGCTGAATAAGGATTTATAATAATTGACAAAAGGAATTTAGCGAGAGTTGAACGATATATATTTTTCGAAAAGGATTCTTTTATTCATTCGATAAATTTATTAATTATTAATTGGATTCATCCTAAAGAAGAACTTAAATTGTCTCTAAAATTTACAGCAACAATAAAACACTAAATAAGGAATAATAAGGAATTGCTAGATTCAGTTCGTTCAATAAATCATAAATGTTCAATTAAACCTTATGAAAACTGCTGCAAGCTCACCAGTGGGTATGCTCCGTTGAGGATCTTTCAAATCACCACTCATATTAACCCCTATAATGTGTTACTATATAATTATTATGGAAGAAAAGAATAATAATAAATTTATATATATAATAAATTTAAAATATATTTTAAATTTATAACTTAACATATATTAAAGCATATCATATTTGGTGCCAAAAATAATAATACCAGCAAGAACGCCGAGAAAGTTGGCAAAAAAAACTCCAAAGACGGTAAAAAAGCTTTGTTGCTGATGAGGAACTTCAAAACCCAATCGAGAGCAATTCGTCCCATCATACATAGGATCAGTGTTAAGATCAAACTGTATAATAGAAAAGTGTCCCACACCATTTCCTTTAAATTTTTGAAAATACTCAAAACGTAATAATTTTTCTAAAAATCCTAAATTTCTATAAATTTAAAAAATTATAAAAACAATGAAAAATTGATTCCTTGAGATGAGAATTTTCTTGTAAAGAATTCTTCATTGTATTTGCAATAAAAAAAATAAGATATAATTAAATGCAGTTATATGATTAAATAATGATTAAAAATTCTGAAAAATATCTGTAGAATTTCAGAAAATCGAAAGGAAACATCTCATGAAACAAAAAAACCAGCTTATATTTTTCCGAACTAACTTTAACTCACTTTCATCAGTGGTAAAAATAGCGCCCAAGAAAAAGTCGAGTGCTGCAAGTATAAGAAATGCAAGTAATATGAGTTGAAGACGAACAACCCAACGCACACCAGCAGTATTTATAGCTTAAAAAAACCATATAAGTAAAAATAATATTATTTAATAAAATAATTCTACAGGCACACAATTAGAGTGAGACTACATTGCAAAATTTGAGCTAACTGTCAGACCATAGTATATATTTACCTGCAAGCAAAACAAGCACTGCAGTAGCAAAAAATTTGTCCACCTTTTCGTTATCTGTACCAAGAAGTCTAGCGACACTTTCACCAAAACCAATTGCAACAAGTCCTGTGGCCACAGACTTGAAAATTTTTCTTTAATTCTTTCTTTTTCGCTTTTTTATTTTAATATTCAATTAATGTAATGAATGCGGGAAAGAAACTGATGGGGATTTTATCAATAATCAGTAAAAAGATTTCAAAATTTTCTAAAGTCTATAGATAAATGAGTGTTAATTAAAACATTTAAGATAAAAATTTTATTAAGGATAAGAATGATAAATTAAATGGATTTTTGCGTAAGAAATATTACTAATAATATATTACTAAAAATATTACCAATATTATTACTATTAATTACTAATAATGTATTTATTAATAATATTACATATTACTAATAATATATAATAATTACTGTGTTCATACTATTAGTATTTCTTGAAAATTTTTTATCATCGAGAGTTTACAAAAATGGAAACAAAAACTACGATTATGATCTGAAACCCAGAAAATACCAAATTTTGAGGACAATTAAAAGAGTTGTATAAGCAATTTGGCCAATTTCTTACCGGTGAACGATACTAATATAAAATAAATACCTGACCAAAAGCATAGATCAGTCCAATTGCACCACCGATTTGTCCGCCAAGAACATGCGAGACAAGAAAATAAATACCTCCACTTTGAATTTGACACCGCTCACAAATTCCTATCGCAGAAAACACGACAATAAGAGAAAGTATCGTGCAGATTATCAGTAACAATATTGCGCCAGCAATTCCAGCCGTTCCCTGAACCATCTTAATTTACATCGTAAAAACTCGAAAATGCATTACATCGCTATGTGTGTCGAAAGAATTTCAAGGATATTTTGAAAAATCACACTTCTGATGGCCGCTGTTTTTTTTAAATCTTAATAACCATTAGGCCATCTTTGCACAATTTTCCCTCAATCCAGTTACTTTACTAAATAATTATTCATGAGCCAGTAATAATTCTTTTTAGTAGAAAGCGTTTAGAAGGCTACTATTGATGAAGAAAAAATGTTTGAATAAATATGAAATGCTATCAGTACTGCTGCCTTCTGTAAAAATTTATTAAATTTTTTCATTATCGCATTATCGCATATAGGCGAAAGGAAAGCATGCGACAAAGCCATAATGGAATGGAAACTTACAACGATCCATCCCATGCGCAGAAAGACTATAACGCCAAATATATTAACCATTACAGTAGTGAAAACACCATCCCAAGTACCAAAGAGCACTGGCTTCGTAAATAAAAAATTCCTAAATCTTATTTCATATATTAAAGATTTTTTCTCGCAAATTATCATATCATATCATTATTAAGAAACTTCCAAAATTTATCGCATACAAAGAAAGTAAATTCATTCGATCTTTCATTTTCATTTTGTAATAATATTTTGTAATAATATGCGATAAGCATTAAGCACCTTCGCCACCATGGTATTTCATCTTTATATCGTTGTTCGGAAGAAAAAATTGAGTCTTCTGGTTCCACATCGACTTGTTTTATTTGCTGTCTTGATTCCCCCATTTTTACATTAGTTTAAGTACCACTCGATTTTCTGAAGATAATTATTGGCTAATAAATCTTGCAAATCTTGTATTCTTGCAAATTAATTGAAAAATTTCATTATATTGAAAATATACTGATATTAAAAAGTTGAATTCGAATCATTCTTCTTAAAAAAAGCTTGATTTCCACTATCCTTTTTCCAAATCTCATATTTTAATAAAACTTATAAAACTTTTAAAAATTAATTTTTTAATTAATTAATTTAATTAATTAATCAATTTAACTTAATTAATTTTTCAAAAATTGAAGAAATTTTGAAGAAAAAAAAAAAAGAAATTTGCGAGAAATTTTAAATTAAATTATAAAAGAATTTTTAAAATTGTTTAAAATTAACTTTATTATACGCAAAAATCACTGTAAATAAAATGAAATAAAAATAAGCAAACAAACAAATAATTTCGCAAACAAAAATATAAAAATAGTTTAATATTAAACTATTCAGAATAATTTAAATAAAAACGCTACGAATTATTATTATTTTTTGCATTTAATGAAGTGTTCGAGCAAAATAATAAATTGAACAAATGCGAATTATTGAATTTCTATTGTGTTTCATTCTCGAAATCACGCTTAAATTCAAGTTTTTTTCCAAATTAACTAAAAAACTAAACGAACTAAGCTACAATAAAAATTAACTTTTTTAGAGAAAATTATAGCGAAGCCGCTGGCTGCTTCTGATGTCGTTAAATTCTAATCAATATGCACAAGCACAACAATTTTCGCTTTTTTGCTCGCCTTCGGCAACTTTCATTTTTCTCATGCAAAATAAGTTTAATTTTTGGTAAAAATTTTGCTATAAAAGCAGTATAAACATCCATGTTTTCTCGAACATAACGCTTTCAATGTTATATATTCGTTAACACAAATCAATTCGAATTCGTAAAACTTGGGTATAGTAGTCGACGCGACATCCTCATCCAATATTTTATCCATTCGTCTATGAAATTTGACTCGAATGCTAATGGCCAAACTCTTGCTCGAGAGAAATCACCATTCGCACCACTGCACCGCTCAAATCTATTAAATCAAATAAATTATAAGAAAAGAATTTCGGATGAAAATAAGCGTAGAAAATATACAAATACGTTATGAATAAGGAAGTATTTTTCAGATAGCTCAAAATTTGATAAATAGGGATTCAGTATTTGCACCTTAAAGCATTTCAAAATCAATATTCACCTAAATACTTCGTTGGTGACAAAGAGTAAAAAAAATATGGAATTTTAAAAATGTTAAATGATCAATAGACCACAGCCGTAGGCAACTTCACGCATAAATATATGGCAAAACCGTATAGTCGAGGACACATTACTCAAATTATCGACTTTTGAACCTAGAAAGAATGATTAAAGATCCAACTGCAAACAGCTAATTCGATGACCATACAACTTTGCCATTCTGAATTACGAATTACTACTTATTCGAATAAAGTTAATTCTAATATCCCAATGCAACGAATGGTAAATACTAATCACTAATATGATTTACCAATCATTTTAATTCCTCGAGTTTTATTGCCAAATAAAATTCGTTTCTCAATATCCAGTGGAAGTGAGTACAGAAAAATAGAAGTGAAATTGGGAACATTGGCTTCTTTCGCAATTTGCTGCCACGAAAACTATTCACCAACTGTCCAAATGTTTTTCTATGGATGTAAAATTTAAGAATTCTTTAGACGAATTTCAAAGTTTTTACTAGACTACGTTCAATTCAACAAACCTGAACAGTAGCAGTAGCAGTTTGTGCTTCGAGTTCTTGAAAGTAGAGAGAAACACTTTCCGCAGTCACATGGAATGGACGCCTCGAGAAAACACCAAAAACTTACTTCTTCGTTGAAAACTTTTAAGAACTAAAAATAAAAAACAAAAAAATTGGAAAGCATTCCTATCCAATCGAAAATAAACTTTGTCCACAACATACGAATAAAAATTTTTTGTTCCATAAATTTGCTAAAACTTTCCTCAACGTTTCCAATTTGAAAGTGAAATTAAATTCGATAACGCATTAGCCTAAGAATTTATCTGCTAGTAGATCTCTTAAAATACGAATAAAACGCATTTTTGAAAATATTCGAAAAAACTTATTTCTGATAACTGATTGTTTAATTGCATTAATTGTATCATTCCATATGGCATTAAGAAAAAATTGCAAAGCAAAAAATTTATTCTAAACGAAATTTATTGACAATTTGATGGAAAAAATTGTGCAAATAAAAATAAATATACATCTCATTTTCAAGAAAAAATTGATTCAACTTCCTAATTCTTTGTACGCATTCAACGAACTGATCAAGAGACAATCCCAGAAACGAAAAATAAAAAAGTAATTCGATATAATCAACCTTTTTTTAAAATATTTCTTTTATTTCTTATTTCTTCTTCATTAACAAAAAAAGTTTATTTTTGCATTGTAGAAAAAGCAAAAAACAAGCAGTTCAAGAAGATAGGACGAAATGAAACGGTAAAAATGCATAAGGTCAGCAAGTCTGCAAAATACAAAAACGAATTAAATATATTATGGATATGTACTCTTAAACAAGATGAACAATTTTTTACACAAAAAATTATGTAAAAGCATCATGAACTAGTAGAAACATTCTGTTCAACTTCAGAAGCAGAAAATGAAGAATCTACTGTTAATGAGATTTGGCTCATTTTTTTTTTGATATTGTTGCTTTGGTCATTTATTTTTGCTTCATCATCAAAATAAGGCGATGGATTAGTCGATTGTTCCGATAGATAATTGTTTGAATTCACATTAAAAGAATCTAACTCTATTAAAGGACTTGTTTGCACGCTGCAATCGGCTTTTTCCGTGTCTAATATTAAAATTTTTCGTTTAGTGCAAGCGTCACATGCTGGTACACGAATAACTAAATACTGTGGTTCCTGAATAAAGATTTTGGTAATATAATGAAAACTTTTGACCAAAACAAAGAAATGTTTTGAAAATTTTAAACGAACCTTTTGATACACTTTTCGATCACAAACCAAACAAAAGAAATTCGGTTCCACCTCTTCACCACTTGGTTCCTTTGAAGTTACTTTTATCCCTTCAAAAAAAAAAAATTCCAAGTGCACATAATAATAATAATCAACGAAAATATGATGGAAATGAAGACTGGATGGAAAATTAAAATAAATGAAGAAATGACAATTATGGTAATTTTTTTACTTTAATATATGGACAAAATTATCTGTAAAAATCTATATCTTATAAATCAATAGAAAATCCTACAAAAAACTCCATGAAATATACCAGATAAATGCCGACTCGGGTACTGAAATTCGCTATTTTTTAAAATTTTAACGAAAAAAAAGATTGCAGAAATAACTTTCGAGTGAGGAAATTTACAAAACTGCTCTAAATGGTAACGAAGTTATTGAAAATACGAAAAAATAACAATGCGATAAAAATCCTTTTTTCCTTTTTTTTGCTTTAAACTTGTTTACTTGCACTTTAAAATTACACCTAACTTAGTGCTCCGCTTAGTAAATAAACAAATAAATATATTTAAAATATAAGTACCTGGATTAATTGAAGGTCTTCTTCCAACAACACTACATCCTACTGAAATGTCATGAAATTCTTCGACTTCTTTACCAACGCTGTAAGCCTCGTGATCCCCTCGAAGTGAATTACCATTGGCTTTTAAATTCACGAAATTGAAAGTCATAAAAAAGGAAAACTTCAAATTCAAATAGTAGTTGGCAAATACTGACTGATTTTTAAAATTCCGCCTTAAAATAAATAGAATAACTGAAATATTAATAAGAAAAAATTACCATTAAATTGCAAATGATCTTCTCCAATCCATTCGAAATGACCATCGGCAAATTGTACTTTAAATTCACCTCCAGTCCTGCAGTACCTAACTATTGCTGGGACAAGCCTATTCCCCTTTTTCACATGCACTTCTTCTCCCACGATCGAAAAATTATGTTCTGACCCGTGATCCACTAAAAATGATATTAAAAATGAATGACAAAAAAATATAAAAAAATTTGGTACTGTTCAGTAAAAAAATTTACTTGAGGCCAAAACTTTTGAAGGCGATAATGAAGGACCATGAGGATTCAATCCTAAACGATCCTGCAAACAAATTAATAAAGAAATCCAGGTTCATTTATGTGCAATGAACATTTTTAATTTTAAAAAATGAAGTACCGGTGGTATTATCGATGCTACTCCATTAAAAACACTTTGCCCTTGTTCTGTTGAACATAAATTTGGTCCTAATTTTCGTCTTTTTGTTTCATTCGCTTTCCTCCTGAAAAAAAAGCCGGAATGGAAAAGCAACAAATTATATTCCCGTTTATACCTAAAAATTAACTAATCATAAAGAAAATAAAATAAAATGAAAATAGAATGGAAATACTTTACTTTAAAATAATATTCTAATCAATAGCCTTTTTCGTCAGAAAAAAACTTTAAAATGTAAGGCTAAAAGAACATACATGTCAATCAAAGGCATTGCTATTTGTATAATGCGATGGACAGTTTCTTCTGATAGATGATTAACATCGATATTATGAGCAGCCAACTGTTCAGGAGAAAACTAAACAAATAAAAAAAACATTTCGATAATTATCAAAATAAATTTGATAGCCAAAATTATCTATTTAGAAGACACCATAATCTGTTCAATATTTTTCATAATATGTTATTATCTTTTTTTGCAATGATTTAATTTTCCTCGATTATTCGTCAAAGAATGTCGATGATAACAACTGAAGTTAACAATTAAATTCTTTAATGAAAACAGAATTTATATTGTAAAATTAAAAATTAAAGCCTGAAACATCAATCTGAAATTCTTGGAATATTTAAGACTCATATATTTCCACCATACCATTACACTCTAAAACAACATGTTGAGACCAATTTCTTCGCTTGAAATCTTCCATTAAAAACTTCGGCATGCGTAACTCATATTACTTTACCACTTTTCACTTTATCTACACTTTGTCTACTTTCACGATTATTATATTTATGTTTATATATATATCTATCTATATATCTATATTAGATATTATTATATATCTAAATATTATTATTATTATTAGATATATTATTATATATCTAAAAAACTTTCTATAATTATTCTACAATTTCATCATGCGAAAACATTACATAAAAATTTTGCTGTGAAGAACTGGTAAGCTTTAATGAGCCATCTTCTGCAATAAACATCGTAAGATTATCAGCTGGATTTTGCTGCGTTGTTGGAACACGAACACGTTTAGTTGGAATCTGGCGAGAAACCGAAGGAATTGCGATTGTATTGGCACTAGAACCAGCTAAAGCTAAAGCAGCATTAACCTGGTTCTCAGTTAGCTCTGAAACATTTTCGACATCAACTCCAGCTGCTGCGAGAATGTCTACAGGAATCTGAAATGAAAATAAATCGTTAAATGTAAATTAATAATAGAATTTTTGTCAACAAAAATAAATAAATAAATAAAAATAATGATTTTAGTGAAACTTGAAACTCTTCGCTTGAAACTTTCCATAAACTTCGGCATGCGTAACTCATATTACTTTACCACTTTTCACTTTATCTACACACTTTGTCTATTTCCACGATTATTATATTTATATTTATAAATATCTATCTATATATCTATATTAGATATTATTATATATCTAAAAAACTTTCTATAATTATTCTGCAATAAAAGCAATTTAAAAAAAATATAAGCAATAAAAAAAATTAATCCTTTCCGACAGTGTAATCTAATTATATTTCTTTCATGCCGGGATGTTTCATTACTATTTCATCATCACTCTCTTCCACTGCCATTTTCTCACCAACAATTGACCTTTAAGTATGGCATATTTCCTCGGATTGTTGAACTCTTATCATACTACTTACCTTCAATCATTTATTCTTAATCTTAAAATCGACATCAGTAGAATTTTCAATCACTTCCCAATCCTTCCAGTTAGCCTAATATTAAAAATATTATATTATAAATAATATTAAAATCATTAAAAAATTGGTGCGAACCAAATAGCCAAAAACCAATATCTATCGGAAAATAAACTTCAGTAGCATACATTGATATGGTTTACTTTATTATTTTACAATATTCTAAAGAGAAAAACGGCCAAAACAAGATAAACTATGATACTAACGGCTGTATAACTAATGCCTTCCACCATACCATTACATTCTAAAACAACACGTTGAGCATCGCCAATTTCTTCGCTTGGAATAAAACCTTCCATTAAACCTTCCGTCTGCGTGGAAAGCAAAAAATCGCCAGTGGCTCGCCCCATCTTCATTAAAATTATATTTACCTGAAAAAATGTAAGCAAAAGAGATATAAAGGAGAATATGCCTCCTATGCAGGAATAAATTATAAACTTCAAAATCAATAAGACATTGTGAACTGAATAAAAATAAGAAGAATATTTCAAATAGAATTAATAGAATTGATTCGCATTCGTCCTTATGATTGCAGGAAAAAAAACAAAGTCAAATATTTCGACCAAGATATTATTGTAAACCTATAAATTCGATTGGAAAACTAAGGAAAAAACAAATTCACAATATGGAAGACGGATAAGTGAAAGTTGCATAAATTTTGCCCATCTCTTCATGATCACTGACCTGCGATTAAAAACGAAATCCGACTGGGGACCTACCTGAGCTGATGTCTCCCATTAGTTTTGGGGAGAGTCACTGGAGCCAGACTAACCAGAAATGGTGACAAGATGAATAAAACAGATCACTCAAAAAGTCTCACTGCTGAACTCTTTACAACTTTATAAATCTGCAGCCATCAGAAAATGACTTTTGGTTCAAAAAACTAAAAAACTACTTTTTGGTCAATGAAATCAATTTAATTTAATTGATTTAATTAAATTAGACTAAATCAGACTAGACCGGAACCAAAGCGCCCCGAAACCCTTAGACCTGGAAACACCTATACGATAGAAACAATGACTGATCTGATAAATAGACATTTGAGGGCGGCATCGCTTGCTGGTAAAATTGGTTCTCCTTCGTCTTAAATTCCTATCGAGCAGTGCATGGTGGAAGCGTGCAAGGATTTGATATTAATAGGAACAAAGTGGTGTGTGAGCTTGCTTACGTCAAGAGTGACCTTGTTGTTTGCAGGTCAAATGTCAAGGGATTTGTTTAAAAATGGTCGAATCTGCAAATTGCGAGTCGCATATAAGTTAAACAGAAATTCTCTGCGTGGCAATTCTGGAAATGGCAGACTTTCCACTGAAATGCACATTAGTATTTCAAGTGCAACGCAGTTTCTTCTTGCGCTCGTCGTTTTAGCCTAATTTTACACAAATTGTCGAGAAAACCGCAGAAATTTCCTTCCTTGCCTCTCACCACTTGTGGTTACTTCTTTTTGAGATGAGAGAAGCGCATTGAAATCATTAGGGATTTGCTGAGAGTTGCTCGAGGGTGGGCGAAGAAGTGGCTCAGCAGCACTCTCGCAATAACGGCAGGTTTAGTCCTGATAAGAGCCAACTCACTATGCTTGGGATTAATAATCTAAGCAATATGGATCACACGGAAATATGAAGTGCTTTCTTCTTAGAGAATGGGGAGTGCACATTGGGTCTACTTAAGCAGTTAATGCACCGCATACACCACTAGGCCTTTCGCCCCTTAATATAAATGTTCATAAATATAAGGCACTATCCACGGATTCCAGAAAGTCTTTTTGATTGGGTACGTTGAGTTCTGATTACTGCAAATTTACTTGTTCTTCACTTTTTTCTTCTAGGAGCATCGTTTCTGGCTCCACGACTTACCACATAAGACTTTCGTCAGAGAGCCATTTGCTGATAGAAGCGTAGGTCCACAGTTCCACCCGGATTTCACTTTTAATGATAGATTTCCTCTCATCAACATGGACTGTAACGTTTGTCACCATGCCATTCGATCATTTACCAGTTAGCATCTAAAATGAATACTACATTTTTAAAAATAATTTTATTTTTGGTACACATTTTTACTAAAAAATAATTCCTTCCTTATCCCTTGTTGATGGCAAGGATCATCCTCCTCAACCTCAAGTCCACTACCAGAGGCCTTATAGATTTTGCGCATATAGTGCGCTCTTCTGCTTAAAGATCTCAAATCTCAAAAAGATTTATTGAAGCCATTTTTCTAGTTTAGCAATCATAGTTCCTAGTGCTTTAATTATCACATGGATTACTTTGACTTTCTTACCTTATTTTATGTGGTTCCTCTTTTATTCCTTGGTATTTCCCTATTCCTTCTTCTTCTTTCTTTCTAACGTTCTTGTCTCATGGTATTGTTATATTTATTTACAGTGCTAATTTCTGAATCTTGTCTACTACCACGACATGTAGTTGATTGGTTAGTGCTTGTTTGAATATCTAGATGGAGAAGTCCCACAGGATCTTCACCTTATTATCCAATTTTTTGAGGAACATCACATCCAATCTTCGAAGAGTCTAAGTCATATGTCGAAAAGATATTCCTATAGATGATGCCAGTAATTTGGTTATGCTTTTCAGTATATATTGTTCCTGTTGGTATTTTACATCCTGCCGCTGTGTGTTGGACTGTTTGCTCTTTTGCTCCTATGATCAATGCTTTAATATTGCCTTTTAGTTCAGCTTCTTTCAACCACTGGTGCGATTTCTTAATGTCAACTGCTTCAGATATCTGTCGATGGTGCATCCTATAGAAGCAGTTCCTTACCACATTTATCTTTTTATAATATTTATAGATGCTTCAAATATTTTTTTAGCAGCTCATCCTTTAGTACCGCCTTGATGATTTATTCCTGAATGCTTCTGGTTTTGTTCAAGAGTGGCTTTCATACTCACCCACTCACTTTCACCCACTTTCTTTCATATGATATATGGTTTGGAAATTTCTATAGAGTTTTCTTATCTGCAACCTCCATGTCCATCTATGCCAGCATCTAATTACTGACAACGCCTATATGTTCATGGCTTTTTTCTCATCAGTAAGTTCTTCAGGATTTATCTTATTTTTTTGTGGTGTTCTTATGTTTCAATCTTTCTTTTTATCGTGATTGCCATGATACTTGTAGCCAGTGTATTTGTTCTCCTGGGCTGGTTCATTTCTGCATTTATATATATATGCCTGGCCAATAAACTGAGAAGCTAGAGAAACATAGGATAAAAAGATAAATGCTCTGTTCTCCAAAGAATCATTCAAGGTGCAACAATATGGTAGCAGCATAGCCACCAGTAGCAGAAACTGTACAATACTGGAAAAACATATAGGAGAAAACATATAAGAGAGAGATTCATAACACCAATGCAAATTGGCTATGAACAATCCAATCACTATATATTGAAAAGCATAACTAGGTAGCTAGTAAGGAGCTGGTAAGTAACTGTCTATAAGAATATTTGCTCAGTATTTGGCTTAAACATTCCTAGTACTATATAAATTCTACAGAAAACCGTGGAAAATAATAGGGTCAAGATCCTAATGGGATTGGCGAAAGATTTAGCAATAGAAAATAGGAACATTAAAAAAAAAGGAATATGAGAAGCTTGAATACCGGAGACTCAAAGAGGAACTAAAAAAAAGTGGAAAGTGAGAGCCAAAGTGATCCCATTTTTGGTATGGGCGCTAGGAAGTATAACCTCTAAACCGGAAACTGGAAAAAGGCTCTAATAGATTTCGCGACCAGTATCAAGCATCTAGAAGAGAATACTGCTAGAAATGGTTGATAGTCCGCAGAACTTCAGACTCGACTTGAAGTTAAGAGGATCCATACCACTCACAGGATATTATGAGAAAAATTTCATGTATTATATATTATATATATATATTATATTTATAGTAATAGTGTATTTCAAGAGATATCAACACTATTTTTTATGAATCCTTTGTTGTAATAATTATGATATAATGATGACTTTATTTCACTTTAACATTGTACCATTATTCATTGTACCATTATTTTTTTTGCAAACATTTAGAATTTATGAAGAAAATTGAAATTTGTTCGTAAAAGTTTTAAACTTTCGGTGACGAACGTTTTTTCATTAATTTCAAATAATTATTCATGAACTGAGATTTCATATCAGCGCCTATAGGCATATCGAAAATAATTGGTGAATTCTTCGTTCCATTTGCATTTTGATAAGAACAGTTTACAAATTTCGTGTATCCGTCACTCGTACAGCCATAACCTAGAAAAAAAATGGAAATTTTACTTGCAGTTTGCCAAAAAAAATGATTAAATGTTTTAAATTTAAATAATTTGAGTGATCAAAATTGTTTTTTATATTTATATTATAATTTGTTTATGTTATGATTTAATATATATATAGGTTATCGCAAAACAAATTTTTAAAATAATCGATAAAAATTAAAATTTTTTACTTAGAAGAAATTTCAGATTGGTTAATTGAAAAATTCTTTTTTTCTAGGAAGAAAAATTATTTATTGTGGTTCATTATTATTTTTTGTTTTGATGTGATTTTATTATTACTTATCACTGTCGTCATAATAAATATCATTTTTTATCATAATAATCTATTAAGTACGTCGCTGGATCAAAGATGATTATCACTGCGTATCAAGAATGGTTTGCATTTGAATCCAGCTGACACACCGCACCTCATAGAGCAGCAATAGCCAGAGGTAGAATAGCTCAGCCGATTGTTGCTCTGTGTGGAGCATCGATGCTGAGGTTCTACATCTGACAGGAAAATGGTTGGATTATTAAAATTTTGTTGTAAAAATTCGATATTGTTTATTCTTTATTTAATTCTTGTTAATATTAATCAATGTGCTAAATTTATTTCTTTTTATTGCTCTTCCTCGTTCCTTCACCATTTTTACCTTGGCTAATGACTTTCGCTAGAGAATCTATTGTGAATATAGATGTCCCCAGCAGTGTCCAGATTTTCTATGAAGAGTCAAGGTGCTTAGAACGAGGAGAAGAATTCGATTTCAGTCGAAATAACCACACATTCGGTTATCTTTCTAGCTGTTAATACTAATAATTCATAACTATATGAATTAAATAACTATATGAAGTTTATGAATTAAAAAGAGAAAACTTGTAAAAATATTACCAAAAGTGTTGTAAATTTTCTTAACAATTTTGAAGAATTTATGGGTAAATTAAAGGTTTTAAGGCGGTTCTAAAATTCATGATCATTTTGTTGAAGTTTTGTTAATCTCTTTGAAGCTTATAGAAACAAATGGGGACCCCTCCTCCAAAATAATATTAAAATAATATAATATTTTCAGATAAAATATTTATGTAAAGTTATATCTTACTGATGTTAAAATTTAGTAAAAATAAAGAAATACATTTTTCATTCAAGTCCACAACATTTCTTATCTTCTGAATTACGCAATTTAAGAAAAAAAAAAGGAATATGAATTCGTGAAAATCGGATTTTTTTTTTTAAAATTTTTCTCGAATAAATATTTAATATAAATAAAGCATTAATAAATTTTTGCTTTAATAAAAAGCAAGTTTATAAAAATTATTGATATTGACTGATATTTTCATTATACAAAAAATTCTTTTCCTTTTCCTTTCAATATACTGGAAATTTTCATTAAAGAAAATTAGCTTTTTTGTCCGCTTGATGTTAAATTCGATATAATAAAAGAAATAATAATACAACTTTTCGCCTGTTTTTTCCAACTCTATAAATGAGACATTAATTTTACGCTTACAATTCTGCGAGAATCCAGAGGCTTTCTCTTCTTCATTTATCACGAACCCTAATTTCTTATAGAAATTTAATTTCTCCAGAATTTAAATAAGATATGCACAAAAAAAAAGAAATAAATACCTTGATGTACATGGCCGAAAATATGATACTTTGGTCGAATCCTTCTCACACAGGAATTTAACAATTCCACACATCCGACTCGTATACCACTTGGAAGCATATCACCGTGGCCTTGAATATGTAATATTTTAATTCCAAAATGATAAATTTCCAAATTTTCATAAGAAAACTGAGGCGCATAATTCTAACCAAGTGGTGGTGTGTGTGTTATAAGTACATCGATTCCTGCTGGAATTTGATTCCACTTGTCAAGAATTTGTTGCCCTCGACTGATATTAAATGCCAAGTTGTCATAGCGTGGTTGCCTTAAGGTAATTTTCTCCAGAAACAGTGATCGTAACAAATGAACGCGAAATTTTTAAGACAATTGCCATAAACTAATATAATAAAAAGGTAAAACGAGGTAAAATCAATGAAAAATCGCCAACGATTAACTTTCCATTTTTCCGATAGTAGAAAACAAATTTCGTGCAAAATTTTAATTTCAAAACAAAAAATGGCGCTTTAAAATAAGTTGTTGGCAGAGAAAAAAATCCACCAAACAGGAAGATGAACAATGAATAAGAAAACTTTCTGCGGCAAATGCATGGATCATTTTACGAGTCATTTATGGGTTAAAAAACAAATATTGAGTTGCATTTTTGTTGCGTTTTGTGATGGATGAACGAACTAAGAATAAGCATTTTCTTAAGTCAAAGTCAAGTTGAAAACTTTTAAAAATGAAAGATAAAAACATCGGAAAGATGAAGGCTTCGCAGCTCGATTTGTTATTCATTTTCTAACGGATATTTTGAGCAATGTAATTCGATTACAATTATTGTTGTTTAAAAATTGAAAATAATAATTTACCATGGAGTTCCATATATTCGGATTCCAAATATTTCAATTAAAGAATCTTGAAGATATATAACTTCGGTTAGCAATGATTTTGGGTTGGTTATTTTCGATTGTGCCAATGCTGCTACCAGTTTTTTCTTCAGCGCCAATTCCTTTTCGCCAATATCTTTGCCTGCATTTCACAAAAAAATCCACAAAACAGAAACAGCGAAGGCTCAATAAAGCTCAATAAGAAGAAGAAAAGAATTTTCTGCAGCAAGTGTGTGAATTTACGAGTCATTAATAGAATAAGGAGGAAACTGTTCTTATTCTAATGAATTTTAAAAAAATAAAACACTTTTTTCTCTTCTTAATTGCTGCATTAAGATCTTGAAAAACTTGAAAAACTTTGCAAGATGGATAAACGACCTGAAGATTTAAGATATGCTTCATCGAATGTGCAATCATGATTACCGGCTATTGCCACTTTGAACGGATATCTTAATTTTGCTGAAAAAGAGACCAAATCTTTTCAGGATTATACATCAATACAGACATAATACAGACATTATTAAAGCTGATGTTTCTTCAACATAAATCTTAAATTCTATTATTTTGATATATTCTTTATTATTTGGCTAAGTTTTAAGTTGTAAAAGTGCGAATTAACCTTTAATATACAAAAAAATTCACCCATATTCTCATTGAAAGCTTTTATTTCGTCTGGAAAACCATAATTGGTAATATCACCAGCGATGACTAAAACATCCCCAGGAGGGATAGTCATTGGGTTCAACAAAGAGCCATGAAGGCAAGCAATGCATACAAATCGCACATGATCATTTTTAATCGGCGAATCCAGTCTCATCTGCAAACAAATTGCACAGTAAAAGTTGATATAAATAATGAAACTCTTTCTATTCCTCAGAATTGTGATACATATAAATTTCTTGGTGCTGATAACTTAAACTTCAATTTATTTATAATTTAATATAATAAATTATAATTTAAAAAATGTTTTACACGAAAAGAAATCTAAGTTTAAAAAAAAATAATTATTCGTTTACTAAAAACTTTTAGGTACGCATTGACTTAGTTGGGTTGGCAATAGATTGCCATCGAGAATCGAGAACGATTCTAGAGTAGGATTTTCGGTTGATACACCACGCTTCATGGCGAAAAAGTAAAAGGAAGCAGAATGACTCAGTGGGTTGTTGCTTAATGCTGAGGTCTACAAGGAGTATACTTATGCTTAGGAATCCGAATGTTGGTGACTCGGACTTCTATCGCCAAGCTATTCCCTGGAAAAATTTGTTTGTCTGGTCCGATCAACCAGCCTAGCGAGCCTAAGAGTCTAACTATGTCGCTCAATTAACAAATCAATTATCACAATCAACCACAGCCACTTTGGATGAATATTTTATTTTATTTTATTTTATTCGGCTGAAAAAGAAAAATCTATCCAATATTCTGTGGTGTTCTTCGCATTTTGTTAGATATTTGCTTCATTTTTTTCTTAAATAAATCCGGAAAGATATTATTACCTGTCGCACAAGCTTCACAGGCCTTTTAACCTTTAGCATTTCCCATGCTACTGTTGGATCTTCCGTATATTGATGTGGTGTAATCTACAAACTGCTTTATGAGAAATGAAGAAGCAACAACAATAATTAATAGTGTTTTTCATCCTTTAATGAGACAAAAACACTTGATTGCTTTTTTAAATTAAAACCTGGAATCCATAAAATTCTTTGTCTGCGTTGTTGATAATTATCATAAATCTTTTAAATCAAATAAGTAACTTGGAAAAGATTCTAAGTTAATGTAAAGAAAAAAGAAAATGTAAAATGGCAGACAAATATGCGAAATGAGTTGATGGTTGGCTTTTTAAAGAATATTTAATAAAAAAATATTCAACATCTTCAGAAAATTGGCCTTGCAAATTGGGAAAAAACATGAATAAAATTTTTAACCATTTAATTTATTATTTCCAGTTTTATTCGATACTTTTAGCAATATTTGTTGAGATTCTTATTAAGATTCATTTTAATCATCTAGGCAAAATGAGATGCTTAAGTTTCTAACTCAATAACGCAATTTAGCCAAAATATCGCCGAATTTAGTTGAAGTTTATACTGTACTATAACCGAATAAAATTTGAACAGTATCTATTATCTTTTAAGAAGAACTAGTCGCACGATGATCGGAGGAACTGTCATTGTAATAGATCGAAGATCCAAAGAATCGCAACTTTCTGAAGATCCTGAATATGGTTGGTCCTTTCTTGTTTTTTCTCGTTCTTCTTCAAAACGAATCCTCAGCAAATTTGCTGAGCCTATGTATCGCAAAGGATGCTCTATTTCACCACTATTAACTTTTAAAAACGGTGCTGAAGCACGTCGTTGGAATCGGTTCATATTTTTTATTTACAGCAACAATAGAGTTTCTCTGCCAGAATTTGTCAAAATAACTGCCGTAATAATTATAGAAATAGAGATTATGCTGAAAGATCTTCACTTGATAAGAAAGAACTGAATAGACGTTCAATTAAAACGATTATATTAATCAGCGAATAGCACCATATTCTTTCAATTTTATTTCAAACACCACTGCATGCATTTTAAAATTTTTACTTTAAAATTTCAGTCTATGGCATGCATAATCATAAATGATCTCACAATGGAGAACTTCCACTATTTCTTCAATTTTATAGCTAATTTTTTTCAATATTGCATTATAATTGTATTCACTAACTTATCTAGTGAATAAGAAAAATCAGAAATTTGTCAACAAAAAGGCGATGCCACAAGATAATAATTATCCAGAGTCGCTTAATTACATTATATGACTTGACTTTATTTGGACCACCATAGTAAAGAAATTGATCAGATAAATTGGAAAGGATCATCAAACTGCTGCTCCCAAGAAATAAAACCAGTAATTTCTGGCATGGTATGTGCCAATGGACATCAGGATGAGATCATTTTCACAAAAAAGCTGGTTTGAGATAGAAATATAGAAAAACCATTATCACCACCCAGACTTTTGCATATTTGCGATATCATTCATTATATCATTATTCATTGATTCAACTGGCAAGAAATCATTCGGAAAAATAAATCTCGAAAAATACTTCGACAAGACTACATTTTCTTTACAATGTTTAAAACCATTCTTTATAAATTATCCAAGTAAATTTATTAGCTTGCAAAAACAACAACAATTCATTAACAAAATGAAAAACTTGAAATGATCTCGAAGTTTTTTGGAACGCTCTTCATTTCTGATAAGGCATGCTTTTCTAGTTTTTCAAACTAGGCAAATTTTGCCATGGAATCAATTGGTCATAAAAGTATAATCACAGAAACATCACAGGTACTGCCCGGAGAAGAATTCCAGCATTGGTGAAATTGACTTTTTAACTTTTTAATTTTTAAAGCTTTCTTTTAAATAACGTCAAGAATAATTAGTCCGATGGTTCAGTCAAAAGAGGGAAAAGCCTTAATTTTCTTCTGAAATTGGTAATCACGAAAGGCCTACATAACCTATTGCAAAATCATATTCTCCTTATATCGATGGCTCTTTAAATTGGCTCAAAAGAGTTTTTATTTGGTAACTGGTTAACATTTCTCGATATTTACGAGATATTTACTAACGATTTTTCGCTTTAATAAGATTTACAGTTATGCTTTTATTTACTCATTTTGTTATGATAGAAATATTCTCAGAAATGAAAAATAATAGCATTATGAAGATGGTTTTAGCCTAGAGGGCCTTAAAAGATCGTAAAATCCTCGTTTATGGCAGAAAAACCGGGCAAATAACGAGTCACTACTGTTCTTCAGAAAATTACTATGATATTTTATGCAAAAGTTTTTTGCTGCTTAAGCTCATAAGTGTTTCCATACGAATATTTTTATTGAATAAGAATTTAGAAAAGAAAAAAAGGTCAAATTATCTGATTTTCACAAATATTGGTCTACAGTACATTATGAAAATTCGCAAATAATGCAACAGAATTTTTTAAGAAGCGTTCATTCGATGTTTAGATGGATTAAATAGTTGTGAGGATCAACGGTTTTCTAATTAATCTCAAATTTTAACAGAACAAAAAAAGTTATAAAATTGTAAAAGTTTTCAAAATTTTTTGGATAATTTAATTCCAATAATAAAAAATAAAATTTTCGCATAAAGTGGTAAGGCGCAGGATTAAATAAATATTGTTGTGAGCGAGATGCGCTTGCAAAATTGCAAAAACAACTAATTTGTTAGTATCGATGCGAAAGCAATTATTTACAGAATAAAAAAAATTGAAAGGGAAGTCGGGTAAGATTTTTGTTCTAAACGTTAGGATTGGCAATCAAAATTTAGATCAAGTCAGCTGTTTGATTTTCGATTGATTCTTGATTGTTTGACAATGTCTTTTTGAAAACAAAATCAAATCTTAAAGAAATAAATAAAAATTCATTTTTATTTTAAGATAAAAAATGTATTGGGGGCCTTATTCTCATTTTCTTTTTCTTCTGCTCCTAATGGTACCAACCATTTCTGGTTTGACTGGCGTATTTGGCCTCTTAAGATGACACTTCTTCAGTGAGTGGGCTGAGTTCATACTGTATGATCACCAATGATCTTAGCCTCTAATAGTGTTGAGATATTATGAATTGTCTTAAGGCATGAGAATTGCTCATATATCCCGGTGCTAAATCAAATTTTTTGTAGAGGAATTTGCTATAGACGATAACTATAATAAGAATGAATGAATTTAAAAATTAAACAGATTTAAAAATCAAATCGAATCGAATTCTTCGAATAAGCTTTTCGTCTTTGAAAATGATAGAGCATAATTTTAGAAAAGAGTCCTTAAAATAAGGAAGAACGTTTAAAATACTTGAATTGGTCCATAAAAAGGATAAGGAATATATTACAAATAAATGAATTTACAAGAGATTAACTGATAAGCTATAATTCGAGAATAAAAAGCATTAATTAACGGACGTCAGTGCAGCCTTAACTAATTGCATGTCAATATATAGAATAGCAGAAATGAGTGTAAAAAAAATTTAATTGGTAAATATTCCAAAAATATGTGCGAACAAACAATTTATAATTAATTCTTTAGGACAAATACGATCTTAAGTATTTTAAAGATTTCCTGGATATATTTGCCAGAAAAATTCTTATATTCCACTTTTTTGTTTTCCTTCATATGGTTAAAATAATTGACAAGCCATTTTATAGATTTTAAGCATTAAATACTTTATTTATAAATAAATATTCCCAATTTTAACACTCGCATATAGTAAAAATACTTGTCGGTTCTGAAATTTTCGCTGCATTTTCTTGTATTATTTATGAGTTTTCTGCATTTATGAAAATTTAGTCTAGATTTTAAATCTAACTCATTCTTTTCCTTATCAGATTATCTCATTATTCCATTATCTCGCTGGGTCTCACTGTCACTTGAAATACTGGTACTTCAAATAAAATACTCATAAAAAAATTTATATTCCATATTTCCTAGAATATGGGCTGTTAAAATTTGCGGATCAAATCTATCTACTTGTACGAACATCTCCGGAAGTTGTAACGCACCTCGAAATTACGCAATGAGGCTTTAAATATTTTTGTAACATATTTTCTTACTTTCAACAATTCAGTTATTGTTGAGAAAAATTTTAATCTGCCTATAAGAGCGAAGATTAAGATTTTCGATGATTCGATGTTTTATTGAAATCGTTGAAATGTCCATAAAATAAAATTCATTCTAATAACTAAGTTTTCGAGAAGCAATTTGCTACAACAAAATCAAATAAACGTGTCAAACTTGAAAATAATGCAGGTATCCTCGTCTAAAAAATTGGGTAAAAAAAGAAGCTCAATGAGTGGTTTGTAGTAATTTCCAGGAAAGCAACAGAAAAATCATTTAAAAAATTTTATTTATAGAAATAAAAAAATTTATTTTCAGAAATTTTTTTTTTAGAAACACCAATATTTCGTTTTTTGTCTATCTTCTAGATACTAAATTTTATTTCCTTCTTCATTTATCTTCTATATTTCCTTTTTTATCTCCCAGCTTTATTAACTTTTCGTACATTTTTTTACTTATTATAAGCATAAAGAATCTTATAAAATAGATGAAAAAAGTTGACCGAGTGAGTTCCATATTTGCCAGTATGCTGGGACATTACTGGTGAAGAATTTGAACGGCTTTCTTCTTTTGATGAAGCGGAAATTTCAAAACAAAATCTCATCCATTGCAAGAATTTGATTTTCGAATGAATGAACATTAAATAAAGTCTTTAGGAAATTATTTTCGAATTAGTTCCGTGTAAGCAGAGGGAAATAATTATTATCAACAATTTTGAAGTAGATCAACTATGAAGAAAAAAGTAATTAAACGATAATAATAATAACCAGTTCATCAGGAATTTCGATTATTGAATGAAGGCAAGACTTTGAGACTTATTGAATCTACTGAGGATGACGATAATAATAATGAAAGTATTTTCAAAATGTCGATTATATGATTTATTTCGATTTCGATTTACTTCGATTAATTAGTTAGCAGACTGCTTCATTATCCAGAAAATTTTCACCATAAAACTATCAACAATTCAAAATTGTTTCTTTCCTAGCTCAGTTGTTCGCTTGGCACCGCTGAATTTATTTATTTAATTTCAGGCTAACTCACTTGTATTAGCCGACAATTGCAAGGAAATGCAGATCACACATTGATAAATTGTTGAACTTTATGAATGATAGATAGACTAATCATCATTTATGGCTTATTTTCTTGCCAAAAAAACTGATAAAAGACTAGAAATGATCAATACGATCGATAATAAACAATAAATTCGAAAAAGTGGCGTCAAAATTTATGCATAAAATATTTTAAAATAACCAATTTAATTATTCGAGAGCCACTGAGTTTCAAATTTTTTAGAAGAGGATTTCTTTTAGATAAGACGATAAAAGCGAGTAAATGGTTACATTTACCATCCAGGCTTGCCTCGCTTCAATTGCGTGAGAAACCCTGCCAGAAATGAACCTTTTGGGGATAGAAGTATAAGCACCACTTTGACTTTTCTTACTCCAGTGCGAAATCGAGCTATGATGCTCGAAATGATGATCTAAGATCAAAAATCCCAATTTTGTTATTCCACCATTTTTTGAAATAAGAAAATCCCAAATATCCTAAAATTCTTTTTCTTCTGAAATACAACCTTAAGTGCAATGCCGCCCTCAAGCTGAACTTTCAAACTGACCCTAATAAATTCTGGAGTTTGTGGGATTCTGAACGTTTAAAAATTGTTTCGACCTATATTTAATTATATTTACGAAACCTCGCTATTGCGCCTGGATTGTGTGGCAGTTACGTTTTTTTCAATAGCGATCAAGTCCAGCATTTTCAACGATTTTCGTCGCAACTTTTCTGAAGGAGGTTCACCTCTCATATTAGAATAAGCAGCAGAATTGCGCCTCATATCTAAAAATTAAAGATTAAATATAGCTAAAATTAAATAAAATTAAATATCATGAAACAAATTATTGAAAGAGCGATTTGATTTTATAATTAGCAATCATTTCGATCATTCGAAAATACAATAGCAATATAATTCATTATTTTAAAATTCGATTAAATAGCCTACTGGTGGAGCCTTTGACACCAGTTTCCTGTTTTAAGAATGTGATCAAACGAGATTTTCCATGATATAAAAATTAGCACAAGTATATCCTCAATCCATTTTGGTTACCATAGAAGTTTTTTTATTACATTATATTTACTTAATTAAGGTTCATTAATAGTAAAATATTAGAAGTATTGATCTTAGCATTCTTCTAAATGATGAATGAAAATTTTACTTTTACTTTCTTCAGGCATTAATTCAAGACACATTTCAATTTCAGGTGCTGATTTGCGACGTGTATTCGCTCGCGAGACAGGCACAACCTTAATACCAGTTTTAGTAATGGTAAACTTCATTTAAAAAATCTCAAATGAATAAAGTTAGCTTAAAAATTTTTAAAAATTGCTCTTCAGGATTCACGACCTATCCGTCATGTATAATGTTGTGGTTTTAACGAATTTCCGAATAATTAAGATTTTGCGATGAAGCAAAAGGTAGATTGGGCGAAGAAGCGATATACCGACAATAAAGCATTGGGTTATGGATAAAATGACGACTAAGATCATGGCTAAAAGCAAACTGCTGAGTTTCCATCTGATTTTTTAACAACGAAGAAAGTACTGCAAAATCTTTCAAATTTTTTCTATACCAATGCTTTTTTTTTTAAAAAAATTGTCCACATAAATCATTAAATAATGTGAAAGAATAAATAAAAGAGCATTTTTATAGGAGTGTTTAGTGTAATAAACTGGTTTTCTGCTTTCCTCGAAAATATATTTTCCGCATATCTTTAAAAGCACTTTTTTGTTAACACTTTCAATTCATTTCGAAATGCTTCTCAACTATTTTTTCCGAAGAAGTATTCCAGGATATTAGGAAATTCCAATTTATCATTTTAAACTATCACTGGCAGTAGCAATTCTTCGAATTATTTTAATATTAGAAAAATTCTGGATGATCAATTCTCTTCATTGTTTATCTGTATCATTGACAGTTTTCTTTTTTAAGCATTTTACTTTTTTTAAAATTTTAGTGATCTTAAAAATAAGAACTATAAACTTACGCGAAGCAAATTCATGTTTTTTATCGAATTTGTATGCGGATGGAGTGGTGGCTTATCAGAAGGTTCATATTCTGTGTATGGAGATAAACTTTTCCGAAGTCTAGCTGGGCTTAACATCTTTCTAATTATGTATTCATCACCTATAACATTAATCTTTCTATTAATTATGTATTCACTGAAAACGCCATTAACACTATATAAATTAATATCACTTACGGCTTTTTTCCGTTATTGTTATAATGAATCAAAATTTCGAAAAAAATTTCAGGAAAAAATGCAATCACTGCATTATCTTAACTTTTCAAAACAGTTGCTTTATATTAACAATAAAAATGAAAATCAAGAAAGACAAAACGATTTAGCAACGATTTAACGATTTAGTTGAAGGAAACAAGCGTATAACCAATCTATTCGGTCCAATATTCATTTTATTTTATTAATTTCAGTAGACGAAATGAAAAATGAAATAGGCAACGACCTATTTTGAATGTTTTTTATTACGGGCATATTTTGAACTTATTTCCTGTACCAACAGTCATCATTTCTGATTTGGCTGGCTCTATTGGTTATAATGACGAAATCCTTCCGCGATGGATTCATTTGTGAATTGCTAGTGGACTTTTATCTGGATTTTTTCACAGCCGAAAAGAGGAAAAGAAGGAATTGAATTTATGCTCTTATTCGACGCCATCCTATTTTTTTCGCAATAATACATTATATAATACATTTTGTTCGTAATAATACTATTGCAAAATTTTGTATTCCTTCGATTTTACGCAATATTTTTCATAGGTAAGAATGAAAGATTGTTATTAATTTCTAATAGGTGCTGCCACAAAATATTCTTCACGTTATAGAATTTGGCTAAAAAGATGCCCATCAATACCTTATATTTACCCTTATATTTGCTCGCATGCAACATCATAACGATCGTAAAGTTTAATTTTGCTCGTGGTTTTTAAAATATAAAAAACGGTAAAAAAATTCGTATAATATATTAAAAATAATAGAAGTTCTGCCTCGAATAAAAAAAGTGATCATATTCCTTATAGTATTAAGTGATTAGTACCTATCGTTTCTGGACAAGCTCATTTCAATATTCATAGGAGGACATGATTTTATCAGTTATTTTGTGAGTGCATTAAGTTTCAGGCTGCTGTGAGCAGAAACTGAGAGGATTTTTGGTGGTAGATTTATTCCAGCCGGAGGAAAGTGCGAAACCCCGATGATCAAAATAATAATATTTAAGGTATAACCGCTCGGCGATTCTGATTTTTATTGTTCATTTGAAAATCGTATTTTCAATCAAAACCAAAAATAGCGGTTTATAGTTGGTTTCATTTGAGCTTTTAGTTCACGAAAAATAAAAAAAAAAATTAAAATGATCGAAAATGATAGGCTGTTCAGCTAATAGCTTTAAGGAAAAAATTTCATCTGGAAGTTTCTAATGAAGAGTTTTTTATGCCTATAATTTCAATCTTCCATCCACTATCACTATCAAACACTTTAGTTTCAAAATCGAGAAAAAAATTAAATGGCTGTGATTCGGAGAAATGAAAAAATGATTGAAAGATTAAAGAAATTCTCATTCTCATCGATGTGATGCATAACAACAATGAATGAATGATAATGATAAAGATATATTTTTAGTAAACAAATATTTAATACAAGTTTTTTTTAAAATTTTTAGTACAAAGATATATAGAAAGAAATGAGAAATACGACATCAACTGGGCTTCATATGAAACAATAAGTTATGTGATAACATAGTACCAAAAATCTTTTCCATGATAGATGAAGAGTTATTTAAAGGAAACTTCGTGGCTTGGCTGGATTCCACTGGGAAGCCTATTTTCTTGCAAATTTTGTCAGTCCTCATTCTACAGCTATTTTAAGAATTATAAGCGATTTAAGCATTATATGTATGCAGAAATCTTAGAAATAAATTTTTAATTCAATTTAAGTTTCTTTTTCTATTCAAATTTAAGTTTAATGCCTCCATAAACTAAACTAATGTGAGGAGAAATTGAGGGAATTGAAAAAAAATTCTCCAGAATACAATTTGTAATAACTGTGGTGAAAACCACGATTTGCCCATTTGTGAATCTTTTTTTATAGAAAGGGCCGTGGAATTCGAGAAGAAACCAGATCCAAAGAATTAGAAGCTATGGTCTCGGTCCTATGCTTTTAGCACGATAATGAATTTCTGGGAAGCATGAAAGCAATATAATAGAGATGAGGAAATCAGAAGAGCATAATGGTGTTTTAGAAATTTGAAGGAATACAAGATGAGGAAATCAGAAGAGCAATGGTGTTTTAGAAATTTGAAGGAATACAATGTTTTATGAAATGGAATAACATTCGCTTGAAGTGTTAGGGATTTAATGGGGATTCAGGAGCTATAATTCTTCTTTAATTGCACGCCATTATGACGAATGATATATGACATATTTGGGACACATATAAAATTAGGACCTCTTACCATATTTGAAATCTTTTTTTGCCCCCCCCCCCCCCCTCCCCCACCACCTCTCCAGTTTCCTGTGATCTCTCTGATATGTCATGTGTTATTCAACTAAAAAGTAAAGGCGATTGCAATAGTTTATCCGTTTAGTTGGGAAAGTTTGCAATAGGCAACGATGATGACCACAACTAGCTTTTTATCATTTTCCACTCTCACCTTTCGCAAGATTTCCTATATCAGGAATTATCCATTAGTTTTAACCTTCTGTTTAAACTTTGATTTAAAATAAGATTTTTTAATTTGCTTTAATTTTAATTCTTAAAATTGTTTTCCACTATTTTTTTTTCAACCCTCGTAGAAATTTAAGCTTCTTTCCTTTTTTTCTTATTTTTGAAGCAAAAATTTATGCCCTACCGATCTGCTTCCACGCAGCGCATTTTCTGATTTCCTTCTGGATTTATCTTTTTCATAAGGAATTCTTTGTTGCGAATTTATTACAGATGCAGATCTTAATTTAGTTAATAAGTTCCTAGCTTTAGTTTCTGCTTTAATACATCCTTATATCCCAACTAATCTCCTTCGTCAATCTTTAAATCTTCCGAAAAGAGTGCAACATATAAAAATGAAAATGGAGAACTCTTGCATATGTCTTCTGAAAGTTATATGGATATAAAATAAGCAACATGGAATTTTTTTGAAAGATTTGAAGGTTAAAGTAAGGATATTAGTTTGATATAAAATGGGCGAAAAATGGCGAAATTTTTCTGTTTTTGTGCGAGTGAAATTTGGCATCCTTCCCGATAGTGAAAAAGCAATAAAAAAGAAAATTTTGAGAAAAAAAGATCAAAATAAAAAATGGTCTCAATTTAGAGACCAATGCTCATTTATTATAAATGCTATTTAATTCAGGCAAAAAATAATGAATAAGCGGAGTTGAAAGAAAAAAAGTGGTTTAAATCAGAATTAGCAGTTGTTCTTCCCTTCCTAAACTATTGACTAAGGTTTTTACTTGTTGAACGAGTGTTTAGTTTATTTGAAAATTTTGGCGAAATTTCTGATGAAAGCTTCTGATGCAGTGGCATGCAATTCTTCCAGCAGTTTTCAAAGAAAGCTCATTGTCTTACCTTATTAACATATTTCTAAACAATCAAAGGGAAATTACGGTATTGAAAATTTGTGAAAATTCGGCGAACGAATCGCTAAGCGAAACATCGAACACGGAATTTTTAATCAAAACTTTCCCTACCAACTTTCATATATTCTTATATCGTCTATCGTTAGAAAAAGATCGATGAGAAAAGCATTTATTTCGAAAAATTTGCTTTTTTAGGCCTTTTTTCCTCAACATTTATTCATTATTAAACATATGTATTTGTGCACTACACATTTGCACATATTTCTTTCTGTCTTTCCATCCACTGCCAATGCATTTACTGTTATGAGTGGTGACAATTCTTCGTTTCCCTTGCTTCATCCGAGTATTATTGCTGAAAACTTAAAACTTTATATAATTCTATCCATTTATTTATCGTTCATTCATGAGAGAATTCGAGATATCGGAAATTTATGTCGATCTTTCTATATGTATAATATATGTCCACACAAGAATGTCCTATCACATGTATGCTTCTAAACCTCTCGACCTGGGCTACATCTGTCAATAATAAAGTCCTTTTTGTTCCTTTTTTCTTTCTTTTCTTAATTCTTTTTTCTTTCATATTAAAATGAGCGAATATTTAAGCATAGGCTTTAAGCCTAGCCTTCTATACAATAATTCAGTTAGTGTTTATTTTATCAGAATTTGATAACAATTGAATATTGGATAAAAAGCAATAATGAACAATGAGAATAATAATCTATTAATAGCTGCCAATCGTTTATTAGCAATAAATAAAATAATAGATATTCTTTTACAAAAAACGAATGAATTACGATTAAAAATTCTGAAATTAGTGCCATTAAAAAATAAGCCAAATAATGCTAGCAGGAAGTGAAAGAGATTTTCTAAAAGAAAGGTAATAGAGTGCCACGTTCATTAACTGAAATTAAGTCTTTTGAAGCGATATTCCAACACCTTTCTTACCAAATTTCTTACCAAATAGCACAACCACACCCCAGCTTGTTAGGGTACATCTCGTATTACCATGACTTTATTCAGAAAGAAAAAATTTTTCCGGAGATATGGGCTAATTCCTCGATAATTGTCACAATAAATCCTGTCACCTTTCTTAGAAAGTAGAATGCTCCAATCATCTGGTATCTGGCACCTGGTATCATTTCTTTTCATACCACAGGATGCATTCGTTGAAGGGGCGATATGAAAGGCGATGAACAATTGAAGAATACGGTCCGTAGACCATCATCTCCGGAAATTTTTTTGGCTTTAAGTTTCTGGTTGGCAGATACTATTTCCTATTCTCCTGTCGGTTCGCAGTTGCAAGCATATGGCTACATGAGCGAATCAGCTATATCCGGGATAACAGGTGGTATATCATGGTTAAATTTGTCCTCAAAAAATTCTTTACATCGTGGCTAAATTTTGCCTTAAAGAATTCCTTACATTTTACGAGATGATCCTTAATACACTTAACAGGCACACCATTATTCCGTACCTTTTTACTGTTCGCTCTCCGAGTTATACTTTGCAAAAGCGGAATAGTTTTCTATTTTCGCCTAACCGAGCCACCGTCTCCATTGTAGAAGCCATATCGCTCAATAGCAGTTTCTATCTCACCGTGCTGTTGTTTGTAATTCTTCGAATCTTCCATGGTCAAGATTACATGGAATTCGTGTTTCAGCTTCCTTTTCAGACAGCTGGATAGCTGCTTCCTAACTACACCTAATTAATGCATTTTTTACTAAAATATCTTAGAATATGGAGGTGGCTGATTTTCGGGGACATGCCTTTAGTTCGGAACATTATTCGTCTGCCATTCCAGAGATGTCGTTGATATTGAGGTAAAATTCTTCAATAATTCGATTTGATATGCACTTATTGTTCTCGAATCTTAATTAGTTGAAAGATCTTGAAAGACGAGTTTCTTACGAGTTGTTTAGTTTATCAGTTTTGTGCGAATCTTGGATCGAACCATAACATATCTGATTCATGAAGATTACCAGTTTCGTCACTATGATAGGAAATGGTATCTAGTAGAAACTTTTCCAATAGCGACTAACTTATCTACAATCAATCTGATTGGAGGGTTGGTTATCTGGTGAGTTCCACGCGACTAGATATTTTTTTAGGATACCGGATACCGGATGTACTAGTAACATAAAGTACATAAAGTTCATGCTGCTCAGAAAAGCGAGGAAGGCGTTTTTCATTGGCCTACAAGGTTTCAGATACTATTATTTGCCAATAACCGAATTTATCGTGGCGATAACGTGACTTACACGCACATTTCACTCTCCAGCGATTATGACAATGTCATATTTCGGCAGAGATGTGGTTAACAACTGAAGTTTCCAAGAGAACTTATCTTCATTGTAATCTGCAGAGAAAACTGGAGCGTACAGACTGATTGGTATCGCAGAACTTACCTTTGAACCATGCAGTCGCTCATCGCTTTTCGTTCAATCAAAGCTGAATTGGCGTTTTCAGACATAACAGTTGCTAAGCCATTTCTTTCCGAGTCCAAAACACCACAGTGATATAGCAATGATATATATACATATATAGTATCAGATTTAATAACTGCATGAAGCCTGAAGTGAATAAGACGGACTTCCGAAGAGCAAGCGACATCCATACGATATTTAGAAAGAGTGTGGACAGCGATCGCTTGGTTTGCAAGTCTATAAGCATTTTGACCTTCCATGGTGCTATGGCTAATACTTCATCAAGCGTGCAGAGAGCGCCTTTACAGATTTCGAGCAGTTATCCTGACTCGCGAGCAGATCATATTTTTCAAGCCTTGAGGGCGTTTGACTATGCATATTTCGCATTTACCGTCGTGCTGCGAGTATCATGGACCTCAGACACCATGCGAAGAGTAACCCTCTCTTGGGAATTTATAAGTGATTTCCCAGTCCTCACCCAGATTTTTCTCATCATGACAGGTTTCTTGTTTTTTTCCTGTCAAAGATAAAAACAAAAAAAGATATAATTCTAAAAAAAGGAAAAAAATTAAGAAAAAATGAAAAATAAACTAGAAAAAAATTGTTATATATAAAAAAATTATATATAATGTATATAATGTATATATTATATTATTATATATAATGTATATATAAATTATATATATATAAATTGTTATATAATATATATATATATATATTACATATATAGACATATATAAAATATATATTTTTTATAATTTATATAATTTAATTCACTCAACATTCACTTAACATGCAATTTATTTTAATTTTTTGCTTGAAAAAATTTTAAAAAATTTAATAAAAGTTAGTTGAATTATTAAGAGAAATTGAGAATTAATTCACAAATAAATTAGAAATAATTTGTTGAAACGACCGCTCTCTAATACAATTTTTTTTAAATTTTTTTTCTCTTCTTTCAAGAAGTTTTTTCAATTTTTTATATTTTTTTAAAATTTTTTTAAACTAATTAAAGGTAATCTAGTAATATATTGGAAAAAATTTATATAATCTTTCATTATAATAATCCTAATATTTTTTGAGAAGAATAACATTATTAATCAATAAATCAACTCAATTATCAATTATTTATCAATAAATCAACTCTTTTCACACTTCGAAATTTTTGTCTTTTCTCAGAATATATAATTGTCAACTATCATTTGAAGGAAAGGAAAATCTTAATTTGTTGATTCAACCGGTCCCTCATTTCTAATCCTTTTTTTCTTTGATCTCATTGGAGTGATTATCTCAGAGCGTAATTTCCTATGGTATTGACAACGAAAAAAAGTTTAATAACAAAAAAAAATCAAATCTTTTTGGTGAATTGTGCCCACTAAACTCATGAAAATGAATTTATCAGGACACAGTGGCCATGTGACTGTATTGCTTCGACTAAGAAAAAGAAGAATGGCTGAATATCGTCATGCTTGGTTTAATATATGATTTATCGAGTCATAACTTGAAAACTAATTGAATTAAGAATCATTTCGTTTCGAAATATTTTTAACATGTACATATTAGAAACATACTCGTATCGTTGCAGTAGCTGATTATTTTGATTCAAATGATCATACAACTAAGATATGATAAATATACATTGAAATCAAAGTAAGGACAAATATTACCACTCAATAGCAAAACGAAAGCACTCGTAAATATAGTTTTGGCAAAAAATAAATGACAGTATCCTGGTGATTTTAGATGAGATTTAAACCATTAGAAAACGTTTTTTAGAGGGAATGGATTCGATAAAAACGAACAACTACTGGCCAAAAGTTCAGATCACCAATATTATGAGATTATTCATCACTTAAGAGTGTGGTTTTACAATTATTAAAAATAAGGGATCTACGAATATGGCTAGCCTCGCGGCTGATCATATCGAAGACCTTGCGTTTTATATGCAATTTCATCAACATTGAAGGTTTCTATAGTTGGTTGATTTCCTGTACTGCTTTCCTGTAAAAAATCTTCTAAGAATATGCATTAACACTTATCAACAGAGATAAGTTTTGGCTGATTTTATTGTCGTAGATTTCCTGTATTTTGTAGGAAAAATTTGTTGCTGAAGTTCAAAATGTTAGTTCGAAAAAACGTGGTCTCAAATGATATGAAAGAAATTTATAAATAAAAAATAAAATGAAAATAAAATAAATTAAAAAAATGAAATTTTTGCTAGTTGATCAGTTATATAGTTTATTGTGCCAGTTTGAAATAAAAATTAAATTTAACGAACAACAAATTAAGGAATATCGCTTTATCTTCTACATTCGCATTTTATGGATAAAATTTTTTCGCGACAGTTCTATCTTTTTACCTTGACTGTAAAAAACTTGAGCATAGGAAGAGAAGGTCCCATAAAACTTACCTTACAAGCGACACCAATGGGAGCATTATTTAATGGCTGATTCCAAATGGTATAGGTACCAGGATAGACGAATAATGTGTCGTATCCTTTGTAAACGAAGACGCATCCTAATGTTTTGACGATGGTCTTGTTGTTTTCCAGCAAACAAATTTGTTCAATTTTTGAGTTTTTCGTCTTTTGATACCTTCAAATTTTCGAAATAACGACCTTAAGCTGATGATTAAATAATTTTTATAAATCCAAGATAGTCGACTATGCAGCTTTTGTTTAAGAAATGCTTTTTTCGCATTAACTACAAGTTCCTTTATAAATTTAAATTATAAATATTGTCAAGTGCATTTAGGAGATCGAAAAACTAGCGATATTTACTTCGGGTAAAAAGTGGTAAAAAACTGGTTTCAGACAGCGTTTAATACTTTATATTTACATTTCTGTTCCTAGATTTATTAGATTGAAGGTACGCGAAACATTTCTCAGCAATAAATAACAAGTTGACCGTAAAAAATGCCGATTTATGCGACTTGTTATGAAAATGATTTCCCAGTTAATTTAATACTACAAATCAAAAACCCTCAAAATTAAGTAACCATTCATTTCAAACCATGTTTTTCATTAAGACTCAATTTTCACCAAAAGAAAAGTATGAAAAGTCTGTAGTATGCAACTATGAAAAGTCGCTGAAATGAAATTTTTCAAGATTTTCTTTTCAAAATTTTTTTATTTTTGAAGTTTTCAAAAAAAGTTACCACCGACAGCCAAGAATTCTTTCTATAGCTTCGCCTCTTTCGTCACGTACCACGCATCCAACTGGTTTATGACCATATTTATCTGGTCTAACCTCACATTCAAAGACCGTATCATCTTTCTGATATCGATCACCATCATACAAGCGTTTGTTTCTAAATTGACAACCGACGCATACTTTTTGGCACCGTCCATTATTCAGCTTACAATAATAAATAAAATCACCATCCTGAAATAGAAGTTGGTTCTGGATATTCAAGGAACTAATTTATGTCGAATCTGAAGGAATGGCTTGAAGCTTATAAAAAAAACTATTCTTATAAAAAACTATTTTTTGAAATTTTAAATGGTCTGTTTTAAAATGATTTAAAATATTAACAAGATATTTTTCATATTTTAGTGATTATTATGGCTTAGTTAGTACTGCCAATTTTCTGTAGGTGAACACTTATTGTTGATTTAAATTTGTAATTATTGTATTGTAATTTATTTGTAATTTTGTATTGTGATTTTTTGTAGAGGAATTGTAATTTTCATAGATTTTTTATTTTTAAAGGTCTACTATAGTGAATCTTAGTTTATCATTAACATTCATGGCCATAGCATGGAATCTTATCCATATCAATATGTTTTAGTGTTTACATATAGCCAATTTCCTAGGCAATTAATGCAGAATTACTTAGTGTATAAGTTGAGAATCCATTTTATAGATTTCAAACAAATAACTTGTTTTTGTATATTAAATTTAATTTTTGGCTTTTTGATCATGGAATAGTAACCTTTAGAATAAAAAAATTCTACCGCGCCCTACAAAGAATATTTTTACAACAAAAAAAAAACGTTATTTTATGATGTCGCACTTCATTATTTGGCATATAATGAATTCTCCATGAAAACTTCTTGAACACAATTCTAAAAACGCAGTTCTCCCTAAAGGAGAGTAAACCAATTTTATCAAAAATTTTAATTTTGTAGCAATTAAAGATATATATATATATGTCTAAAAAATATATGAAATCTTATTAGAAATAGATGCTTATAAAAGATTCAAATTCGGTGCAAATAATGGCCACAACTAACTTTCAAGAGGAATATATGATGATAATGATAAGAAAGGTAATAATGATACTCGCATCTTTTAACCAATTTTGTCTAATTTTGGTTTTATAACAAAAAGTCTTAATTAAATGATTTTATTCCCTTCTCACAGAGGAAGTGATCTATTTGTTCATATTTATAAAGTTTGAGTAGTTCTACGACAGAAAGAAAATCGTGCTAAACAAAATTATGTATGACTAACTCATCCAAATAATACTTGTCTTCGCACTTCATTTATCTATCTTCAATACGAACTGATTTCAACTAAAAAAGATAGCTGGAAGTACTGGTGCGAGTTGTAAATGTTAGTAATACTGTTTGAATGTCGTAGTTGATAACTACGAAATTTCTGTTTACCGCTAGTAACATGACTTACTGTGCTTTAATTCATCTGTTTAGCAAAAGATTAAGGATAATAAGAATAATTGCAGCTTTACGTGTGTGATTCACTTGGATTAATCCTCATGCTCAGATATTTAAGTCCTTAAGAGTACTGTTTTCGAAATCTAATGAAATTAGATCTAAAATTTTTTATTGGGAATTAGTGGATATTATTTCCAAGCGGCGATGTTCCATTCTCACAGGAATAAACCTATCTTCAAAGAAATGCAGGCAACCTATTTACTCCTTTTTCATGCCTTCCGTGCGCTCCATGACAAAATTAGGTATATACAGAGAAACCTGAACAGAAGTAAAGAAGCATAGGAGAAGCTGGAAATTTACTATAAATAAGAGGTCTACCATCTTATGGCTCCCATAAATCGATAAATAAGCCCAAAAGTATGAAAGTGCAACAATCTATATATAAATATTTCAGTAAAATTTAGATATATCAACAAAAGCACAGCCAAATGAAAAATTTCGGCGTTGAATTTTTTATTTTAATTGTTGCATACTCTATTTGCCTGAAAGAAAACAATTATTTCCGTCCCATTCAAGTGGTTTACAAAATTTTCTTAAGAATGAAAACCAAACAATGCCAGTAATGCGAAAAAACCTGTAAATTTAAGAAAACAAAAAATTTAATTGTCATCGAATATTGCGCAAGAAAAACAATAATTTGATCGAGGAAAACGAGTTTTGTTTGCAAATCTTATACGAATGAACTTTGTCGCACTATTTGATCTCCATTGTTAATTATTTTCACAGAATAATTCACAGATCAAAAAATAAAGCATAAAGGAAAACCCTAAAGATTTTCTTGTTGAATCTGAAATCGTAATTCGTTTCTAGCATAATTATTTTGCAATTGTTTTTTGATGCTCAATTAAACTTTGCATTGTAAAGTGCTACTGCTACTGAAAAAAAGAATCATATCAATATTCGCTCTCCTTCGAGTCTTCCCTTGTGATAAGCCTTTATTTTACTGTAGTCGCTAAAAATCATCGTAAAAAAATTGTCTCTGAAAAATTTAGAAATCTCTAATCAGCACATTTTCATGTACTAATCACTTGCAAAAATGAAAGCCTGAAAAACCACAAAAAATCCTAATCCACGGAGTATTGCGCTAATTGCCTATTTTTTAGTTGATAAGAATTAGTTAGCGCTCGTTAACCAATGTAACTAGAAGACGGATCACCATTCGAATCCTTTATGATAACTTTAAAAAGGCCGAATTTTAATTTTTCAACCTATGGATAATCTGAGCCAATACCTATTCGACTCTTACGCAATTGATGATTGAAATAGTGGAATCTCTGGTTGATAATCACTCAGTACAAAGATATAACACGTGACCACCGTATCAAACTGCTCACTTGCAAACCAGTGCTAACTCATTGTAATTTAAAAAAGAAAAATGAAAACAAGACTCAATAATGAAGATCGGATTTGATGCATATGTCGTTGACAACCCTATGGTGGGTGATGTCAAAAGCGAGATGGGCCGATCAAGACCTGGTCTGATACGGTCAGGAAAGATTTTGAACGCACAGGTGGACCAGCAATTTATGGACTTAGATAATAGAATGGCTTCCATTACTATTAGCAGTGGCATCGGACCAAGTAGCTTGGAGACTTTTTACTTTTGTAACCATTGGAACTAGCCTAACCAGCAATGGTGAGAGTTGTTAGAAGAAGAAGAATGAAGATCGGATATTATAAGTAAATTAATTCACTGTAATTTTGCAAAATTGGATAAAATATTTGTGCAATTTTGAGGAAATTGAATGCTACAGTGGTCACAGTTCGAACAATGTTTTGGACTTACTTTTTATACTTATTTTCCCTATGTGAGGCTATTGTGAGTGATGAAGTGGTCTCATCTTCTTAGTCAATGAAGCCAATCAAATAAGAGAAAGTGAGTGCTGTTAGAAGAAAGAAGAAATAATTATTCTAATTCTAACTTGAAAAAAATAATAAGTAATATATAAAAATTTCATTTGTTCTTACAATTTTTGCATATTTTATATTAGTCGACAGCGTTTCGATCAAGAAAAAGTGTAATATGATTTGCACATTGTGAAAGCGACTAAACTCATTTAGTAAAACTGCATTTTTGTTTTCCGCCGTTTACATTTATCGGAAACTGTCCAAAACAATGTAAAAATCATTCTGTCTTCAAAAGTTGAGTTCAGAAAAAAATTCTCCTTCGTCAAGTACTTTTCCAATTGTACAATAAGTAACAATTAAAATAACGATGACAATGGCTTATTGCAATGGTTAGTCAGTTAAAGTAAATAAAAAGATAAAACCTTTTCCTATAAATTTTTAATTTTATGATCAATTTTACGATTTCAGCAATGTTCAAAATAACTATGTTTCTTTTTTTTCAGAAAAATCGAAATAGTTCATTCTCGCAATTAATATTTTAAACTGTTGACTGGCTCGGTGAAACTGTAAAAAAAAATTTACCGGCCATTGATCTCCTATTTTGTAACGAACTCCGTTATGAACACAACCGACTGAACACATTTGCACTGTACCATTGTATTTTTTTTGGCATTCATACCTAAAAAAATTTAAAGTTTCAAAAATGCATTTTTGTGGAGGCTTGTTGATGAAATCATGTCGAAGAGTCAAGAAATGCATATTGATGATAATGAATAATAAGAATTAATATGAATAATAGCTACAACAAAAAATTTACTTGCAAGATTAGTTTAAAATACTAATTGCCATCGGAATCATTTATTTCGACAATAACTTAATAATAATTAATTACTCGATTTTTAACCATTTCATTTGAACATTTATTTTAACATCAATTTAAACACTTTGACACGTTAATTTTAAAATTCATGGCAGGTTCCATAAAGATTGCATTAAAAAAGAGATTTCAGATAGAATGATCGAATTCACTAAGAGAATATACAATGTGTGACATCTATGGACTTCATCGAATTCCAGAAACGTAAAACAATGGAATTTTTAATGTCCAATATGAATTTTTAATCGTCCTTCAGACGAATTTGACTTTAGTAGTCATAAAATTTTTATTGATAAAAGAGTTCAATTTGTTTTTTTTCAAGATATGAGATGATCTTGGAAGACCTATTTGTGCAGCTAATGAAATAGTCCAATCAGTTAGAAGAAGATTCCAAGAAAATAGTTAAAACTTACACATATCCACCAAATTCATAAGCTTCATTCAGCGGAATACGTTTCGTTTTATCATGCGATACGCAACCTCGTATTTCGACTTTCAAATATGGTCCGTCCGCTTTGCATTCGAACCAGTACATATTCTATAATAATTCATCTAAGGGAATACTTAAAATGATTTTTATTTAATTGCATTAACGTATTTTTTATGAGAATCTTCCTGTTGACACTTAATTATCGGATAACAGACGGAAAAAGAAATTTATAAATTTGTTGATAAAAATATTTTCCTTTTTGTAAACGAAAAACTGATCAGGTTGCTTTGCACAATTTATTAGGATTCCACCTCACTAAAATGAGCAAAAAACTAAAAATCTATTTAAAATCCGCAAGTTAAAATTGCAAATGAGCATGGCATAACGACTGAGTTTTTTATAAGAACACCTTGAAATGCGCGATTGCAGCTTATTTTTGCTAGTATATTTGATTAATGGAGATAACCGAAGTGATAGCAGTTATACAAAAAACTTTCTATCAAAACAATCAATCAATCAAAATGAACCATTTAAAGATGGAAATATGGAAATCAGCAAAAAAAAGATTTGGCAAGTTTAATGCTTACCCGTTCATCTTCCCATATTTCACCTATACCATGTCGTTTGCCATCCTCACTGATACAAGCCGTAAAACGAAATTGAAGATAGCCATTTTCCAGGACACATTGCATTTCATAGCCGTTTTGAACAAATTTTTCATACAATTCGAGTCGCTCATTTAATGGCGTGAAACATCCCATTGGACGCAAATGACCATGTATACATTCATACCAATATCGGCCTAAAATTTTTATTTGCCAGATTTCGATGTTTGAAGGAAAAATCTTTTTCAATCGGGAAATTTTGTTTATCAAAACAAGTTCTGAATAGCGGGACTTTTAAAAATTGAAAACCATAGAGTTGCATTTTCATGATTCTGGAATGAAACTATTTGTGCTTTCCAAGGTCCAAATTTTTGAAAAACTTTTTAAAATATAAATAAATCTTAAAAAGTACTCCAAAGAGTGAAAGAAAGGCTTTTGCCATTTATATAAACTAAACATAGACAAATTTGACTGCATTAAAATGAAAGTCTAAAATAAGTATTTGTGCTGTCTGAGCCCTTTGGAACTTTTTTGAATAATCTAATTTTAAGCCATGCAAGTGAAAAATGAACCACAATTAAAATTTCCTAGACATTTAAAGCAGAAATTTAAGCACAACACAACGGTTTGATGTATTGATGTGACGAATTATTTTAGAATGTTTACAAATATACAAAAAATTTTAAACTTAAATTATGAAATTTTAATTTTAATAAATTTAATAGATTTAATAGATGAGAAAAATGTAATTTGTAGCAGATTTATCGTCAGAACTTTGATAATTAAATTCACTAATAAGTAATAATTAATAAGTTATAATTAATAAGTAGTAACTACTTAGTAGTAAACGATAAGTTTTAGATAGCAGTTCACTGAATAATTTAGTAATTTGATCATGGATTAAATTTATTAATTTTTACAATAATATCGTTTATATTTATATTATTTATTAAAATTTGGGCAGATTTTTTTAAAAACTTTGAAAACCTTTTCTTTATTCTTACTTTATTTTTATTTTATTTCGCATACTAAATCTTAACAAAATTATAAAGTTTTCTCTCTATTATTTTAATGGTTAATGAATGAATTTTTACTGTGAAATAGCATATTATGAAATTTATAGAGTGGTTAATTTTATTTTTATACAAAACATCGTTTATACTTAAAATATTATATTGAACAGGTCTTTTCTTTCGTTATGCTCCAACACTGGGAATAGTGAAAATTAGATTTTTGGCTTTTTGGTTTAATTATTCATAAGTTACGAAAGTGATAATCTGGAATTAAGCTGAATTTGATGAAAAAAGATTATATTATAATTACCAATTCTTTTGTAGTGATGGAACTATGCAAATGGAATGAAACATAAAGGATAAAAGCGAAAAATACCTCGATCGATTCGAGTTCCATTTTCCCACCATCGTGCAGAACTTCCATTACCCGATGACCAACATCTGTTCTTACTTTGCTGATCATCATTTAAAACAAACGCAATATTAATTAATAGAAGAATTATCCATATTTGGGCCATTTTTGAGGAATAATGACAAAAGCTTCTATAGAATTTGTCACAATTCGTCAAATGGAAACCAAGCAGGGTAACAGGGTGACTGTACAGTGCAGCACTGAATGTAAAAACATCCCTTCATTCAACTTAAAAAGTCGTTATGGGCGGGTAATACACCATTAATTTTAATTTTCCTGCTCAAGTAAACTGATAGCGATTTATTCACCTATCAAATTCAAAAAGGTGGTTTTGGTGCAATGAGAGTGAAGCTGGCGTTAACCAATTATCTTACCAAAACTTACCAAAATTTGATATTCCTTTACTCGGCTGCTTCACTACGGCATTCACATGGGCAGCAAGAATTGATTGAATAAACTTAACGAAATTTAAAAAGAGAAGAAAAAAATTTTTATTCTTTCTAGTCATCACATAAAATTTAATTTCATTTATTTTTTTTCCAAAGTGTTATTAAAATAACATACCTATCTACGATTTCTATCGCCGAATGACTTATGAAAAATTCTAATTTTAATTAAACTAACACTCAGCGGAGTTAATCTAACCAGAAATAGTGGAGTGGTGATGGCTAATAACTTCTTACTTATTCATAAAAATGCAGATGAAATAATTTCTATTAAAATTTCCTATTTTTTCCGTCACTAAATTGAACTTTTCCGCTTTCCGCAATTTTTCGATTTGATTCATTGAAGTATTTCATATGCAAAGTAAAAGAACTTTGGCTACTATATATAAATTTTGAAATATTCTTACTGAAAATTTTTACAAAAGTTCTTGCAACAAATAGGTCAAACTTTCCACTTTTGGCTGTAAAAATTTTTTACCAAATAGAATAAGATAGAACTCATTAATACAGAAATTTGCGAAAATAAATGTCTTTAAGCGAAAATGAACATCGTTACATAAAAATTTGTTATAAATTTACTTCATATTTTATTGACAAATGTCTTTAAAATGGATGCAAAGTCGTAATAAAATATTTGCAAAAATCTTTTAAAAATTCATTTTGGTGTGAAAAAACAACGAGAGAATAAGCTATAATTTATAAAGTAGAATTATTATTTATTTGGGTTATTTATTCCAAAAAAGAGGAAATAACAATCTGGTATTCCTTAGCAGTACTCACCATTTTTCGCCAGTGGCTTCATTGGCCATTAGAATGATATCTTTTCGCTCACTTGAAAACGGTATACTGAACGATTTTAAGCAACCGGAAATCTGCATGTTAAAAACCCATTTAAAAAGCTTAAAAAAATAAGAAGTTGTTCTATATCTATTATATCTGCAGTTTTATATCTATTTGGTTTAAAAAATAGAAAATTACAGAGAATAGCAGAAGATAGGCAAAAAAATTTGATCCCATACTGTCATTTTATTAGCTTAGCAAACGTTATCAAGAAATGCTTTTTATTTTCTAGTTGGCTACTTTATTTTTCCTGAAAGACTAGAACTGATAACAGATAACAGATAATAGATAAAAATAAGCTGAGTAATTCCAAAAAAGCTTTGTTGAGTCGATTTCGGTCGATATCAAAAATTTCATCAAAAATCATAAATGTAATTCATAAATGTTAGCGGAATTTTATATGCCTTCTGCAGAAATCAGAATTAAGAGCATAATTGATTTTGAGGAAAATAGTCGGCTGAATGAAATATTCGAAGAGATTTTCCAACGTTATTTACCACTTGGTTTCAAATTTTGAGAGCTTTCAGATTTATGCATAGTAATTCTTATCGTTCGAATAAAGCCAGTTATAAGTAAGTATAACTTGCACTGAAATTTCCAACCTCAAAAACGCTAACGTACTGCTGCAAATGAAGATATGAGTTTCAGACTTGAATTCGATTTGAAAACCTGAATTGCTATGAAAAGATTTCATTCAAATTATGCAAAAAAATAACTTATGAAATTGCTCTAATGAATTCTATGAAACATTGTTGTCAAAAAAATTATAATTCTAAAATTATTTGATTGAATCGCCAAATTCTTTCACTTCTTATGCTAAAAATGAATAAATAAAATGTGACTGAGTTCATGAGATCATATTACACGGAGTTGAGAGATGTTCATTTTATAAAATGAAAGGAAGAGTTTAGAATCCAGTTGCCCGGCGCCTGATTTAATCGATTTACGATCAAACAGTGATTTATAGTTGTCTAGTTGTCTAAAAAAATTACATCAATATTGCTCAGTTCTCATAAAATTTAAAATTTGTTTCGGCAATGATAATTTTTGAAAAAATTAATAAGTGGTTAGTGTTCACCATTTCTGGTTAGGTTAATTCCGTTGGTAGCCCACGGCCAGTAGTTTTTAGCTCAGAGCACTTGCCGATGGAAACATAAGTGCATCGCCAACGTTGCTCGGGTTTTTTAATGCCTCTGTCCAGGCAAAAGCCAAATTCTGGTCTGACAGCACGATAATCTGAGGCACTATCCACTCGACTGCTACTTTTAATAAATTTTTACGCGAATAAGAATTAAAAATTTCTCATAGTACTTTCTTGTGATCAGAATGAATATTAAATCAAAATTTTTTTATTTCGTTTAAAAATCAAATTTAATTGAATTAATACAAAAGTAATTAAAATATTGAAAAAAACAATAAATTAATTAGTAAATAAATGGCAGTTATTTCGAATTAAACCAGTCATCATCGTTAATAAGAAATTACTTCAAATTACATTCATGATAAATAAGTTTTCAGTTTTTTCTTTGTAAATGAAGGACGAATAATTCAATCTTTCTCAGTTTCTTACTTTATTACCTACTAAAATATTTCTACAATAATAGTTATTTGCCAAGAAAAGTGAACTAATTAAATTAAAGCGAAAACTTTTTCTACGAATTTTTATTTATACTTAGCTCATTGCAAATTAACATTAATCCAAGCCTGCTAATCCAGCTTTTTAACAGTAACATTAGTGTATATTCGAATTAATTTATAGAAAAGTTTTCCAATTTCTTTCTCTTGTTCTTGCTCTTTCCGATATTTAGTTCAGTATTTGCATTTAGCATATTTTATGAAAAATTTGACGTGTCAATAAAGAAATTTCCAGCATGGGTTGGCGTTCTTTAATAAGATGATGAAAATGATTTCTCAGGCAGTAGTGGTAAAATTTTTTTTGCATAGAGAATCGCTGGCAACATAACAGGAAGTGGATTTTTTAATGCTAATATCGTGATCATTTGGTACAATTTAGAGAATACTGTTAATCCTAGCCATTATCAAAATTAAAAAAAAATAATGGCTTATCAATGCTTTTATTATTTTGCATTTCCCCAATGTAATTTTTGAAAATGTTGCTGAATTTTTGAAAATGTTGCTGAAAATTTCAAAATGATATTAGGAAATTTCTGATAGGACTGAATATTCTTAATATTGTCAATAATGAATATTTTCGAGTCATTTATACAAACAAATTCGTGGTGATCAAGGAGTGTTTCTTCGCTTTGTCCTATTTATTCTTAATATTTATGATAAAAAAATAAAAATAAGGTAATAAAGTTTACTAAAAGACTTAAATTATTAGACCAAGAGTATGTATTAAATTAAGTTCCATTAAAATGGTTATTTATCGTTGCAGTCTTGATTCGTGTAATATTTTAAATTTTAAGAATTTTCCCAACGTACCAATAGTTCTAAGTTCGTTTATTGCCAACTTTACACTCCTTATTCGCTTTAAACACTTGCAATGTGTATGACCAATCTATTTAATATTCACTGTTTATTCATATCGTTTTACTCAATTACTTTCAGGTCAGAAAAGATAATTTAAATAAAATTAACTGATCTGGCAATTTATTTCTTTAAACAACAGTATTAGTGAATCGCTCATTCGGTCAAAATTGTGATTGAATGAAAATGAAAACTTAACGAAAGCTAAAATTTTCCATGGCTCTATGGTTTTTGAAAAATTAAGCGAGTACAATTTAGTTTAATTTCGTTTATTTTAATCAAATCAACATAGAACTGAAGAATTTAATTATATATATTTAAAAAATCCTGGCGTACTGCTAAATTCAAATTCCGAAACACACACATTAAAAATATAAAGATACATATTACACATACGTGTAAATGTATGCATAAAAACAGAATAAAAGTAGAGAAATAGCACAGGCTTAATTCCTGTCTTTTTACTACTCGAACAAACAAGAAAATGATTAGCATACATCATCAAGCTCCCATAATTAGCTGTTCGTGAACTAGATTATTAACAAACTGAGGATAAAAATATATGGAGATCCTTAATGCTATCTGAATTTTTTAAACCAGGTTCATTCCTGCTAATAATAAGAAGCGAATCAATGATGCTGTATAATATATAACAATATAAATTACAATGAGTACAATATAAATTACCTAGAGAAGAGGTGCAATAGTAAAACTATAAGTATTTTTGGCATTTCTTTTTAAAAATCAGAATAATACAAAAATATTGCTTTTACTGGAGTGTTAATCTGAAAATTTCATTAATTTCATCATTTAGAAATAAATTACCAAAAATTTTTAATAAAATTTAGCAGATCTATCAATAAGCCTAAAATCAAAGATTTATAATTTTATATATATATATATCTAATAAGTGGTTAGCCACCATTTTTGATCAGGGTAGCACTTGTTAGTTGAAAATTTTTGCTAAGTTGTCGATAGAAATCAGCACTATGCGGATTTTTCAATGACTTCTATCAAACACAGAAGCTGAACCTATGCATCACACTAGTGTGAGTTGGTATCCACTAGCTGCGTTATCTATATATCACTTATAATATCATTATATTATGGTAATATCGTTAAAGAATTACTAAATTGATATTGCTTGCTCTTAAGCTAAAAAAAACCAAAAAAAAGCATTTGATCCAAGCATCAATCTCGCATGACTTGCAATTTTACTTCTTCTAATAGCTCTCACCATTACTAGTTAGGATGGCTCTACTGGCTACAAGTGTAAGACGTTTCCAAGCTGCGCGATCTGAAGCAGGTCGACAGTAATAGAAGCCACTCCTTTTCCCATCGTTTAAGTCCACATATCGCTGGTTCCTCTATACGTTCAAAATCTTTTCTAACCGTATCAGCCCAGGTCTTGATTGGTCCACCTCGCTTTTGATACCACCCACCACAGACAAGTAAAGATAGTAATACAGGTGATACGAATACAGGTGGTTTGAACGAGTACATATGTCTTGCAATTTTATATTAATACTGATATATACTGATTACAGAAAGCAAGACATTGATTATTAATAGTTAATAAGTAATCAAAAAGGCCTCATTTTTGCTGCATTTTTATTGCATAACCCATATTCCCGATATTTTTCCAGTGCTTCGTTGTCCTCAACTGATAGATTGCATAATCATGCTTGGCATTCTTCGGCACGTTTAATTAAATTAACTGAATTAGCATAGAACAAAAGAACGGAAAATTGAGCACCGTCCATTTCTCAATTATCGCTTTTTCTTATAATCATCCAACTAAAATGATAATAATCAAATTGTTGAATAGAATGAAGAAATATATCTATGCATTATTTTTGAATGGTTTGAAAATTTTAATAATTGGAAGATATAGTATCTATAAAAGAACAGAACTATAATGAATACCGAATATCGAGCAAAAAAGGGTTTTCTCTCAACCTGAGAAATTATTAAAATTGAAAAGTTAATATTTTTTATAAAATAGAGACCAAATTTTTGGCCAATTATTTCTCTCCTTATACGCTGATGTATAAAAACAACATTTTATCGAAGATTTATCGTGGGCAAAAGGGCCCTAACAATAGATTATAAAGATTTCTATTATTATTACTATTATTTTTTTTAGTCTATTATCTATATTTTTGCTCAAATAGCCGAAAAAAATTGGAAAATAAGGTCGCTAATTAAGATGCAAATTTATAGGCAATGAGCATTTTCATAAAAAATTAACTCGCAGCTAAAGCAATTAAAGTACTAAATACTAAGGTTAAATCGTACTTGATAGTCTCTCATTCTAAAGAAAATATTCAATGAAATTTATTGAAATGAATGTCTGTTGATAAATTTACATCCTTCATCCTTCTTAAAATAATTATTGAAAAATAATTCACCTCATGGAACCGAACACTTGGCTCCTGCAAATCAAAAAATTTGGAGAGAAAGTTCACTAGAACACCAGCATTTTTTGATCAAATTCTTTCGGATGATCTTAAATGTCGAAAAAATAATCGCAATTCAATTTCCAAATATAAATAAAAAGTCAATTGATTCATTGAGATTGCCCACGGTTGCATTTGTGGAGATTTAAAATAGTAAATCGCTAGGAACCAGCACAGCGTCTTCATACTGGCAGTTATGGCGAATCTTTTCTATAGGTTACTGTGGTACTGTGGTTTTTTAATGTAACTATTCAATTGTTCATGGCGAAAAAAATATTGATAAAGGCAATATTTCGAGTATTGCAAGCGTAGTGACAGTGGGAAAATAATGAAGAATAATGATTGCACTGTTGGGATATCCGAATGAAATTTATTTCCATTAATGAATCTTTCTTATTCTTTCACATAGTATACTTATTTATCGCATTCGAATTATCTCCTTTTCGCCCCATTCCAATTGGTGTTTCCATATTGCCATTAAGTTTTAAGTTTACCTAATTGTTACATGTTTATTTATAAATTTAATATTTTTGATCGAATACTGCTGAATTATTTATTACAAATTAAATGTGAAGTATAATAACTTGGATTTAATCAGAAATCCAAAGGTTAAAATCAATTAAACCCAGCAAAAAAAGAAGAAAGCAATGGATAAAAGCTGTTTCGCTTTGCAATTCATGCAGTGAATCCAGAATTAAATTCTTCCTAATTTCAAGGACAACCTCCATATGCAATGTGCAAATCACGAAGAGATCTGGTAGAGCAAACCAATAGAAAAGATGATGTACTGAAATTTGCTACAGCAACGGCACTGATCTGCAACATATGCCCCCACTTCTCGGTAATATACATGTAATATAATAATAATAGAATAATTTTATAAAAGATCGATTGCTTGCAATTCTAATGCTTTATGGACAATTCATTCGATCAAAAAGTTTTTCAGAAAAGAAAGCTAGTGGCACATAATTATTTGTTAGCAACATATTTGGTAAAGAATACTGATCGTATAAATATCGATCAGCTTAGAAGAAATTTTAATTTTGAGGCAAAAAACTATCTTTTCTTTCAAAATTGCTGGCTATAAAAGAGATAATTTCTTGCCATTATTCTATCATCATTCTATTTGATAAATGCGATTGATGTCAATATAATCGGGCAAATATATCAAAGCAAACGGTTAAAATGAAATGTTTTAAGTTTTTCCTACTTTTTCATATTACTTCATTCAGATTAATATAATATATCAAATATATATATAGGTATTATAGAAAAAAGAATATAGAATATAGTGCATTATAGAAAAAAATAAGTTATTTGAACAAAGGTAAGATTTAAGGTTATTTAACGGGAACGGGATGTTATTGTTCCTCCAACAGTATTAGTTGTTGTTCCTGAAAATCGATGGCCTTATGAAAATCTTTAGGAATCAGATGATTATTTTCATATGTACGATGAAAATGAATGGAATTTTGCTAACTAACATTAGCATATGATATATCGTCATGCCAATGCCCACAGCTCAACGTAACTATTTGCTTAATAAATACAGAATTCCTTGGCTTAAACTTACTTGTGATACACGTATCGATTTCACACGTTTTCTTGCAGTTTGTGCGCAAATGAGAATAATCGCATCCCATGACATTCATTAAAATAGCGCAGTCTAGTGCCAAATCCACGCAATTACCACCTGCTCCATCTTTATCACATAATCCACACGTGTAAGGACATCTCGCAAGTGCTTCTTTTGCCATGAATGAGTAATTGCAAAGTTGTGCATTGAATATTGCTTGACATTTCTCTTCAGAATCCACTTAAAATTATGTGAATAGAAGAAACATTAGGTTAAAGAATTTCGGTTAAATATAAATATAAATATAAATTATAAATTTCTTTTTTTGATTTGATAGAAAAAGCCTAATTTGTGTCGTATTGGAAATAAAATATTCGGTGCAAAAAATTTTAACCGCTTAAACTGAGCTCGCGTGTAGCAATTTTTCTATTAAATTATCGCCACTAGCCTTCTAAATCATTTTAATTCTATTTTAGCGGATAGTGGTTGCTATAACCATGTGGGATTCTTGCGGTCAGCAGATAATAGACGATGAATTCAGAACATTTGGTCAACTGTTGAATATTAATACATAAACAACGCTGAATCGCTAAAAGCTCACAAGTAATCGAATGTAATGGGTTTTTGCGATTTAGAAAATAACTTAAGCCATTTCGAAGTCAGAGAATTATAAAATTTAAATTACTAGCAGATAAAAATATAAAATGTAAAAAATCGGCTACCATCTTCGCAGTTGAATTGTTTTGTGCTACAGCACAAAGCACATTTCGAGGGGCAATTATTCAGAGCGATTTTAACAAAAGATGGGTTGTAGCAATTTTCCGACACTTTGTAGTCCTTTGTTCTAAATAAGAAAAATTATATTTGACTTTATTTTTTAGATGAATAAGCCTTCTTCTAATTTTTGCAACGTAACTCACCATTTCTGGTTTATTTAACTATTATGATAAAGGCTTTTGCCAGCGACTCATTTATAGAAAAATAATAGGTAAGCCTTTAAAACTATCGGGAAATTATTTAAAATTATAAATTATTTAATCGTTATTTTGACAATGAGAATTTATAATTATTTTAATGCGCCTCAGAACTGTCGATTTATAACGAGAAAAAACTGACTCATCGAGATTATCTGCAGCAACTTCTGGAGGAATTTTGAATAATGAACCGCATAGTTCAGGCTCATTATCCTCGCACCTCGATGTTGGTATAAGCGGGCGAGATCTTTCTACAGATTGCCCACTTTCGTCGGTTACTGTCACCATTTTTTCACATCTTTTGATCACTTCGTATTTCATCATTATAATAGGTTTAATAGAAGCAATTTCTTGTAAATTGGCGCAAGTGGTTAAATACAATATGAAAAATAAAATGAAACATGATCGAAAAATATACATTGAGAAGGGCGATTCGAATGTTTTTCAGTGAAATTGGTAGTCGAAAATGATATTGCAGCAATATAAGCTTTGCTATTCAATATAAAATGATAAGAAAACAATTAAATAAAATCAAATCGACTGATCGACTGATGACGGACAATTTTACGGTTAAGTAAAATTATTCCGAGTTTGTTCAGCTATATACGATAATGTGGTGGTGCAAATACATTTGCCCCGTTTGCCGTGGCTTATCAATTGAAATGGCTTATCAATTTTTTTGGGAAATAAATCATGCTTTCATCTATTTTCTTCTATAAACTATGATAAATTTTTACCCTTCAACTACTTTCATTGATTTTGCCTTAGAGATTAAATTAAATCTCAAATAATCGATGCAATTAGTTTAAAAGAGTTAAACAGAATTAGTTCATCAATATTAAGAAAATTAAATCAATTGGTAAAAATTAGAAAATTTTTTTATTTCATGGAAATTTATTCAGCAAACCTCTAAATTATGTGAGTGCAACAAAATTAGGCCAACACAACTTGTAGAATGAGAAGAGCCTATTTTGACTAAAAAGAATGGCCGCGAATTATATTTAAAATTTTTAAAGTGAATTTTAAAATATATAGAAAAAGAAATGTGTTCATTTTATCACAAAATATTTTCTTTGAAGCATCAGAATCAAATATTAGATCTCTTTTCAGCAGAAAGCTTATTGTATGGTAAGCCATGTGGCAAGTCAAAGGATGCAGAAGATAATCAAACTGTTCAAATTTAAGTTATATATTCCAAGCTTAGAAATTTTCTTCCAACCATATTTTTAAAATTATTATTTAAAGCAAAACGAGGAGCAAACGTAATAGCTTATTTTTTTTAAAGGAAAAAATTTTCATTTTGTTGCTAATGAACATTTTTGGTCATCGCAAATGCTGGACTAGGTTCTCCCTCCTCACTACTTTGCTAACTCTTCACTTATTATGATGGATGGTATAAATGGAGTGGTACCAATCACGACCTGAACGGATGCAGCGAGAGATTTTGGACGTATGAGAGCGATAAGTGAGCTTAGACGCTGGAAAAACAAGTGGCTTTTGGCATCTCAATCAGGCGATTCACGTGATTCGTCTCACCTAATGTCTCACCTTTATTACCAGCAAAGCCGATTAGCCTGAAACGTGTTGTTATATATCGTTAACTATAGATTATTATTTAAACAATTTGCAATATAAAAAATTTCACGAAGTAGGAGTGCAGTTATGTCGTAAAATAATGAATAAATTAGCTCGTAAAACAGCTCCAGTTTAACGTTTAAAACAAGATTCTAAGAAAATTTAATTTGATGGAACGATCGTATTTCCCTATATTATTATTTAAGTAATGGCGTCCTTATAAAGTAATGGATTTGAACCGAGTTTTAATGAACATATAAAGATAGATAAAAAAAAAGTGCGTTCCACTGTTTCTGATCAGCCTTTCTCTGCTAAATGTTTTGTAGAAATTTTGCCAGAGAATTCACTGAATATAAAAAACAAGCTCAGCACGTTTCGGAATAGTTAATAAAAAATTATATTATTTATTTGTGCCTGAATCTTAACACTCAAGGCAATCTAAGCAAAAATAATTTTTGCCTCTTCTAATAAAAATTCATTTCTGATTCCCTGCACTTGGCTCCTTAGGTTCTTAATGAGAGGCCTGGGAGGACAAAGGTCTCTGATGCTGGAATTTCTATATAAAACTTGTCAACAAAAATTTGAGTGTGCCGCAAATCTACTTGTACTTCGATCACCAAGCGGTTCAAATTTTCATCCATACTAACAACCAGCGAGGCGAGCCTAAGAAGAAATGGTAGGTGCCAATCACTTCCTTACTTAATTGCTTCTTTTAGTTTCTCTTTAATGATTTCTGTAGAGCAAGCGAACATTTCCCTAAAGCTTTTTTTCGTTTAGTTCAATGATCGACAATGAATTTTTCATATTTTTTATAAAACGAAATGTTGACATGAATGAATGTGGATAAGAATTTATTGTCCTGCAATGTGAAAACAACATTGGAGCAAAGTGCAAGAAAAGAGACAACACGTTAACGTCGTCAATAAATAACTCTTTTGCAAGTAATATTTTTAAAGATTGAGAACTATTAAAACTATTCTCCGCAATTTCTCGGCAAACTGCCCATTATTATCGACAGTTTCGAATAGACAGCTAGTTTGCTGCAGTCACTATTGCTTGTGTTATTGCGCCAGGAGTATTGGTGGTTGTCTCTGCAAACCTTTTTAAGTTGGAAGGTTGAAATTTTTAGTATCTTTAAGCACCGATTTATCTCAAAGAGTGGCAGTATGCTAAATGAATTAAATCTATTACAAGCTTTACAAGTTAATAATATTTCATTATTTTTATTCCTAAAAACATAAATTCATTCTACTTATTAAGATTTACTTGTAAAACAATTATCGATTTCGCATGTTTTCATGCATCTTTCTCGAAGATATGGATAGCTACAGCCTATTACATCCACTAGAGAATCACAGTTGCTCATCAGGTCTGAACAACTGCCACCTGCACCATTTTTATCGCATAATCCGCATGTATGAGGACATCTTTCCAGTGCTTGCTTTGCCATGAATGAATAATTGCAAAGTTGCGCATTAAATATTGTTTCACATTTTTCTGCAGAATCAGCTAAAAACAGCAATTATACATTGCAAAAAAATTGTATTTTTACTTTATGTAGTACATTATAGATGCTGAATATTTATCTGCCTTATCTGCTTTTATCGATTCACATGAAGGAAGGACCACTGCTACCAAATAGATTACTTGAACTCTTTTGACCCATTACACTTTCGGATTTCGGATTTGAGAGAAGTGGTTTTAGAAAAAAATTTTGATATTAATAGAATAATTGAATTTCTTAAATTTTCATATTTGGAAATTTTGAGAAACCGAAGTAAAATTTTTGCATAGTGAGATGTGAAAGGAAACGAAACTCGTACAAAAACTCCAAAAATTATATGCAATACTATTCACAGATTTGCTGTATTTGCCATTGTTAACTATTGCGGTGATTTGATTTCGATTAACAATTAGTTGTAGCCAAAAATAATTGCATAATTACATAACAGTCATTTATTTATAAAAAATGTTAAGCATAACTTTATAGGCATTTCAAATTGATAATTTTTTCGTCAAACGAATGGCAGTGCCAAGTGAAATTAAAATAAAATGGAGCTTACTGTCTTTGCAATCAAAATGCTTGGTATTACAACAAATTGCGCACTTTGACGGACATATTTGCACAGCCAACATAGCAAAATGTGGTTCGTAACAATTCGCTGACACTTTGTAGTCTTTCGTTCTGAATAAGAAAAAAGGCACCAATAATCTAATCCTTTAGATTTTAAAAATCTTTTTAATATGCTCAAATACATATTTGTGCACTCTTATGCGATGGTGGCTCAGAGGCATGGTAATCGTCACCAAAGAACGAGGGTTGACTTCAAATCAGCTCGATACGCCGTGCTTCATTGGAGTCTAGGATGAGTGTTCTTTGAAAAAAAGTTGTTATAAAAGCTTGGATATTAGGTGGTAATTCAATATTATGTGCAGCATTATTCATATTATCAAAAAATCGCAAAAAAGAAAAAAAGTAAACTAACTCGTCAAGATTATCTGCTACTACATTTGATGGAATTCTGAATAATGTATCACATAAAACAGGTTTATTATCCTGGCATCTTGAAATTGGCATCACAGGACGAACTACTTCCACAAGTTCACCTATTTCATCTACGATCGAAAGGACCACGGTTTTGTAGCATTGCTTAATCACTACGGCTCTAGCGAGTTTATTAGCGATATCTTGTGGATTCGATGAAACATTTGCCGTATCAATGACCCTTTGTAAAATAATTGATAACGATAAAATTATTAACATAATATAGAAAAAATCGTAATACTATCTGACAAATGAAAAGAACTTTTCGTCAATGCCATAAGAAAAATTTATTCAGCTGATAGTTGATGACTTGTCTTGTTACTATTCTTTTCATTTATTTCGCGATGGCAATTCAAATTCATTTCCTCGGATCGATTTGGATTGAAAATGATTTCTAAGGGAAATAATAAATTTAAGTGGTCGCATTTTCAGCTCAGGCTGAAACCATCATTGATGAGCATCTTATTCTTCTAACAACTTTCATTCCTGATTAGCCTGGCTCCAACGGTTACAAGGATAAGACGCTTCAAAGCGGTCTGATGCCATTGTCGACAGTAATAGAAGCCATTCCTTTTTCCATCTTCTAAGTCCATATATTTCTGGTCAATCTCTATATTCAAAATTTTTCCTGACCGTATCAGTCCAGATCTTGATTGGATGCGCATAAAATTCTCTGTTTTCAGTTACGATTTTACATTTTTATTTCTTGGAAATGATTTTTTTACTTTTTTTCACCATTGAATATATTTTAATTAAAAGCACCTGTCATTTTAAAAATAAAGACTAGTGAATAATCGATATTTTTTTCTCCTACGAATCTTGAATAATAGACAAATAGGTCACGGATAACCACGGCTAGAAATACATTTGTCCAGTGAAACTATGGAATTACCGTAAAATCAAAAGTTCGTATGCATCTGACTTGTCGTACACCAGCAAAACATGACCAATAAGATTGGAACAAAGTCATCTACTTTTGATCATATCTAAGGTGCATTTTATGTATTCGTCTGAGCGGATAAAATCCCACATGATTGCATCCATCTTCGCTTAAAATATCGTCACCTATGTTGGGTAGACTATGATAGAAATTACCTCACTATTTGTTGTAGTTTTAGAATGGCGTCAAAAATAAAGACAACAAGATTAGGATTGGACTGATACAATAAAGATGATATACAAAGAACGTCTGAACTTATGGGCAGTCCAATGATATAGGGGCTTAGGCGATTGAAAAATGAGGGAAAAAACTTTGCTGCCAGAGGCCTATTCTGCCAGTGTCATTTCTAGCGATGTTCTCTTCTCGACAGGCATCTGGTGATGTTCCTGGGATCCATTAGAACCACTTTTCCAGCTTGAAGTTTACAGGCTTTAATATTCTTACCACCAATGGGACTACTTTTGCCTTCGCCTTCTACATCTTTAGTGTTTCTACCACAGCATATCTATCACTCCTAGTTCTTTTCTACTACTGTGATATACGGTTGATAGGATCTTTACCTTATTGTTCTCTACGGTTTTCTGTGAAACATTTCATTTGGCCTTGGAAGAATCTAAGCCAAATATTGATCTTCTGTAGACAATGCCAGCTATTTGGTTATTCTTCTCAGTACATGTTCGTGCCTGTATCTTGTATCCTATCAGTATGTGTTGTTGCTGAGGATTTTTGTTTCAAGATCTCTACCTTAAGCCTGACATGATGTATTCCTGCTTCGATAGATCTTGTGGTTGATACCTTTTCTTGTGCTACTATATATATACGTAAAACAAGGTAGAGTATGAAGATGGAGTTTGCAAAAAAAGGTTAAAATTTATTAAAATATAGAGAAACAATTATTTTAATCACACAATAAGCGCTGAATGCGTTGTCGCTTTGACATAAGTATTGGTCGTTTCCTCTGAAAATTTGATGAAAAGCGGAAAATGATCTCAAATTAACAGATCGAAAAGAGTTTTGAACCTCGCACAGCTAAAAGGATTTATCAGAATAAATTGCATTTATTTATTTAAAGAAAGTTATACGCTCAGAAAAACTGAATATGAACAATAATATAATATTAATAAATAAGAAAAATAAAAACGAAATAATAAAATGAACTGAGAATCATTTTTTTAAACAAACCGTCATGGATGAATCTGTTAATTTCTTTTTTTTTCTTTTTAATATATTTGCGAAATATTATTGTTCATATTCAGTTTTAGTGACTTATTTCGTTAGCTATTTTTAGTTTACATTTGATAAGATTATTTCCTTAAATGATATGAAATGAGTTCGCTTACGAATGTTGCAATTATCGAACTCGCATGTTCTTTTGCATTTTCTCTGCATTTCTTCTGAATCACAGCCTATCGCGTCTATAAACAGATCGCAATCATTTATTAAATCGATGCAAGAAGCATGTGCCCCTTCTTTATTGCATAATCCGCAAGTGCGAGGACATTTTTTCAGTGCTTCTTCGGCCATAAAAGGAAATTCGCAAAGGTGTCCATCTAATATTGCTTGACAATTCTCTTCGGAATCAACTGAAAAAAAGCTTAACCAGGTTTAACCTGACTTTATTTGCACAAGCGCGAACATGCAGTAGTAGTCAACTCCATTATTCCATTGCATAAAAACACTTCGAAAATGCGAATAGGAAGGGAAATATAGGCGATGGTGTATAAAAATAAAATGGCTCATAATCGGTAAATCAAAAATTTTCATAAAATTGCCTTGGTTTGAAGTCGATCAAAAGAATTCCTTTTTTAAACATCAATATACTTAAGAAGAAAACAGATATATTCGGTGGAGATGTCGAGGCTGCATCAAACTAATTTCGCATAAATTCAGGTTTTTTATTTAAGGGTGTTAATGACTATTATTTTTGGTAAAAAATCGCATTCAAATGATTTTCTTGCAAAGTTGTTAAAAACTTTGATTTTATTTTTATTCTTCATTTATTCTTATTCTAATTATTCTAATTTTTATTCTTTGATTTTAATTAATATAAAATTATACGAGCCATAAAGTTTTTGGTATGCAAATGAATTCAAACTTACTATCTTGACAATCGAAATCCTTGGTGCTACAACACAATGCGCACTTTGATGGGCATTTATTAAGCGCAATTTTTATAACGCTTGGTTCGTAACAATTTGCTGATACTTTGTAGTCTTTTGCCCTGAGGAATAAAAATTTTCGATTAGTTTAGCGTTAAATAATTAGCTATCATGAAATTCCAGGAAAGTTTCTGATTAGCAGTCTCTAAGAGCAGAAATAAATGATGAAAAAAGGACTAACTCATCTAGATTATCTGCAGCAATATCTGAAGGAATTGCGAATAATGCATTGCATAAAAAGGGGTCGCTATCTTGACATCTTGATGCTGCTATTATTGGACGAACGATTTCAACAGTTTCATCGCTGTCGTTGGTTACCACTGTGATGATGCGTTCACAACGTCGGATCACTTCTAGCCTAATAGGCAAAGGCGTTTTCGATCGCAAAATCATGCAAATAGCGTTTTGTGAAGCTAATATTATTAAAAATATTATTAACATAATATAGCGAGAGAGCTGAAAAAGTGAATGAACGCCGTTAGAAAAAAATAACAAAAAACAGCTGAAACTGACTTTACAGCTGTGTTCGCTTTTTTTTCATTCAGTTTGAATGATGAGTAATCTGAGCAGTTTTTTCCTAAAAATAAAATAAAAATAAAAAACCGATTTTTCTAAACGTGGTTATACGCTGGATGAGAAGCCGTCTTCTCCTCGCAAGGCTAAATAATAAAAATTAATTATTCTCAAAATTGCTTTCAAAGGTCGATAGGTGAGAAGTAACCATGCTAGTATTAATGCTAGTATTATAATAATAGCGTAGAAAAAGCGAATAAAAACTCAAATGAATATGGTTATGCTGATAATTTCATGATATGATGGACGAAATGAATAAAAAAATAAAATATTACATTTCAAAAGAGGCAGCCGAGTTGTTGGGGCACCGATGCAAAGGTCCTTTTCCTTATAGATGTAAGTCTTTGGAAAACCTAGGTGGTAAGTACCAATAATTCCCTGGCAAAATTTACCTCGTCCGACAAGCCAGTTGCATGAATTCAACCAGAAATGAACACTATTATAAAAAAATGAAAAAAAAAATCACATTTCAAGAAATATGACAAAGCGATATTAATAGATAAGGATAATGAATTACTTAGTTATTGGAGCCGCTAGTTTCTGGTGATTATCATCATGTATCCTTGTTATACGGTGCCCTGCTAAATTTATATACGTTTGCGCTTTTTTGACGGCGACACTTTTATTGTCTATTCGTTGTTGCACATTAGACTTAGATTCGAAGTTCAAAATTTAAAATTAAAACCCATTTTGAAAAGCTAAAAAAGTTAAATCAAAAATACCTTTTTGCAACCGAGGTTTATGGCCTAAGACGAGTTGTTCTCTGAGCGTATAAGATGTATCTAAATTCATTATTTCGAACTGGTGACCCCAACGAGCAAATAGGAACCTTTCGTTAACTTAATTATTGCTTATTCTATTTGCATATGTCAATAAACCATTAAGGTGAGTTTATAAAATTGTATACGCTTCTCAAAATTGTTTTTCTTTTCTTCTTGAGGAGCCATCAAGGGATTCAAGCGGTTGGTCCTAATATTTCAATACATTTTTACATTTTTTATTATTTAAGATTCTTTATATCATTTCTTTATATCATTTTATTTCATTTCTCATTTGTTTTTGAGATGGTTGTCTTTATTTTTGGGATTTATTTTATGTTGAATATTATTATTTTTTGTTTTCAGTAACTGAGGTTTAATTAACTGAGGTTTACTCAAGTTTAAGGTAAGAATAGAATTTTTATTGATACTATGCGGTGATCAGTATTTCTACTGTTGTCCTGATAAAACAGTCGGGTCAATTGTTTTTCCAAATATTAACTGGCAGAGCTACAATTATTTATTTTATTTTTTTACAATTAACAAAATTCTCACTTTTAATTCTTCACAATAATTTCACTCTCATTTTATTGAACACAAATTATCTCGCTTGATTTGTCTTGGCAAATGAATTTTTTATACATATAAATATTCTTCAACTGTAATCTTTTTAATTTTTTAAAAATTATTTGGATGAACCGAGATATTTTTTAATATTCATTTATACTGTGCTGGATTTATCTTATGTGCTGTTTTTTAAAATTTTATTTTCATCGTATGAAGGATTTAGATAATAGTTTTCAACTCCATAAATTATTCTTATAATTTCCACACATTTGCACCTAATCAATCAATAAGAATCTTTATCAATTTCTGAAGGAACCTACCAAGCCTGGTTTCGTTCTATTAAATACGGTATATATTCATTAGATATATTAATAAGATATATTCATTTGTAGGTGAAAGCATCCGGATTTCAGTTTTAACGACCGATTTATGAAGACTTACTTTCATCAAGAAATCGAAAATATTTGTTTGTCCCATGATTAGCGAGTAACAACCGGATTTTTCGCATTTAAATCTTTCTACAGTCGAAGCATCATTTAAAGTCGAGGTCGATCAAAAAAAGCACCAAAAATTCGATCTAATTAAGTAATTAATTTTTAAATTTAAAGATAAAATTCTTTTGATTAGTTCAAATATGTGTTTGCAAGCCAAACATCGCTCTTTAAGATCATTACGCGTCTCTTGCCATTGCATGAAAAGAGCTAAATGTTTGATTTACAAAAGCAGAAATTTTTAATCTTACTAATTTTACTGTGAAACCTGGTAAGCATAAAGCAACAAGCCATTATCCAGGGAAAGCGAAAAGTTATGCGCTGATGACCTGTTTTTGACATCAAATTTCATTGAGTTCCAACTATGCAAAATGTTAATATTCTTTGTTTCACAAATGAAATTTAAGAAAATGGTTTCACCGACTTTTTCTGAGCATGGATTGGCAGTATTGAAAATTAAAAATGCCAATTAAGAAAATAAAATTTAAAAATTGCGGTAGTTAGAATTTCTTAAAATTAGTCTGAAGATGCCCTTACAAAATAACTATCGTGTGAAGATTGTTCACTAATTTTGGTTTTGAAAATTTCTTATCACGCTGAGCTACTAAATCATGAAATATTTTTAGATCATTGCGTGAATATTTGTTGGATTGCTTTCTAGTCAAAATTATTTTATCATCATAATACGATAATTATTTCATTATAAATAAGAAATACTGGAGGTTATTTTCAAAAATTTCGGTAGATTGACAAAATAAAAAGGAATCTATCGATTAATTTTTTCTCTTATATATTAATATTAATTAAAAATTTGCAGAATAAATATAAATTTTGGAAATATTCAATATTAAACAATAATAAACAAATAATGATTATTCAAGAATATTTAATGGATATTTGTTATTTATTTATTATTGTTTTTAATTATTAATTATTTTATTATTTAATAAGTAGTTACATATAAGTAATTTATTAAATGATAATATTTAAAATGGAAAATTTCGTTCCTTCAGTTCTAATTTCATACTGGCTTTGCTTACCTGCGAATATGGCTGATATGGTTGATAAATACAAATGAATCATATATTTTAATTAAAGTTTCTAAAAGTTTTTAAAAGTTTTTAAAAAAAGTTTCTAATTTTTATGTATATATATATATATTTTATGTATTTGAATTTAATTGTTTATTATTTATTTATTTTTTAACTGTTGTTATTAATGTAAGCATGGCGACCTGTCGCCCTGCTTGGCTGGTTTTCAATAAATAAATAAATAAATAAATAAAGTGGCCTCCAGGCAGAAATTTTTAACCATGTTTGTTAAATAATACTTATTATAGCTAATCGTGGCCATAAATGGCATGCACTAATTATTTTTTATTTATTTTTAGTTTTCGATAATAACGATTGTAATTTTAAATGATCTTTTTTAAAATTTGTTGAAAACCATCTGTGATAATTTTCTACGTTCCATTAGCGTTATTTTTCATAATATTGCAAATAAATTTCTTATTTTAAAGTAAAATTGAAACATTTTATTCTGTCAAAAAAAAAATTTCGTAAGTAGAAAATCCTCAGGTATTTAGAAAATTTCAGAAGACGATCTAATCAAATTCAAAAAATTTGCTGCTAATGCAGTAAATTGGAATGAGTCTATTAGCATTTAAATCATACTGATAGTATGTGATGGAATATAGATTTTGACTGCGATATTTGTGGCAAACACCGATTCAAGGCAACAAAAAATTCTATAACAATTGGCCTTAAGCGTTCATTGATCAAAAATCCTCACGTCGCCGAAGAGCAAATTAATTTACGCTGGTTTCGTTATCGTTCTAGGAGTGTTGGTGGTTGTTTCTAAAGATTTTGGTAGACTGGAAAATTAATGAAGAATTCAGCGATTAATTTTTTCTCTTATACTTTAAAATATAATAAAATAAAAATTTACATTAATTACGGAATTCTAGAAATTGAAAGATTAAAAAAAATTAATTATTACTTACTAACGTATTATTTCCGAAGTGAACTTAAGTTGTTCTCATATTGCTTACTTACTTATGTTACTTACTTGTAATGCACGTGTCGATTTCACATGTCCTCATACAGTTTTTCCGCATATGTTCATCCTCACAGCTTATAACATTTGTAAAAAAATCACAGTTAGTCAACAAGTCTGCGCAAGTGTCACCTGCTCCGTCTACATCACACAGACCACACGTGTAGGGACACCTTCGTAGTGCTTCTTTAGCCATGAATGAATGGTTGCAAAGCTCTGCCTTAAGTATTAACTGACATTCCTCTTCAACATCAACTGAAAAATATCTATCGCAACAATTAAAAAAAATTCTCTATTTCATTTGTTTTCATTAAAAATGAATTAATAATATATAAAACAATAACATATATACTGACGCGCCTTTTGGTATATGGAAATATGGAAAAGATGATTTATAATGATGATTAATCTAAAAGGATAAGAAATAACCACGGATAACGAGAAATTCTCTGCAAAAATTAGAAAAAACTCAGCAAATCAAATTGAACCAAATTACAACAAATTTTTGATTTTGAGTTTGCCTCGATGCATAATAATTTTAGTGTCCCCTTTTTTCTTTCTCTTTTATTATTTATTTAAAAGCAATAACCAAACAGGAGAAATAATGAAATGCATTTATATATTAAAAATTTTAATTTTAGAATTTTAATTTTGAAAAAGTTTTAATATTAAATTTAATATAATAATTATATTAAAAATTTGAAAGATTAAAAAGATTTTGATGAAGCTCAGTAGATTATTAAATGTATGCTGGGGCTCGGCTGGAGCAAAAAAATCTAGGTAATACTGGCGACCCATTTACACTTATATCGCCATGAATTTCCTGGCATAACGCTGGTCCGACGAGCCAGCGAATTTAACCAGTAATAGCAAGTGCTCTTTAAAAAAAAAGTGCTGAGGTCTTACTTGTACTTATATCGCCAAGTGGTTCCCAGACAAAATTTATCTGGTCCGACCAAGCAACTGTGGGAATCTATCGAAATAGCTCTTAGATGAAAAGGATTAATATAGATTTAAATGAAATTTATATAGCCTATCAAATTGTAAGAAATAAGAATAAATCTAAAAATTTCGAGTTGGATAGCCGAGTGCTTATTGCTCAAATTATTTTGTGAATGTTTTGATACGAATAAATCTGTTATTAAAAGATTCCCATGTTGGTAATTCCTATAATTCCATCTAACAATTCTGGAAAGCACAACGAGCACTTATTTTCAGGTACAATTATAAATTTTTTTGACAGAGATAGATCATGCACACTATTTAAATTTAATTTAATTTAATGATTTATGTTCCTACCATCTTCACAATCGAATTGTTTGCTATTACAACACATTGCACATGACGATATGCAAAAATCCAGAGCCATCTTGGCTAAATGTGGTTCATAACAATTACTTGAAACTCTAAAGTCTTTCGTTCTGAAAAATATAGTCAAACAAAATTAACTAAGATACCACGTTGCGACACTTTATGGTAGTTGACGAATGAATTTATATCTTATTAATGGAGCTAAATTTCATAAATAATTGCTGAAAATCTGGTTAGTAACAATTCTTCAATGCAATTAAGGAAAAAAGAACAAACTGATTAAGATTATTTGCAGCAATATGTGGAGGAATTCCGAATAAGATTTTGCACAAATCAGGCTCGTTGTCTTTACATCTTGATGGTTCTATTCGTGGACGAACGATTTCTAACATGTCCTCACTTTCATAATCATCCTGAATAGTTATGCTTTTCGCACATTGTTTCAACGCTACAAAGCTAACAGGTTTGCGAGTAGTTGCTTCTTTAGATGTTTGTTTGGTAGAAATTTCTTGCTGAGCTTGTAGTTTAGCAGTTTTTGTAGCGTTTTGCGTTCCTGGAGTTTTCACGGTATTTTGTGGCCTTGTTGGAGTCTCTTTAATTGCAAAAGTTTCTTCTGTCACCAGTGTTACTTGTTTCACAGTTGCTTCTTGTTTTACTGGCGTTTCTTCCTTCATTACACTATCTTCTCTCAATGGAGTTTGTGCTTGTTTGGTGGTGGCTTCTTGCACAGTAATGGTTGTTTGCTCAAAAGAAATTACTTGTGGAGTTGAAATATTAGAAATAGATGTAGCTTCGTGCAGAATAAATAACAATAAAAATACAATATGCATAATCTAAAAAGTGTAAATATATTGGTAATAAAAAATGCAACGAACTGGTGTCGCAGTAATATTTATTACCTTTATTAAATGGTAATGAAAAAAAGTTTCGGCTGATTACGAAGCACTTTTTCCATGAATATGAAACGATCTTCTTTGAGAGAATTTTCCATTCAGTTTATTTAGCTGTTGATTTCATTCCATTTACGTTTATTTTCTATATTTCTTTGAAAAAACTAATCGTTTAAATTCATTTCATTGCGGATTCCAGTGATTTCTACAATTCTACTACAATGTTTAATTATATTTGCCTTTTTTTCTCTTGTATAAGGAAGATTTCTGCAATCATCTCGAAAGTATGGAAAAATTGTAAAATATCGGATTGCTTCATTTCGCTCTATTTATTTTCCTTTGTCTATTTGCCTCTTTCTCCATTGTGCCATGAAGGCTTTTATATTCACCGGCACTGACAAAATGCGGAATAATGATATATTGGTGCCAATATATCATTATTTGACACTTGCTGATTGTCTGATATAGATTATTTTTTCGCATTGTCATACTATTTCCCTACTAATAAGTAGCTGGATCAACAAGTGAAAAATGAATATTATTCATTGTAAAAGCTGTTGGCAACTATTCTTTAGCCAAATATTCATTTTTTTTTATCCCACTCTTATTATTATAAATTGAATAAAATCGGAAATGACCGGTAAAAGATGGGCAAATGCATGGAAATAATGAGGAATCCAAGTTGTTGAAATTAGTTTTGCCAAGTTTTGGTTTGGAAAACTTCTTAGCTTGAGGAAAAAAACTTTTTTCTAACAAAGAAAGAAAGTAAATTCACTCTGAATTCGAATAGCTTATCTATGAAACATTTTGATCACTTATAAGTATTACTTATAAGCGTAGTGGCTAAGGTTGGCGATATAATATAGAACGCAATAAAAACCATTCGAATCACTCAACAGCCCTCAACTCTCTCTACCTTTCCAGTGGGAACCCTTCGGCAAAGTCCTCTGAAAATTAAAAATATTTTATAAAATCAATCAAACAATATTTGTACAATATTTCACTTTTAAGACTTTTTAAGATAAATTTCGAGTATTCGAGAAATATTTTTTAATACTTTTTTTTTAATAGTTCATCGTTCTATTTCGTACTGAATTAAAATCATTTTTGATCATACTGAATCATTTTTTGGTCTGATGAAATAAAAAGGATAAACTTCAGCAAAATAATGCTATGATCGAAAAGAGGGAAATTTTGAAATATTTTTTTCTAAATAAAATAAAAAATAATAAATATTAATTTTGTTGCCTTTTTATGAATGCTTTTGCCAAATGGCAAAAAATTGCATAACCTATAGCGGGTTATCAGCAAAGCGCATATAATATCTAATCATGTGGAACTCCCTGGATAACCAGCACTTCAACCAGATTGAACCTGACTGATTATATCTACGTCAGTCGCTGTTTGAGAGTTCCGTACTAGATAGTCGTTCCTATTATGACGCTGGAACGGGCAATCTTCATGGATCTGACCATGTTACGGTTCGAATCAAGATCCGCATAAAATTAATAACTCGCACAAACAGCATACTCCAAGATCCTTCAACTATCTTAAATAAAAAATTCGGGGACAATGAGCGCATTCAAACCGAATTGTTGAAACATCTCAATGATACAAATATCAATGATTTTTCTGGAACACCAAATGAATACTGGTCCAAACTAAAGGAATGTCTCCGAAAGTCAGCCGCTTCCACGCTAGAGCATACTAGTAGGAAGGGTATCGGAAACAACTGTCCAACTGTTTTAAAAAGCTGCCAAAGCATGAATGTCAGGTGATTCTGAACTACCGGGTGCTTCGAAGATTTACAACGAAAGCAGCAAGGCAGGACAGAAATCACTGTCGGAGGCCTCAAGAATGGAGACGACGGCGATAATAGGAAATTATTCCGCATTCTTCATAAATCAACTATGGAATGGTAAGCGATAGCAATGTCGATCGAGAATATTAAGGACCGCCTCATAAGATGGAAAGAATTGAAGATTTAAGATTTTAAGATAAGAGAAGATTTAAGAGACCAAACTTAACCATGAAGCGCCATCTGTTGCCCTGATATAGCTGATACGCTTGCCGAATCATACGCTTGTAACTGTGAGCCTCCAATAGAAGAAGAAATAATTTCTGTTACCCATAAATTTAAGGCCAATAAAACTCCACGAGAAAATAGTCTTCGGGCTGATTTTTCAAATGCTGTCCATCGTCCTTCATAATGCACCTTCAATAAATGTACTCTTTAGTATGGAAAAAAGAAATATTACAGATAATTGGAGCAAAGCAATTCTGCTCCCAATTCTCAAGAAAAAAAATAGGATATACTGCCACAATTATCGAGGAATCAATCTACTAGATATCTAAGCGAAAATTTTTGCTTCTCATTTGCTTAACAGACTTATGGAAATACGAGACAGAAGGATGCGCCCTAATCAAGCTGGATTTAGACCGGGAAGCGGTTGTGCTGACCAGATATTCACGTTAAGAAGGATATTGGAACATCGCTTCAGATATTTGCAATCCACTGTCACGTGTTTCATCGACTTTGCTGCTCGATTTGATTCAATTGATAGAAAGGCGCTTTGGAGGGTGATGGAATGCGACGGTGCTCCAGAGAAGATCATTCGACTCGAAAAGGCATTTTATGAGCGTATGTCGACGCAGGTGTATATGAAGAATTGACAGACTCTTCGAAATAAGAACTGGTGTTCGTCAGGACTGCGTCCTTTCCTTTACAGTATGATGCGATAGGCTGGATAATGGACACCAACAGCACTCAAGAGGTGTCAAAATCAGTCTAGAGCATCGTATCGCAGATTTTGAATATGCTGATGATGTAGTCCTTTTTCATGCTATGATAAAATGCAAATCATGCTAAATAACGTGTCAGCAATTGCAGTGAGAATAGGAAATAGGAGTCAGGACAACATCAGGCAAATAAAAATAAAGACTTTTCGCCTTATGTGTAAGATGCTGCCTATTTTTGTAAATTCATAGCCGGTTGAGGATATACCCGATTTTAAATGGCCAGACAAAAGACGATATTATAGCCCCGATCACGCAGCTAGAAATGCGCTCTTCCGGTTGATAAAAACTTTATGGAGCCGTCGTGAAATAACCATTAAAACGAAAGTCCATATAGCCGTGATCCGTTCGATCTTTGAGAGACATGGCTAATGAGAATGGAGGATATTAAAAAGTTAACTGTCTTTGACCACTCTTGTCTAAGGTACATATTACGGATTCATCGAGCGGATAAGTGATCGCATCCACCTTCGTTCAAATACTACTTGCATAAATAATGTTATCACAGAGCGTCGCCTTCGCTGGTTAGATCACGTTCTCCGTCGTTCACCACAGGAATTGACGCATATTTCGTTATCTGCTAAGCCGTTGGCGTCAAAAGCGAGATGAGGCAATCAAGATCTGGACTGATACGGTTAGGATAGATTTTGAACGTAAAGGTTGACCAGCAATATATGGACTTAGACGATGGAAAAAGGAATAGCTTCTATTACTGTCGACGATTGCAGACCGCGCCGCTTGGAAACATCTTTCCCTTATATACGTTGTAGACAGCCCCACCAGTAATGATGGTGAGAGCTGTTAGAAGAAGCCCCAACAAGGAGAATAATTGAAATAAAATTGCGACCACAGCCACGCTTTTGTTAGCCCTCAGTCGATTTATCGATTCTGCTCATTTTTGAATACACAATAATATAATAACAGAACAGAAGAACAGAATAGCAGAAATAACGGAAAACGTAAATAATAACAAATGTTTCGATTCCCTTCATATCATTCATATTATGGTGTTAATGGTATTAACAGAAAAAACTCTTAAAATTAGGGAGCTTAGATTCGCTGAATAACTCAAGAAACTGATGGATTTTGGAAGCTAGATAATCAGAAGATATTTATTATTTTCAATATTTCCAAATCAAAGCATATTTTTTAAATGGAGGCCAATTCCTAATGCATTTATGCTTAATTTTCGATTAAAGAGACTGATTGGTTTGGTAAAGGTGTTGTTAGCGGTTCTATGGTTCTATTCAAGTTTGAGGATAAATATCTGATCGTATATCTGACGGTCTCTCACATTTTTTATCTTAGCTGCCCATTCAAAGGAAGTAGAAGGAAGATTAACAATTGCATGGCATGCGAGACTATATTGTTCCTTCCGTCTGTTTACAGGTTTTTTTACAGGTTCTTTGTTCCCAAATTCTTGATTCTTATGCTAACCAAATCCACTTCTGAATAAAATCTCTTAAGATTGCATCCATCTTCGCTCCATTTACCATTTACCATTTTTATTAACACTAGCATCACAGAACGTCCTCTTCGCTGGTTAGTGCACATTCTTCGTCGCTCACACAAATTTTAGTACTTGCTAATCTTAAACGTATGGGGAGGGAGACCAGCGACATATGGACCTAGACGATGGAAAAAGGAATGGCTTCTATTATTATCAGCGATGGTGTCGGACCGAGCAGCTTGTAACCAGCGGAGTCAGCCTAATCAATAATGTTGAGAGTTGTTAAAAGAGGAAGAGTACATTTTGCATGCCAGATGAACGAGTAGAATCTTAAATGATTGAACCCACTTCCGCTTAAATACTATCTACATTAATAGAATTATCACCGAGTGTCATCATCACAGGAATTGATTCATAAATCAACCGCACAGTGGCGGAAATAGTGGTGAAAAGCCATGAAGTGCGATCACCACTCATGCTAATGGTCAAAAGGGATTTTAAACGTGTGATAGCCAAGCCATATGTCTGCATCTCCGCACCAGCACATACACTAGATGCCCACATATTCTCCACCGCTTTCTCCATGAATAAATCCACCGCGCGTCTTAAGAAATTAGCTACAGATCCAGCAGTGAAGGACTGACCACGGGTTATTCCAGCAATGGCTGCACATAATTTTTAGGGCGGCCGCATTTTTGCGGAACATCGTCCAACGTACAACTATGGTCGGTTTCGATAGGAGATGGCGGTTGTGGCGTTCAGGTAACTTTTTTTTTCTTTTTTATCAGTTAGATGGGTGTTTGCGGTTAAATCGAAACAAAATTCGGTTATCTCGTTAAACTAAAAAAGGAAATTTTTATTTTCGTTTTCCGATTTTCTTTTCGCTTTTTTATTTTTATTTATTTTTTCTTTAGAACTTCCATTTATTTATTTATTTAATAAATCTATTTTCTTTCAGTTCGTTGGCTTTTTATTTAATTAACCAATTTGCTTATCTGAATTTTAGTGCTTTTTTATTTTTATTTCCATGCCATATTCACTTTAATTTAATCCATTTTAGTTGATTTTGTGTTTATTGCTTGTTTATTTGCAATTTTGTTTCCCTGCAGATTCTCTCGTTTATCTCGTTGCTCATCCCAGTTGTTCAATATTTTGTTCGTCTTTGTTATTCATTTTATTCATGCCATCCATTTGTTTGGCGTTCATGGCTCATGCGCTGCGGCATTTGCAAGCAGTTGCGTCTCAGAGGAGAGGGGAGTTATGGGTTTGTTGGGTTTGTGCAAAAGTGGGAGAAGGCGGTGAGGTTTTGGGAATATATTTGGCGGATGGGCAGGCTGATGGCATTGGTGAGAAGGCAGTGTATAAGAGGAGTGAAAGACCGAGGAAAAGTAAAGGAGGTTCGAGGAATTCCCATCTTGCCTCAGATTAATTATTTTTTTTTATTCCCTTGGTTCATTTCAGTTTTTTCAGACCTTCCAATTTTTATTATCCTATATCGGGCATTGAAGCAGAACGTTTGTTGAACACATATGGCAGTGAAGGATCATTTATAGCTCGGCCTAGTGGTTCAAATCCGTCCGACTATACATTATCTGTCCAGTAATTCTTCTTAAAATTAGATAAAGATAATGAATGGCAATCTACCTTTTACTGAATTTATCTTTATTGTCAAATATTGACAAGTGAATTAAATTTTATAAAACGAGAAATGAGGAGTTTATAGAGTAATGAATTTTGATTTTTCAAATATTCAATATTATACAACATTTTATCTTAGCCGTGGAAATCGAATTACTCACATAAAGATACAAAACAGTGGCGATTGTTTGGATCTATACGGCGGCGAACCTTTCGCATCTCTCAGCGAACTTGTCCAGTTTTATATCGAAAATCCATGTCAACTTCGTGAACGTGATGGTGAAACTATAGTTTTGAAGTTAGTTGTTGAACTGCTTTATTTTTTCGCTTTATTTAGTTATTCTTAAGTTCAGAAGTATTAAATATGAAGTATTTTCATTTGTAAATTTGGTTAAATGGTTTTTTGGTGCTAAATAATATTTTTTCGCATTTTTTTCAGGTGTCCTTTAGTTGTTCCATCAACTGAAGAAGTTGGATGGCTTGTTTCACGGCCTATGACGGAACGTTGGTTTCACACTGGAATATCTGGTCGTGAAGCGGAAACTTTATTAGCGGATGGCAAACATGGCACTTATCTTGTTCGAGAAAGTCAGAGTGCACCTGGTCAATTTGCTATTTCAGTCAAAGCAGCCGATGATAAAGTAATCCACGTTATGATTTACAATAAGGTGGTTTTTTATTTAACCTTTTGACATAGGAATTAATATTTATCTGAATAAAAAAGTTAAATGAAATTAAGAACATCTGGTAACATAAAAGAACTTCAGGAGTTAAGAGAAGAGCTATTTCATGTTTAACTCAATTCAGTTTTGTCGAATTTTGCTTGAAATTTCCTTTTCTTAAAATTAGTGATGAGATCATTATTATTATTGTTATTATTATTACTGTTATTATTGTTGTTATTATTACTGTTATTTTTATTTTATTATTATTACTTATTAATTATTATTATTGATTGTTAATTATTATTAATGGTCTCCTGCAATCATGATTTAGGTAATAGTTTTTCAGAATAATAAGTATGACATCGGAGGTGGCGCGACTTTTTCGACGATAGCAGAATTATTAGAACACTATGGGCGAAATCCAATGGTTGATCAGGCTGGAACTGTTGTGCACCTTAAGCAGGCAAGTTATTTCAGTGAAATGATATGATTGTTTTAGAAAATAAATTCACAACTTAATTTGCTTAGAAATAAAAAAAATCTTTTGAAAAAAATGCTATATATATTGTTGATAGGGATGGAAATATTCTGAAATTCTTTAGAATAGAATTAGTATATCTCACCCAAAAAAGCACTATATTTTGCTTATGAACTCAATTACAGCATTTATTATCAACTAGGCTGCCCGCTACTGGTATCGATGACCGTTTTCAGCGATTGGAACTTGTTGATCGTTTTACAGGCAAAGATGGATTCGCTGATGAATTTGAGGTTCATTTTTTTCAAAAATCCTATATTTTCTCTAGGAATTTTATTTTTTTATTTTTAGAAAAGCTTGATAGATTTTACACTTTATCTAAATTGTTTTTTTTTATCGAATTGTTTATTTTCTTCAGAAATTGCAACATCAAGAACCCACAAAATTTATTAGTCGACGAGAGGGTAAGAGAGCTGGAAATGTTAATAAAAATCGTTATAAGAATATAATTCCTTACGATCATACGCGCATCGTATTGGAAACAGATGATGAAAGTGATGGTAGCGACTACATTAATGCTAATTATATAGAAGTAAAATTTTAAAATTTTAAAATGAAATATATTTCAAATGGATTTTGAATGGGATTTTAGGAATATTTAAAAATAAAAAAGAATTTAGTCTTTGAAATCATTGAAATTGAATAATTTTGTCATTGTTACCAAATTTTAAAAGGAATTGAAAAATTTATCACAAAATTATTGGAAATTAATTTTCCTAGGTTTTCTTTATTGTGGTTTTGATTTCTTTGATAAGAAAAACTTTTTTCTTTCTTATAATCAGTAAATATTTAAGATTCTTTCTAAAGAATACCCGGAATTTTCTGGGATTAATCGGCGATATATTTCTACTCAAGGCTGCTTGCCAAACACAGTAAATGATTTCTGGACTATGGTGTGGCAACAGAAAGCTCAAATCATAGTCATGACAACCAAAGAAGTAGAACGTGGCCGTGTTAGTTGCTAATATTATAAATTAGTATCATGAAATGTGTTTAAAAAAATCGTATCATAAATATTTTTGGCAAGTGTTTTAGGAAACTATTCATTCTTTTATTCCATATTTTTTTCTACTCTTTGCAGAGCAAATGTTATCGGTACTGGCCAATAAAAGAAGAAGAACAAATATATGGGCGTAAAGGAGAATTTCGCGTCAAAGCTATTGAAGTTAGCTTTCTAAAATTTAAAAAAAAGCTGAAAGAACTTCAATGAAATTTTGATCAACTATTATATTATAATTTTTCTTAGGAGGAAGAATATCCTGATTACACGCTACGAGTTTTTGAAATATCGAGAAAAATTAATGGTTGGTTTAACTTATAGTTCTTTTTGCATATTTATTCTTTTGCATTTTGAATCTTTGATATTTTAGAAATCAGTATGGAACCAAGGAGGAAAATATGGCATTTTCAATTTATGGCTTGGCCAGACCATGGATGTCCTTCCGATCCAAGCGGTGTTCTCAATTTTTTGGAAAAAGTCAACGAATGCGATGAAAAAAATTGTGGTAGTAACTCCGGTCCTATAATTGTACATTGCAGGTGATTTTAATAATGATGGTTTTCTGTTTTCTGTTTCTGTTAAATTTCGTTAAAAAATTTTTTCTATTTTGGGGATTTTTTTTTAGTTTTTTTGATATTTTGCCAAAGAAAAGTATTTTTGTACCGTATTTATTTATTTGTTTTGAATACGTTCTTTTTTGGGAAGTTTTGCACGGAATTTTCATTTTTGTTTTCCACTTTTTGGTTTTTAGTACCTGGTTTCAGCGTATTTTTTAAAAGCTTTTGTGTTGATATGATACACTGATAATATTAAGTACCAGTTCTTTATGGTAATGAAAAGTATAAAATATATTTAAATTCGCTTTTCAGTGCGGGTATTGGACGGACAGGAACGTTTATAGTCATCGATATTTTGCTGAACCAAATCAAAAAATTTGGTAGGCTCCAATCATTTTTTCTTAATGTGATTTTGTTCATTGTTCATAGTTTCTTATTGATCTTTATATTTGTATTATGCTAATTGATTAATTTCTTCGGTTGTATTATATTTTCAATATAAGCTAAACAAATCTGAATTATTAATTGCTTGGTTTAATTTGACGATTTTATTTTTTTGATTCTGAAATCGTCATAATTATAATTTTTCTTTTTTATATTTCTTTCAATTTAAGGTGCGCATTGTCAACTTGATATTCCTCGAACAGTGCAAATGGTGCGTGAACAGCGTTCAGGAATGGTGCAAACTGAACAGCAATATCGATTTCTTTATCAGGCTCTATCACAATATATGAAAAATTTAACGCAAAAGCAAGATTTTGAGGCAATATTTTACTTCGAAATTTCGAAATTTTCATTCATATCAATGTCCATTGAGATTAAAGAATTATCAGAGTTTCAGCGTCGTGAACGGTGTAGTTCGCGGTACTCGAATCACTCAGGGACTACTAAAACACCACTGACACCAACTTCTGTACCTCTAACACCTATTTCCATTGTTACATCTCCTATATCAACGAAAATGGTTAATTTATGTTTTTTCAAAACTAAAATTAAACTAAAATTTACTAAATAACTAAATAAACTATATAATAAACTAAAATTTTTTAGGATTGGGAGTTCTTAGATATAATTCTTAGATAATATTTAGATCTGTGATTATATGTAGAAGAGGAAATGATTTTAGTTTATTTGTAGTCTTTTTTGGATTAAAAGGATTTTAATTTTTTTTCTTTTTTCAGTTTCAAGAATGAAATTTTCGATATAAAATTTTGATTTAAAAAAAAATTTGAAATTTGACTTTTCTGTTCTAAAAAATAAACTATTATGTGGGCATGCTAAAAATTGAAGCCAATCACATCAATATAGAATTCTGTTTTTAGAATGATGCGGAGCGTCTTTATTTGAACACCGGTGCATATTCTGTGCCATCATCACCTCCACTCAAACTGGCTCCACCGCCATTACCGAAAAAGCGTTGTTCTGTAGGAACGATCGCCCCTGCTTTGCAGTGAAACTTTCCCGTTTTTAAATGTTAGTTTCACTTATTTTTAATTAAGATTGCTCAATTTTTTCACTATATATATTTTTTCAAATTATTTTATATATTTTACAATATTTAAAGAGAATTTTTAAAGAGAGAAAAGAAAATTGTTATGTTTTATATTATTTAAATTTTTTATAATATTGCTTATTTTATTTTATGAATATGTTTTACGATTCCTTTGTTTTAATGATTGCATTGATGGTTATCATGTTGTAGTTTGGATGGTTTTTTGCTTCAGATTTTTATTAATTGTTTGAATGTTAGATGTTTCATTTGTTTCATTCATAATTTTTTTCTCATCAAGCATTATGGCCTATTTTTATATATTTAATATTATTACGTGGAATTTTAGAAATAGAGCGAAATAAAAAGATTTTTTTCTTTAAGCTCTTTGGATTGTAAGGTGGCATTATATAATAGAAATATCGAGAAAAGACAGGGAAGTGCGATAAACCTCGAAAATCATTTGTTTATTGTTTGCTTATGCTGATTATTATTATTCGCTACAGTATTGTTTAGCTTTTTAACTCTGATATTTTTGTAAGGAAATATATTAATGAGGAGAGAATTCGTGGTTTATAATTTTCCACTTGAGAAATCTTATGACGGAAATTTAATAAATTAGCTTGACTGGATCTCTTTGCAATATATTTTTTATCTGTTTTTGCAAACTTCATAATATCGTACAAACAAACCATTTCATATTTTCATAAACATATCAAACTTTTTAATTTTTTTGTTTTTATTTTTTTTGAGTAAAGAATCACAATTTTGAAGTACGGAAATAAAAATATATACAACAGTGAGCAAACACATGGTGTAAGACTCAAATTAACGAATAAAATAAAGCTTCAATATGGGGATTTATAATAATTTCAAAATCGGTAATATGCCAGAAAAATGTCAGAAAACAAAAATCTATGAATGAATCTATTATTTCTTCATATAATTCGAGATAAACATATCAGATCTTGCATTTTTATCAATGATTTCTATTTGTTCAAAGATGCAATATAATTTAGCCTTGAGAAGTTCATTATAACATTTTAAATGATTCGACGAAAAAACAAAAAAAAGAAAATCCAAAAAATTTTAATGCTATATAATAAATGATTAAAAATAAAAGGAACAATATTTCAAGAAGTTGGTTGGTGATTTTCATTATACATATGCATATGAATAGTACCACGGATATCTTAGGATTCAATAAACATTTTTAAATTTAATGAAATTTCTGCGATTAAGAGATATTAAAAGAAAAGATATTATACTAAAGATATATTACTGATAAAGACAAAATAGGAGGCGGAGAGACGAGTGATATGATCATCCCGATCGCCATGATTTTGCCTTCAAACTCCCGCTAATGCAAGCGTGCCATAAAAAAATACTGGTGACCTATCTTTAACCTCTATTCATACTATTACATCCAGTGGAGGGAGCCCAAGCAGCAATTATAACCGCTTTAAATTCAATAAATTAATAAAAAAAAGTGATAGTGTACAATAAAACATATCTTATGAAAGACTGGATGACTTAGTTCATTAATATTTAGACTTATATGCGTTGATAATTTCTCAGAACAATAAAAAAGAACATTTAAAAACGAAATTTATCATTATCATCAAGACTAGTTTAGACTGTCAAAAAAGCTCTAAGAAAAAAGCCTAATGATGTAATGATTTTATAATTCAAACCATATTATATATACCTACTATCAAGAAAACCCTGAAACAAACATTATAATATGGCGTGAACGACTAAAAAATTAAATCTAAACCATATAATATAAATATCGCAAAGGATTTAAAGAAAAGATCTGTAGAATGATGGCTAAAATAATTACAAGAGCCAAAGCTTATTATCTCCATAAATGATGTTGATGTTGAAATTTTTCACGAACTGACAAGGAAAATGCAACATTCCCTCATACTAATTTCCCAGTAGCCATTACTCCATGTTTGTACAACAAAAATCCTAAATTTTTATCAAATATCGAGCAAAAATTCCACGCCATCATACCTACAACAAGATCTTGTTTACTAACAAGATAGAAGTCATTAGACTAGAAAAACTCTTAAATTAAATTACTACTGTAATGTGCATTTGGATCGGTGATTCTCGGAAATGAAAAAAGCTTCTTCATTCAGTGAATAACTAGTGGTGAATAAAATCGTTGACGAACGCGACCTTCTGCATGAGGAAACCAATGCTTTATGCACCATTCAAGTAAATAAGCAAGAGCTAGATATAAGATGGTAACAACTGCTAGAATAACAAGAAACTTGAGTATAAACATGGGGAAAATCGAGTTAATTACAATTTCGAAGCAGTGCGGTACCTGGAAAAAAATGAACATATTTTTATATTACAGTTTCAGATCAATCAAAGTTAAAATTTCAGAGGTATCATATTTTTAAACTCAAAAAGAATGGTCATTATTTGGATCATTTGAAAAATTGTGTCGAAATATGTGAAATACATCCTTTATATCTGGTAAAACCTAATAGAAGACAAAAGATAATGGAAAGAATTCTAACAAATTTAAGGATTTCCATAAGTGTCACCGATCGCGCAAAATTAAACTTTACAGGAAAAAACATATGAAAAGAAAATATAAAGTTGAATGGCTTACAAGAGTTCAAAAGTTTAGCAAAAAAGAAATGAGTTAACCCGTTCATTGCTGCATTTCAGAAGTACTGGTAATTCTTTGAATTTCGATGAAAATTGCATATCCAGCAAAAATTTTGGTAAATTTGCGTGAATTTTATCAACAAGAATTGATCGTGCAAAAAGCAATGCAGGAAGAGTTGAAAATGATAATAAATCAGCTAATTGCATCTGGAAGAATAGCATTATTCATTGTAATATCCGATATCCAAAAGTAAAAGAAATCAAGTGATATACTTTACTGCGATTTATTTTCACCTTACTTTACTTTTCAATAAACTTCTCTAGCACTAAACATCTATATAATAAAGTTTAAGAAACGGCTAACGGCAATATAGTAAGCGGTTTTATAAGCAGTCGCACCATGGAACACCAGTAAAATACCCGAGCAAGAAAGTGCCACACACATACTCCCAACTGTCATCCACATGTTCTTTTTATACTGAAAATGAAAAATGAAAAAAAAAATTGAAAATTGGAGAAAAACTTCCAGTGCTACAATACTTACTTAACTCCTAGTGAAGCTTAGAAATACCACCGATACCCAATCACAAGTGGATCATCACCATCAACTGATTTTTAATTTTTATTTACCAAGAGATAAAACATGTGGAGATAGAAATCGAACCAATAATATCTGAATCCAAGAACCTGCGGCCAGATACTATTTCAAACTAACGGCATTATAACCGAATCGAGCAAACCAGAAAATCAGTTCTTCGAAATTTTCAAAGAAAAAAATTACCATGACGCATTACTCTTACAAAATGATACTCATTTCGATAATTTACTTGACTATGGTGTTAAAATGGAATAAACTTCTTACAGCCGTTAGGATATCCACTTGTTGACGAAGTAGGAAGAATTCCCTAGTTCGTCCTGCTGTAACTAACGCTCCCTCATAATCTGCCAGTATCGCATATACATCCAAAAATGGTTTCATATATGCGGCATGGATTATCGCTACAGTGAACAGTACCAGCAATTTCGTGTAATGAGCATAGATTAGCTGCAACATAATAGATAATACACGAATTCCAATCAGAATTCCGCAAAGAATCTGTTATCAAAAATTCACTGTACCTGATTCCGCAAAACATTTTTAAACATATAGATGTTACTGCCAGAAAGCCACCAAAAAACGGGTTCCGACGACTGATGCGTAGATTTTTCACCAGTTGATTTCCACTCATTCACTTCATAATGAGTTTTGACATAATATGGTGACCATGCTGAAAGGGATGGCATCGAAAATCCAGCTTTACACGAATGAGATCTGGAAAAATTTTGATAAGAACGGGAAACACAATGCTAACTTTTAGAATGCGAACTCTGCGAGCCAAAGAAGAATGAGAAAATATAATAATTTCAAAGAAAAATTGAACAGTGAATGTTCCAATTTCCAGTGTCTATCCAACTGTATGAATATTAAAATTTTATAAAATATACGGTAAAAAAAGGTAAAAATTTTCAAAAAAACCAATAACTGATGATGAATTAAAATCTTAACTTGGCATTGGAAAAATAGACTTATGAAATTTATATAAAAAAGACATCGGAAAAGAAAAATTGCTAAATTATTTAAGAATAGTAAGAAAAAAAGACTATATGATAGTCTTTATCAACTATATGATAGGTTACCTCGACAAAGGGCAAGCGCTATGGATTCATCGGCCGACAACAGCGAACCTATCACCAAAATCTCGGTGGTGCGCGAGACACATCTCTGCGTCTATCCTCAAATGATTCCCTAGCGAAATATTAAAAAATTAACGCAGTTTTTACATTAATATTAAAGAAATTGACTTCTGAAGAATTTTTCCAAAAATCACCTTAATCCTAACGAAAAAAACACTGGAAATAAATAAAGATATTTAATTATTCGAATAATTCAAAAGTGACTGAAAAATGGTTTACACATCCAGATTTTATTAGCGGCATCACTGGCTTGGCACTTTGTACTGGGACTTTCCTTAGAGGATCTTATGGGGATATAATTAGCCAGACAGCCGTATTAAGCAATATTCTCCGACACACTGCCAATGAAAAAGAAAGGAACTAAATAAATTGAGGTCGAAACGAATTTGATATTTTCTATGGATTTTTTAAATAAAAAACAGTATATTACATGAAGACAAATGAAGCAATAATTTGATAATATTGTAATTTTAAGATTAATAAATCCTAATTGCAAATCGCCAATATCGCTGCAGTGGAATGAAGCACAAAGCACACTTCTAAAATTCTCGAAAATCCCCCTTCCCTACGCCAGAAAAAAGGTTTTCTTCCATAAGCCATTTGCTTACTCTAATTACATCTGACTTCCTACTCTTTCAGAGAGGTAAAAAGAATTTTTTCACTAAATTTATAGAAATTTGAGAGTTGAAAAACCAAAAAAAGTCCAAAATTCACAATAATAAAATATAGAAAGTTGAGGAAAAATCGTTTCGTTCACCGACATCGGTAACAGTTCGGCTATTGGCAGAAGGAGCACTTCAGCGATTCATAATATTGTTGTGATGAGCTGATCGCCGGATGCATCACAGACGGGACAATATCTAGGTCAATACCTTCGCATTCATCATCGTCGTTCGACCATTAATCGCATGCAACCCCATTTTCAATTATATTCCCTTTCATCGAAAATAATGAGAAAGGGGCCAACGAAAGAAAATGAATATTCATTGCAAAAGTTCACTGACATCGAATAGACGAACGCGATGTCAGAAGAATCTTAATAAACGTGCAATACAGACCCATTTTTGTGGCTCTTACAATGAAAACATTTTTTATTAGCAATGGCACTATACAACGATATTGCTGCAGGCACCCCTACCATCTGTTTCTGGATAATCCTAATGACTCTTTCGGCCACAGAATAATTTAAGGACGAAAATATGAGTCCATAGCAGTACCCAATATTTTACTCTCCATACTTACTTTCTCAGGGGAAAAGAAACCTTACTCCGCATGCACGATCTTAAGCAACGTTACACCCATGCACATTCCTCCCTAACCGCTACAAAAATTGGCAGAAGGATTCGTTTTCTTGGCACGGAATGCTTCAACTTTCGCATATACACGATTGCAGTATTGCAGTATCAAATATTTCGTGGCTCCATCAAATGAATGAAAAGTTCGTGGAATGTTTCGAACTGAAAATCAAGAAAAGGGGAAATTATAACCTCTGAAAATGGATTCCCATTTAGTGGATTCCTCGATTTAAAAGAAGGATACAACAGAAGCTCATTTAGTGCCTTTCACGATGAACTAATTCAATGAAAACAGTAATTTCGTTTACACTGAATAATCGCCGAGAATCACTGAGATTTAACGTCACTCGCGATTTTAATCAAAATTTTTTTGAAAAATTCGTATTTCATCGACAGATGGATCGGATGCTTTATTAAAAAAAGGTTGAAAAAAACTGAAGCGAAAGTTTTTTTATTCGGAAATAGAAAAAATTCTCCAACATTTTCACCGATCGGACATATCTAATATGTGCCACAATGAAATGCCACTAGAAGATAAGCTAAGTTACTCAGTTCGTCGTTCCTTTCCGCTGGTTGCTGGCGTAATAAATTTTTATAAGGGAATTAGTAGAGAACAGCAGTAACAATAATGGCTAATGTTAGCAGAAAATCCAAAAAAATATAAAAAATGAAAAATATAAAAAAATTGATAAAGGAATAAAATGACATTCCTCTTTAAAAGGCAAGTTTCCTAGGACTTTGCAATATTTAAAGCCATTTCTTTAAACCACATAAAATCCTGAGAAATCCTTAAAGAATAGGACTTTTCGATGCATTTCGACCGTAGCCAGAAAAATGCAAAAAAAGCCATTAAAAAAATAATTTTAATTTGGCAAGAAAATTTTCGCATTCTTTTTTGGTGTTTTCCGGAACGACGATAAACCAATATCTTAGTAAGTAAATAAAACACCTAAAATATATTTGCTTTGATATATAAATAAATATACTTTCCATTAAAGAATCTAAGCTTTGCAATTTTCTGATTTATTACTCCGCTGGCACCAACATGGCACGATGTGAAATCCGCTTTTGTGGAAGCTTTTATGAGAACCAGTTAATTGACGTTTACAAAATTTGATTGATGGATCAAATTTGAAGGACGATGTGGTCTCAAAACATTTAAAGTGTTACATTATAGTTACCAAAAAAAGTAACCAAAAACACTGAAAGCGAATCGCCGAGTTGCATGATATGATAATTCGCTCGCAAACCTCGTATTTGATAACAGTTAACACTCGATTAGAATAAATTAAAACATTAGGCAGTCGCAGAAATTTGTAATACGTAAAAGTGTGGATAATATGAGTGCAGTGCAACGCAATGCAGAAAAGTGCAGTACAGTGCAGTGCAACTTGAACAAAAATGGGCATACATCAATTAAGAATTAAAATAATATATATTCAAAAAGCTGTAATAAATAATTTATAATTTATAATAATAATTTATAATAATTTAAATAATTTACTGACATATTCGAAATCAATATTTCAACTTTTTCCCCATTCACATCCGCAAAAAAACCTATAGAAATAAATCTCGCTTTTTCGTCTAAGAAGTTGTTATTTTGAAGATCTAAAATTACAAACAAGAAAATGAAATTAAAAAAAATTAAAATTAGGAATTTTAACAGAACTGATGAAATCTTCTAAGTGCAAGGTTCTCCTTCATGCAGAGGGAGCCGACCTATTTCTTATATCTCTATTCAAATAGAATGTACGCACTGTGCGATAACAATCACAATCATCTGGAATCATGAAACATGGATTCGGCTCGATTTCAGTATTAACAGAAATCGAAACATGGAATATAGGGAAATTCGCAGGAAAGAAAAATGTACTGAGATTACCACTTGTGGATGAATGGTGAAGGCCGTTCGCTGCAAATGCAGCAATAAGAAAGCACTTAATGATCGATCTAACCAGTAATAATTCTTCGCCTTCTTTAATATATATATATCACTCCAATATTTTGTAAAGAAAAATTGCTTACTCGAGGATTAACAGATTAAAGGCTTCTTCTCGCTTAAAATTTATAGGTCAAACAATAAAGATGAGATAAATAGGGGATTATTTCATTTCATAAATCCTTCTACGATTAGAATATATTCCTTCGAGTGGCTCGCTGGTTCGTCTCACTCCATTGGCCATTAGTGCAAGTCGTTTCCAAGCTTCGAGGGCCATTCTTGACAAGAAAGAACTGAATCCATTCCTTTTTCCATAAATCGCTGGGCCGTTCAGAATCTCCACTGAATATATCGGTCCAGGTCTTTATCAGTCCTTCTCTCTTTGATGCCCCCTCACACAATTTAGGTGTGTGTCAGTTCCTGTAATGGATGACGAAGAACATGATCTAACCATTGCTATCTACCTGACGATATGGTGAAGATGAATATAATCATGCGAAGCTCTGTCCACTCACGTTCCTAAAGATTTTTGATTAAATCATCTGCAAAGAAACTTCTCTAAGAAGAATAATAGGTGGAGTCAGCGAAACTAAAAGTGGTATGCCAGTATTAGTAATTGTTAGATGAATAACAAAACTGTACTATAATAAAAAGGGAATATAATACTTGGAGATTAAACCACACCATTATTGAGAAAAATGTTCCTTGGACCAACTTGAATAGATCTGAAATATTGAAAAATATGCAGCAAGCCGATTGGTGACGATTTGTGACTAGCACAAAGACAACAATAAATATTCGTCGAACGGAGAAGCACTTAAGCATTTGGACCAATTTCACGCGAGAACATTATTTTTCCTCCAAGATTAATGTTCTTAAATGGTTTTCAGCTAAGTGAGAACGACTGTTGATGCCTTTTACGAACTAATGAACGTGTTACCTACGGCTTTAAAGTAATTTCTAGACAACCTGGAATAAAGCTTAATTCCAAATTATATTATCTGATATCATATATGAAAAGCAGCAATTTCTAAGATACTAATGCGACCGACTTACGACATAATCTCCAACAGAAAATTCAGATCTAAATCTATAACAAATAATTTATGAAAAAATTTATCACACTTTTTATCACAAGAAGCATATCACTCGCCAGCAATTTTATCATTATTAATTACTGATAACTGTCGTACTATATTCTCGCAAACTACATTATCAACATTTCGACTAGTGGGGTATTTTCGAAAAAATAGCCAATGTTATTCGCACTAAATGTGCAAAATAATTTTCGATGAAAACAAATGAGAATCACATGACAATGAATGAATGCAAAATCAAATTATTACACGTAAATTTTTGCACTAAAAATATTAAAATTTTTCGAATAAGAAATTGAAATTATAAAAAAACATTTTAAGAAATTTTGATAATTTATAAACTATTTTAAAATAAATAACTGTTAAAAGAAAAAATAAGAAAAATAAATTTGCATATCTTTAGTTTTAAATTTGAATATATGAGATCCCTTAAATTATTAAATTCAGTTACTTTAAAGCATGGTACTGGACCGGGAAGTTCGGAAATGCCTTATCGCAGTGCAGTCTGGGGAACCAACCAAACCAACAGTGGAAGCAGTGTTAGAAGAAATTATTTGGTTGAGAGATTAATTAAACCAAAATAAACAAACAAGAAATACTTATTCACATCTCATCTCCGGCAATCAGAAGTAATTTAAAAAATCTTCACCTTCACCTTTCACCTTACCACTTTTAACGACCAACACTCACCT